AACTGAGGTGAAGGTGATTGTGAATGGAATCCCGGATAAGATTAACAGTCAAGGAATGAGGACTAGAGATATGTGAGAGGAAGTTTTCAGAAGATTTAATAAAGAAAACAGTGCAATGAATGCAACAGACTTTTATGCACGAGATGGATTCGGTCTTTTCATCAATCGCAGGAGTATGAGAGACATTGATCTTCATGGTTCAGGATTGAGATTGGTGAATATGAAGGAAGGAGTTCAGCTCGTAATTAACATCAAAGCATTGGGTTCAGTTAATGTGAAATGCCACATCTTCATCCTCTCAGATACTCAGCTCAACATCATCAACCGAGAGCTTGAGAGTGTGACCTATTAATAAAACGGTCATACTTTTACAAAGACTCTCTTTTGACAGAAGAACAAATCAAGTCATACCATGACTTCTTCATAAGAAGATACAATATTGATGCTGATCCTGTTGTATGAAACTAAAATCACTTGGTTGGATTTATTGAGGATGATGAGATACTGAAGATTGAAAATTTAAAATGTGAAAAAATTATGACATGTTAGTTTGAGTAAGGAGAAATATAAAAGGTGTCTCAGTAGTTGTAAAATAAGAGTTCTGGGAGAAGTTAAAGGGTAAGTATGAAAAAGTGGTCTGGGATTGTCCCGGACCACCTTTTCATCCTTTTTGTGGTATTTACCTGTCCCAATACTCTCATTTTACAACTGCTACAGGTCACCGAAAAGATTTGAAATTAATATTAACTACAGAAAATGTTGGAGTGCGATTCGCGTCACACTAATGAAACGTTCGAGCGTGACTTGCGTCACACTGGGAAGCTGTTTAAAACTGAAAAAGCTACACAAGGATGGGTAATGGTAAAGAGTTCAGTGAAGCGATGTTAGAGAATGGAAATATCCAACTTTCGAGTCAAAATGGTTACATTTCTCCTTCGCCGATGGTGGCTAGCGAAAGCTTTCCAAGAGCAGACTACTGTATTCCACTGTGTCAACGTTTGCATTGATTGGCCTTTGTTTGCACTTCCTACAACAATAACAGGTGTTAACGTTTGCGTTGATTGGCCTTTGTTCTCACTTCCTACAACAATAACTGGTGTCAACGTTTGCATTGATTGGCCTTTGTTCGCACTTCCTACAGCAATAACAGGTGTTAACGTTTGCGTTGATTGGCCTTTGTTCGTACTTCCTACAACAATAACTGGTGTCAACGTTTGCATTGATTGGCCTTTGTTCGCACTTCCTACAGCAATAACAGGTGTTAACGTTTGCGTTGATTGGCCTTTGTTCTCACTTCCTACAACAATAACTGGTGTCAACGTTTGCATTGATTGGCCTTTGTTCGCACTTCCTACAGCAATAACAGGTGTTAACGTTTGCGTTGATTGGCCTTTGTTCTCACTTCCTACAACAATAACTGGTGTCAACGTTTGCATTGATTGGCCTTTGTTCGCACTTCCTACAGCAATAACAGGTGTTAACGTTTGCGTTGATTGGCCTTTGTTCGTACTTCCTACAACAATAACTGGTGTCAACGTTTGCGTTGATTGGCCTTTGTTCGCACTTCCTACAATAATAACTGGTGTTAACGTTTGCGTTGATTGGCCTTTGTTCGCACTTCCTACAACAATAACAGGTGTTAACGTTTGCGTTGATTGGCCTTTGTTCTCACTTCCTACAACAATAACTGGTGTCAACGTTTGCATTGATTGGCCTTTGTTCGCACTTCCTACAGCAATAACAGGTGTTAACGTTTGCGTTGATTGGCCTTTGTTCGTACTTCCTACAACAATAACTGGTGTCAACGTTTGCGTTGATTGGCCTTTGTTCGCACTTCCTACAATAATAACTGGTGTTAACGTTTGCGTTGATTGGCCTTTGTTCGCACTTCCTACAACAATAACAGGTGTTAACGTTTGCGTTGATTGGCCTTTGTTCGTACTTCCAACGTTTGCCTTGATTGGCCTTTGTTCGCACTTCCTACATCAACTGACTAACTTGTGATTATCATCCGCCTGAAACACCGAAAGTATATCACCGAGCGAGAAAGTGCAAATTTTCGAAATGCCGCATTGCTTACTTCTGTCTTGAGATATCGAAGTAAATCCTGGCTGGGAAAATGGTCTGAAGAAATTTGACCCTACTCATGTCTCTAACAATCAGCGATCAGTCGGTTCCACTCCACTTGTCAATTCAAATATTCCCGTGCGCATTTCTCAGAGAAGGTACTCCACCCATTTGTATCGCAACCAACACCAATCACCAATCAGCGGCCTTTTTCGATTATATTTGCTAGTGTAAAGCTGACTTAGTCGCTGTTACAGAACACAGGAAAATAGGAAAATAAAATCAGTGAACGTGGATTCCCTGAATAATGACCTAGCTAAGTCTGAGCTATGCAAAAATCCACCGGACGACCTCGAGGAACTTCTTTTGTCCTATAACAAAACCCTAATAGCTGTGCTGGACAAACATGCCCCTGTTAAGACTCGAACGATTGTTGTGTGTCCGCAAATTCCATAGTACACAGACGAAATCAGGCAAGCCAAGAGAAAGCTGAAAGAACATGGAGATTGTCGAAACTTGATTCCCACTTGGCTGTCTTCAAAGTTAAGCGCAATACTGTAAACAATCTTATGAACAAGGCACGACAGGCGTTTTACACTAAACTTGTCGAGGATAACAGCTGTAATCAGCGAACGTTGTTTCGTGCTAATAAACGCCTGTTTAATCCGTCGCAGGGCGATGAGTTACCTCCGAATCTGCACGCCCCTACTTTTGCAAACGAAGTTGGAAAGCATTTTGTGTCAAAGATTGATACAATCCAGAGACAAATCGTTTCTGATATTACAGATTTACCTGCCTTCACATCCACTACTGCTGATGGCTCTACTTGGTCGACTCCATCGTTATCTGCATTCAAGATTCTGTCTGCCAACAGTGTTAAGTCGCTTATCCATAACTCAACATTGAAGTCTTGCCCACTCGACCCAATGCCCCCTCGCTTGGTCAGCAGATGTGATGCTCTTCTTCCCGTCATTACTACGATCATTAACAAATCATTAGAAGCCGGACACTTTCCTAAGTCCTGGAAGGAGGCACTAGTATGTCTGTTACTCAAAAAGCCTGGTCTTCATATCATACTCAAGAATTTCAGACCGGTAAGCAATTTGGCTTTCTTATCGAAGCTCATTGAGAAAGCAGTCTTCCATCAGATACACGAACACATGGTCGACACGAATCTATACCCGAACGCTCAATCAGCTTACAGGGTGCATCAACAACATGTAACCCTTCTAGTGCTACTCGATCTTAGTGCTGCTTTCGATACAGTCGAGCATAATATCTTGCTGGAGCCACTCAATACGCTGGGACTTGGGGGCAGGGTGTCCAAGTGGTTCCGATTGTATTAATCAGGGCGCAGTCAGAGGATATTAATTCGTGGGTGTCCGTCGAAGAGGATTTGAACTGCGGAGTACTCCAAGGCTCCTGTTTAGGACCGCTCATGTTTACCATCTATACGAGCTCGTTACTAGACGTCGACGAAAAATATCTTCCATCTGTCCACTGCTACGCAGACGATACCCAACTTTACGTCTCTTTCCGCCCCGCAGATGAGACAGGTCACTTGGATGCCAACACTGCTATTGAGTGTTGTACTAAGGCGATCAGGTGCTGGATGCGTGAGAATAAACTATTGTTGAACGAAGAAAAAACTGAGTTTCTTTTAATTGGCACGAAGCAGCAGCTCGCCAAAGTTTATATTGGATGCATTAAAGTTGGCAAAGTAAATATAGCTCCGCATTCTCCTGTTAAAAACCTTGGAGTCTGGTGTGACTCAAACCTATCTATGGTTAATCGTATCACCAAGACTTGTTCTGCAGCGTTTTACTATCTTTATAACTTTAGAAGAATTAGAAAATATTTAACAAAAGAATGCACGGAGACACTTATTCATGCCTTTATATCCAGCAGCTTGGACTATTGTAACAGCCTCCTACTTGGAGTTCCTGAGTGCCATCTTCACAAATCACAGAGAGTCCAGAATGTAGCTGCTCGCCTCATATTCCAGAATTTGTCATATCACACCTCTGCTCAAGTCACTACACTGGCTGCCTGTAAAATATCGCATAGTTTTTAAAATGATCTTAATTGCTTTTAAAGCAATCATGGTCTGCCCCAGCCTACATAAGTGAGTTGATTTCTATTAGAGACACCAGAAGATATGATTTACGTTCCAATGACGGCTTACTCCTTGCTCCTTGCAAGGGTAAAACACTCACCACGCTCGGCGACCGATCTTTCCATGCGGCCGCCCCTAAGTTGTGGAACGATCTTTCGGGCTCTATCAGAAACACCCAATCTTTAAACAAGTTTAAGAAGGCCATTAAGACTTTTTTATTTGCAAAAGCTTTTTAATTCTTGGTATCTAATTTTATATTTTTACATCTTCTTAGTGAACAGTTTTATTATTTATTTTATTTTATTTTTTATTTTCTAGTTTTTTTTTTAGTTTTTTGTATCTATGTAGGGTTGAATTTTTAACATTTAATTGTAATGCGCAATTGAAAATTCTTATATCGATAATTGCGCAATATAAGTCTATAAATTATTAATATTATTATTATTATTATTATTATTATCTCTGTAAACCTTATAGCTTTCGTCTTAATTGATTAAAATTCTGAGTTACTGCTTTATCAACGTCCTCGTGTAAGGAAATTAGCGTAAGAATGAACTGATGCTCATACTTGAGGTCCTTAATCTTAAACTCATCTAAATTCCTCCTAATGAATAAACAAAATCAACGCTACCTGCTGTCGAAGATGAATGATGTGGCTGTGAGGGTCAGGATATTTAGGTCTATTTACCATTGATTTAATCACTCTGTCTGTAGAACAGATACTTCACGTCTAGGAGAACATGGGAGCGAGACTCGTGATCACGCAGATATCGTGATGAATAGTAGTGTCACGTAATGTCACGTCACATCTGAACAGAACGATCCACGTGTACGTTGTCAAAGCGATTCCATAGGAGCTCTTCTTTAATATACAAAATTGTTTTGTTCGTTAGCGAACAGTTGTGATTTTTCAGTTGAATATGATGATGAACGATTTACCGAACACATTTGTGGAAACGTTCCACAGTGTGGAGGCCGTTAGAAAAATGAAATATCAACCGCTCGGCAAGACAGGGATGATTGTGTCTAAATTGAGCTTTGGTAAGATACAGTTTGTTAATCATTACTTCATGTTATGTATGATGTTGAAAAAGGAAATATATTGTGTTAGGAAAGTAGCAAAACGTCATTGAGCGTAAGAGCGACACAGGGCTTGCGGCCATCTTAATCTTGCATTTTAAACGAGGCGGTTGGTTGAGCAGAACCAAACAGAATATTTGCATCAGGAATTCACCTTAATTGTTTGACCCATAAGAGTAACTATCATCCAATTTCTTCTCTCAGCGGTACCCCTGAATCACTCATTGAGGTCACGAGAATAAAGTGAATTATCACCAAGGAAGGATGCTCTTGATTGTGAAACAAATTCACCTCATTAGGAGAAATTTATGATGGAGCAACTGCAGAATACCCGGCCACTCATTTACATGTCACTGAATAAGAATAGCGTCTATTGTGTTATGCCTCAATCTTCAAAGCCTCCCAATACATGTAAGTGAGGCTTTTGTGACCAATAAGCCACCATAGCAACCGTATAGTATAGTAGAAACACCCATATTTGTAGCTGTATGTGCATTCTAAAACAAATTCAGTCACTCCCATTTTGTATAGTTCAATTGCAATTAGTTTAAAGTATAGAAACAGTTCAGAGCTATCTTACATTATATAATAATTAAAGTGACTCTAAACTTCTGAAACAATGCAGAAGTGAAAAAAAAAAAGGAAAATAAAGCACTCTAAGCCTGTGTTTGGCAGACAAAGCCAAAAATAATGTTGCTAAGGTACTGTGTATTGTTGTGTACCACATTTATATTTCTTTTAAGATAAATTTGATTAATTCAACTTTGCATCCTCCTTATTGGATCACCTCAGGAGAGGCACTGCTTGTGAAAGCCAAATATCAATATGCTCTTTTCCTTGATAGGTGTTGCATCTGCATCTTTAAATGAATGCAGCATTTTAACAGTGTTTTCTCAGGGAATCCATAGACCTTAAACAAAAATATGGTAAACCTTTGCTAAAGATACATCAAAAACTTTTTTTCTTCTTAACGGTTTCAGAATGGCAATTAATACACAAATTTTAACCAAAGCTGAGACAAGTGCCATTTTTGATATTGCTTTGTTCTACTGTTGTGATATTTCCCTGAAGCTATTGAATTTTAGAAATATGAGAATTGTGAATTAAGGCTTTGCTTAAAGTACAAATTATGATTACATATCAATTGCACAAATAGTAAGTGTGAAAATTTCAATTTTTCTATTCAAATATAGATAACAAATAATATGAATTTTTATATCTTGCAACAAGGTGACGTGTCAATTTCATTCTAAAAAATTACTATTTGCTTTAAACAATGACAGGAGCATCATCACTTGGAAGTGTCTTTAGGGAAACTAATGATGAAGAGTCCATTAAAGTAGTGCATCATGCAATAAAAAGTGGTATCAACTACATTGATGTTGCTCCATGGTATGGCCATGGTAAAGCAGAGACTGTTTTAGGCAAGGTTTGTATTTATTTGCTGTTTGGTTAGTTGTTTTGTTCTTTATTACAGTAACTAATTATTACCCATTCTCTGTGAGATGGACACCATTAGTAAGGACTGGCAGCAAGTTTTTGTTAGGCTATACCACAGGAATTTATCTTTTCTGTTTTATATTCAGGCCTTGAAAGAAATACCTCGAGAAGCATATTACATCGCCACCAAGGTAACATTTATTTTGCCTTTTTTAAAACTTGGATCACTGAAGTAAGCATCTTCATTTGTGAAAAGAAAGATGAATGCTTCCTTGATCCAAGTAGAAATACAGATCTGCATTAGTTTCAAATGTTTTAAGAATTTCAAAACTGTTTACAAATATTAATAGCTATTGTGTTTGACAACACCGTTTTTAATAGTCACATGGTTGAGAAGTGGTGGAATAATGCCTATCAGAAAGTGTTTGTAATTGAAAGTTTTACTCTCCAGTTGGAGTCACTACTCATCTCAAATGTTTACATTAATGATCTCATTTCAAGCCTGATACATTTTTGTTATCTAGATGTATTATGCCTTTTTGTGTTTTTCATAGGTGTGTCGCTATGAGCCTGACATGCAAAAGATGTTTGATTTTTCTGCTGAAAGAACATTACAAAGTGTTGAAGAAAGCTTGAAGCGACTGGGTCTGGATTACATAGATGTTATTCAGGTATTGCTCTGCAGAATTGAAAACTGTCAGGATGTAATTGAAGTTTTTCAAACTGGAAATGAGGATTTTCAAAGGTGTATCATAGGAATCCCAATTAGTTTGACTTGCAAAAGCTCGCATTTCAGGGAAAGGATCATATTTGTGTTTTCCTGCCAATTTTCTATCACAGACCATTTTAACTCCCTAGGAAATGATATTTCTCTTTACCTAGCTCAAGGATGCATGTGAGCTGAAATGTGTCTCTATAATTTTCAAAGAATATACTGTGTACAATTGCAATAATGTAATTTGCTCATATCACTTTCTAAACTTTATATTAACTTGTGTTGTGGTTGAAACTGTTGCTCAACTCAATGTGATGTCAGTCAAGCTTTAATTGTAACCAAAATATCTTATAACATGACTTCCCCTTCTACTGAAACCTTTTATTGCTTTATAAAACACATCTTTTATAATTGCCATAATTTCACAGTTTTTTATTTTTTCAGAAATCACTGATTTGCACTTCTAGTAATAACAATAACCATTTTTAGTGTGAATTCCCTGTCAATACAGGTTCATGATATGGAGTTTGCTCCTTCATTGGACATGATTATCAGTGAGACATTACCTGCCCTTCAGAAGGTATTTGCATTGAATTGATGCTTTACAATATACTTATGGTAATTTGTTTACCCATCACCTCTGCAAGATTTTTATCAGAAGTATTAAGAATAGTAACAAAAATAGTGCAATAGCAGGCTGGTATAATTGTACTCCAATATTTAATTACATAGTTTGAATTTAATCTCAAACAAAACTGTTGAAATATGTCATTTGCCAAAATCTTTAAGTTCAGTGTGTTTTGTTTTCATTACATATTATTGTTAATTATTAATTTTCTCTATGGTTTCAGCTCAAAGACAGTGGGAAAGTGAAGTTTATTGGGATAACAGGATATCCATTAGAAAACTTTCGGTGAATACATATGTTGTAGTTTAATTTATAATAGTTTCAGGTTAGCCAACAAGCTTAATTAATTTTCTACTTTCTATGTTCTGGACTGTGGTAATGTATCTTGAGGAAAAAAATTGAAACTTTTTACAAGGTTTCTTACTAGTAATGTTACCTGCAACTCATTTTAAACTACATTCAGATATAGTTTATTTCTTACTCAACTGTATTCTTGGTAGTTGAACCCAATTCAGAGTCAGACATTTCTGAAAATTTCTTTCATTTTTTGCTGATTACTGTTTCATTCATCTTCAGGACTGTTCTGGAAAGGAGTAAAATAAACATTGACACAGTGTTGACATATTGCCGTTGTTCTCTGAATGACGTTGGATTGCTAGATTATATGAACTTTTTTAAAGTAAGATTTAAAGCAGCTCTATCATGACAACTGGTTGGAAATAAAATGTGCTTAAATTGGCTTTCCATGCTACATTTAAAAGCAAATCTCCTCAGTATGCTGCCTGTCTCAAAACTGACCCCAAACACACCACCACTAAAACAAATATTGTTTTATTAGGGAAGGCTGAGTTCCTTTTCTGTATATTAATTTTCTCAATTTTGATTATTTTTTTGAAAGTTCTTATCAATTTTATTAATGATAAATGTTCTGAGGCAAATTGTTTATCTTCAAGGTGAAATGTTCCAAAAGTAAGCAAATGATTATCATCACTTGTCTGAATCTTGAAATGGTGGTAATAGCTTTTCTTTCCCTCAGGCTTTGGGAATTTTTTCTCTCCCTTAACTTGGCCAACAAATGTTTACTCCACCATCAGTGAATGATACTCTTCTGATCTTAGGATTACAATATGAGCAGGTTCAGGACCAAATCTATTGTATAACAATTTCAGGTACAAACAAGGTAGTTTTAATCACTACCAACAGTATATGAAGCAAAAAAGAAAGGAAAAGAAAAAAAGGAAATAAATCAGGCAGCCCATTGCATTAAATTTGTGGTTTTTCTTTGGCATATGATTAGCATTTGTTGTTAACTTTTCATATTATTTTTCATTTTTTTTCCTCTTTAGGTCATTCAAATTTTTTCATATTTTAATTCTTGTGTTGTTTAGGAGAGTGGAGTTGGAGTTGTAAATGCTTCTCCTGTATCAATGGGATTATTGTCAAACCGTGGGCCTCCCTCGTGGCACCCAGCTGGGGAAATTGTACGGAAAAAATGCAGCGAGGCTGTTGATTACTGTCAGGTGTGTTGGTTTAAAATGCATTCAGTATACCCTAATAATTTCATTAATTTTAGAAGGATTTTTTTAGCATTATAGTCCTTATTTATTCCATGAGCTGTCAGCATTTAAAAGTAAAGGGCTGGGTACATTGAAGTAACCCCTGCCAATTATAACTGGGTGAATTTTTTTCATATTTATTTAGTAACTAAGTATTTTAGTTATAAACGTTAACACCTAAGAGTTTAAAAAAACTTGTTCGAATGTGCATATGTGGAAAAAAATTACAAAAACCTAAGTGAAAAACTTAAACTACTTATTAAAATGTAATACCTACTTTATTAAAGATACATCATTTTATAAAATAATTCAAATAGTACACGCGCTCTGATTGGCCATGAAACCATTTTACATGAGCATATGTAAACACGGTTTTCGTTCCTCTTTCATAAGTTATTTTATAAAAGAAATGTAAAATGGTTTTCGTGTTCACATAGCCTGATGTAAACACTTGGGAGGTTGGGAGAACACTCGATAAACTGGAAACCACTCCGCTTCACGTCGTGGTTTCCTATGCTTATCTCGTGTTCTCCCAACCTCCCGCGTGTTTACATCAGGCTATGTAAACACAGAAACCATTTTACATTATTTTCTTCAATATAAGTCCATTATTCAAAAAGTGCTAAAATTTGACAGAACATTTAGAAAAGTCACAAACTATAATAGCAAAGAATAAAATAGAATAGAGAAAAATGATAATGATAAAATAACCTAATAATGTATGTAAGACAGAAACTACTATTAAGATTCTAAGTTGAACTTATGAAGAGCCTTTATAAACACTTGAAGTTTATCTGAGTTCCCAGTATATAACATTAGCTTGTTCCACTGCTTGCAAGTTATAAATGGAAAAGATTTTTGCATCCACTCAGTGTTAAAAGGAGGCTGTACCAAGTTACTTCCCTTAACCCTTACATTATAACATACATCCCTTAAATTCAGAAAATTGGCAAAGTACTTTGGACCTATTGAGTTAAGATATTTATAAATCAACACCAGAGCTTGGTAATAACAATAGTGTTTAAAGTATTTTTGCCTACAAGACTCAGTAAGGTTTCTTAGCTTTCATTCTTAGTCCCAAATAGAATTCTTAAGATATAATAGTTAGCATCTTGGAGTCTATTGCTCTGCACCTTACCAAGACAAACTAAAACTGTATTACAATATTTTAAACATGGAACTAGAAATATCTATACAGGAGAATCATAGTTTTCATGGGAACAAAGTGAGATATTTGTTTACCCAGATCAAATTTGTCATTCTTCTTACTGTCAACCATACAATTCCTATAATGTTAGTTCAGAGAATTTATCCCGCTAATTAATTTATCAGCTAATTATCCCCAAATTGATATCTTTCTGTATTCTCATCGCTTATCTGGTTAATATTGTATTGATAGTGTAAGGAGAAATTCTGTCTTGGTCACTCATGGGAGTTAAAGGGTTAAGAGCTGAGGTCTTGGAATAAATGCTTGCTAACTTTGCTGAAATATGTGCCTTGTAAGAAATCTTCCTATCCAATATTACTCCTAGAATCTTGAGAGTAGGCTTCACTTTAATCTCCATTCTGTTGACTAAAAGATCATGCTTGTATGTAGATGAGCCAAGGATCATAGCTTGTGTCGTGGAGTTTTTAGTTGAGAGTAAATTTTACTCAAACCTTGTAGAAAACATGTACAAGTTCTTATTGACCATGAACTGTAGAGCTAAGGACAAAGGATCAGAATTGTATCCAGTGGCATCATTGGCATATAGTTTTAGTACCATGTTCAGAACACTGTAGTTTACTTTGTTTATATATTTGTTGAATAACAATGGACCAAGCAGAGATCTCTGGGGGACACCTGCCATGACACATTTCCTTTCAGAGCAAATTCTAAGAATTTCTTGTTGTTGTTGTTGTTTTGCACTGTGCTTGTTTGTTTGCTTTTTCAAGAATAGTCTCTACTTAAACAAGAGACTTCCACTCTCAGTAAAATCAATAATTATGAATTTGCCACTAACACTGCCTGATAGCAATCATAGAAATATCACCCAATAATGTTTTAGAGTTGTCTGAGCAGTCACAGTTTTTTGCCTGAGATTTCTCTGTTCTATGATTTTGAGAAAGCTATCTTTGTGCAAAGCTTGTTTTACCTGCTTTGATTCATGTTAAAAAATATTTTTTTTCATCCATTTCTTGAAGGAACAAGGGGTCGATATTTCCAAGCTTGCACTTCATTTCACTTTGGGTTTTGAAGAAATTCCAACTACTTTGGTCAGCACTGCTAGCATTCAAAATCTGCAGAAGAATATTGATGCAGTTAGTCAAAAGTTATCAGATGCTGAGAGAAGATGTCTACTGTATATAAGGGACAAGTATGTTGATTTTTCTTTTTTCCTTTTGAATGAAATGTGATGAAATTAAAGTGGAATAACTTGCTGGGAAAAAATAAAATGTCAAGCGTATGTGGTGGCCTACAAGAGGCAAGATCTATCACAGACTAAATTTTCAGTCATAGCTCTGTACTCATGACACAAGTCTAGAAATGCATCCATAAAATGGTCAGAAGCAATTCATTCAAGATGATTTCTGGAAATGGAGGAAAATTGTTTGTGTTATGTGTAAAAGTGTAACAGTAATACCATCCTTATTAGAGGCTTTTAAGGTGTCTTAAATGATTATTGTGTATGTGTTGCTAGTAGTTACATGTACATCAGAACTTTGAAGTGGTCACTTTTAGAAGGAAAAAGATGATACATAGAAAATATTACTACATCTAACATAACTACACTTACATTTCATCAGCCATGTGAAAAGCAGTAATGGAAACGTCATTCAGCATCAAAATTTTCCTCTGGGTTTTGAAAAGGTGGTTAAAACTAATGGAAGGTTTTTGGACATGCCATTTACATTACTGAAGTGCATCATGAGATAATGTTGTTATAATGCTATCTCTTGCAGTATTTTTGAGCCATGTGGTAATCTTTCCTGGGAAGGTGTAGAAGTCTCAAGATATTGGCAGAAAATGAAACAGCTTCATAATTGACACTGTACTTGTGACTCAGTTGTGGTGACATATATGGCAGCTTTCTACATGTTGTGTGTAAAGAATAGCTATACCTTTAAACTTCACCTTTTGTGTTTTATAATGAAAAAGATTATCAACTTGATTCATTTTGCATGAGAGTTCATCATAATGACAGCTGCCAAATGTAGAAACTTTTATTTGAGGATGTTTGTGGACTTGTTGAAGTTATTTAAATTCATTTCAAATTTGAACAAAGACAGGCAGGCTCATTCTCATTGTATTTTGAGATTTTCTATTGAAGAGTCTCCAGGAAATGTAAATTTTCCTCTGTAAATGATGTTATATTTAATTCAAGAAACTTTGAAAACTTTGGCAATGTTTATTATTATAACATAGCTAGTAAATTTGTCTAATCAAATTCAATTTCACGAGCATGCTTCATATTCCTATTGTGCATGCTCATGACGTCAACAAACATATCCCTCGAGAAGAAAATTTTCCATTGGGTTGAAAATGTTATAAAACAATTGGTTCATATGTCAGCTATGCATTCATCGAGATATGAAGCACTTGGGAAGTTTAGAGAGCACTCACAAAGCTAGAGTTGCTCTCGGCTACGCCTCGAGCAACTCTTACGCATCTTTCGTGCTCTTCAAACTTTCTGTGTGCTTCATATCTCGATGAACACACGCTGACGTATGAACCAATTATTAAGTATAGGAATGTGTGCAGGATGAAGAAATGGAAAAAATTCAGGCTTCCTCTCTGGGATTTCTTTAAGTGTGGCTCACCTGTGAGATTCATTTCTCTACTTGTGTATCATCCACAGGTAATAAGATAATATATTTTATTTGGTTGTGATCAGACTCCCCCATGAGAACAAAGAAGTTCCAAAATTTGCCCCACCCCCAACACATGTTGATTGGCAGATCAGTTAGTAGAGGTGCTCAACTAGTATCTTGGGGGCATGGTTTTGAATCCTGTCAAAGCCTAAATTTTTCCTATGGCTTCTTATCAGCAATTTCTTTCATTGCAACTTAATTGCAAGAATCATTTCTGTACATTTTTAAGGTTTTTAGTTCAAAATGTGATGCATTTCATGTAGTTGTGATCAGATTCCTTTACTGGTCTAGTAGCAAAAACCACTAAAGTGTGGCTCCCTCCTAAGATGTGTAACCTCAGCTGAGTTGGTAGTATAACAGCAGCACATAATATGAATCTAGCCTGAATTAATTTAATTGAGTGATCATCAAATCTTGTACTTACTCATATGAAACATTTATAACATAATGTATCATTCATGTGTGCAAAATTGAATACTATTTACTTGAAAATGTCATGTTGGAAGGTGGAATCATCTGTTATAATTTAAATTCCAAGTTGAAGTTTTTAATGTTAAAGTGAACCCATATCATCGGGAAGAATAGGAAAATATTTATTGATAAAAGTTACTTTAATACCCAAACTTGTGTTTACAAAATAGCTGTGCTTCATTGCATTTAGTAATAAATAATAATTATTACAGAAACTCTTCCTGATGAAAAAACATCAAGTTCTATTTAATGTTGACCAAGAAAAATTTGAATTTAAATATTCTTAAATATTATGTTTGTGTACATGGTATCTGGAAAAAAATGCAACAATAACCAAAAAAATGTACTTCCAATAGAATAAATTAATAGTTTGTTGTTCATTTCATTTTTGCCTGTAAGTGATTGTATAAAAATGTTTGTAACACATTATCAAAGGATGGGGAGACATGATTGTTTTTAAAAATAAACTTTCAGAGAGTGAACACTTTCTAGTCTGACATATTTTGAATTAGTTTATACCTTACAGGTGAATGTTGCTTTTCATGCATGATGAGCTGGTTCAGAAATGATTAGCAAGTACTATTCACCTCCAAGCAACCAAGGAGACAAAATTGCATGTCAATAATTCAATTTCCAACCATTTTTTTGTATATTTACAGACTGAAATAAACTAATTCTTTTCAGTTTCTGTGTGGTATTTACTGAACCAATTATTCACCATGGTTTTGGAGAAAGTGGTGGATATTTACCCTGAGCACCAGTTCGTGGCTCCACTTTGGTGAATAATTGTTAACTATTGCACTGTAGAAGAACCCTTATTGCAGTCTTTGATATAGGTTCAAGTCATGTGACTATGATGTATAGATGTAGAATCCTGAATGATGTGATGCACAACAAGCTGTAGCATGTTTTGCCAGTCACTATGAAGTGTAATTCGCAATTGTTTACATACACTAGAACCATGTTTACTCTGCACATTTCTGCATGCTCTTTAACAATTTTTAGATCCTGTTGAGTTCTTTGCTATGTGCTGTTACTTCTAACCAGTCAGCTGTTTTATTGTCAAAAATGTCTGGCCTTGAAAATTGTTCAATCTTATCTTGGGGTGAACACCATGGCAGCTGTTTGGCTATCTGTCTCATCAGAGCACTTCCTGGCAAATGACCCTTTTTGTATGGCTGCAAAGTTTTGTGAAAGAGAAACAGAGAACAGTTTCAAGCATGTGTTGTTAAGTAAGGGACAAGGCAAATTGTGTTATGTTCTAATAGGCATTTTACATGCCTCTGTACATGCCTCTGATGCCATTAAAAATCCACAATGAGACAAACAGTGGAATGTAAAAGTAAGACAGTCAAATGAGAGAAATTTGTTTTTGTATCAGTTTCATGACAGTCCAGCCTCTTTCATCTCACTTTCCTATCTATCTCTCCAGCTCTCTTTATTCATTCATAATCACTAAAGCAAATAGTGCTGCTGCAGTGAATTAACATGATGTGCAGATGAAGGCAAGAGAGGTGTTGGAACTCTAGGTAATTGGCCTGGCAGAAGGCAATGAATTATTAAATAGCTTACATGAGTAATAATTGTGTGTTCCATCAACTTAGTTTACACCACTTACCCCTTTGTATAAGATGAGTGACTTATCCCATTCGCACTCCTCCTCTTTGTAAGTTATCATCTGTTTTCTATAACCATCCTTACAATTTATAAACTGATCTGTATAGGCTAAAAAAGGGATTGATTTGATAATTAATCATATAATGCAATCATAGCAACATCACCAAAGGGTTATTGAGAATAGGTTAGTAATTGTGTTTCATTTTTGCCTGGATCATGTTTATTACACAGTGACTGTAATTTAGCGATGAAGATCATAATTTTGCATGAATTATCTATTTGAAAATTGTAGTACAGATAAATTTAAGTGTTGAAATTTTCTAAAGTATGGAACAATTCAAACAATTTTTGTTTTCTTTTCCTTATGATGTTCATCATACTCAATTGAAATACCTGTTAATATTAAATTACTGATGTTACATTTAGAATGAGAATGTTGCTAAAGTTGTAGTTTGAATAATTTACATTTAGGTGCATTAGAACACTTACGGTCATACAGGACATTCAATGTTCTGGACTTGAACTTCAAATTTCCTGGATCGTGATCATAAGTAGTCTCGAACTCTGGCAAACCATACGTTTTTGGATTCTCCAGCTATAAATCACAAATTTAAAATATGTGCATTTTTTGAAAAAGTTTCTCTCCCTACTATATGCCTAGATTCAGCAGAAATTTTTTCTTTGTCGAAAATGTGATAGTTAAGCCAGTGAACTGGATTCCTGATGGAATTAAGGGGGTTTGAGCCCTGACTAGGTCCCTTTTTTTGTGTTCTTGGGAAAAATTCTTTACTCTCACACAGATAGAATGTGGGACGAAACTTATGATAAACTGGCATCCCATCTGGGGTGAATAGCAAAAGTCTTAGTTGCCTCATGTCCTAGCACAGTGTGCCATCTTGTCTACAAGCTGATCTAGTCTTAATAACTTTTTAATATCAAAGGTTCTGAGAGAGAGATACCTCCTCCCTGTCCAAGAATTCAGAGGGTAAGGATAAAAAAAGTCTGCCATTAAGTTATCCCTGTCTTGAATCATGACTTTGTGGGTGAAACTCACGCTAGGGTGCTCTTTTATGTATTATGCAATTAGCCGTTATTTTGGCGTTTTATACACCACCGTTCATGAACAAAAAAATGCTCTTGGGCAAAAAATCTGAACGGATGTAAGAAATCAACCAAAACGATTTAAAACATTCAATAGTATTGAAATAATATTGATAACAATAACAGGAATTATACTTTATGAAACAGATAATGAGATGTATATTTGATTTAATTGGTTACTTAACTATAACAACTTACTGGTCTGAAATTATCCCCTCTGAAGGCATGAGGTCCCGGTGTAACGTAAGGATCACGTTTGTGTACACCTTCCCTAACGTACTTGATTTTGGCAGCATGAGAGTCCGGAATACGAAACTGAGTGGAGAAAGGCACCTTGTGTGATACTGGGGGCTGTAGAATTTTTGGTAAAGAAATAGGTTTAAATTCAATCCGCTGTTTGTTTCTCTCCTTTGCTCTTTCATTCCACTCGTCTTCGTTGTAACCTGGTATCATAGATTCTCTTGTATTTCGTTTGGGAGGCTTTGGACGGTAGATTTGAAGTGTGAAGTCCGGTGGCTTGATGTCCCATGGAGTTCGGTTTTCAAATTCTTTTTCTTTAAGCATTCGTTCACGCGCTCGCTTTGACTCCAAGAAACAGTCGCTTCGAGAACGGATCAGGGCCTTCGTTACATTGAATTCAACTTTGGAGCGATAACTAACTTGCACTGTTTCACATCCGCTGTTCTTTTGCATCCTGACTTCTTGGGGTGAATGTCACTTGTTGATTATTGAATGACTATCCTTAGTTTAGTTAGTTTCCTAATGGTTCTAATTACAAACTACCTGTAATCACCTTGAAATTTGAGCTTTTGGCTAGTTTAAACAGCCTAGATGAGTCACAGCCCATCGACAAAAACACCATGGAAATGAACAAACTTGTGGCCATTAAAAAAGTTCTGTAAACATTCGTGTTGTTGCCATGACAACAAACAAAGACTATTTACTATGCGCGCCTCTGCACGCCAAGTGTTCCCGAGGACACTTCCAATGCCATATTTGACGTATTTTACTCAACTAGTGGCCGTTAAAGTCCGTTACCACTTGTTGCAGCGTTGTTTTATTGTTTTTTGGAGTACTAGGCAAAATATTTGAAGAAGATGGAAGAGTTTCACAAACGCTACTCTACAACATGTCGAGAACATCATGTATTTCCATTAGAAAGTGTTCTAAATCATATTCGAAGCTATTCAGACGGCGAACAGTTTCGTGAAAGTAGATCAACGCCTGAGAGTGCGACGAAATTAGATCTTTCCTGTTGTAACCTCACTCCAGAGGATTGTAATGCACTTGTTAGCGTTCTTACAGATGACCTGTTCTTTGAAGAGCTAAATTTTTCCGACTGTCTGCTTAGCGAAGAATCAAGCAAAATCATTCTTAGAGGCTTGATAGACAATAAAGCCGTCAAACGGTTGAACTTGAAAGGGAATAACATTCGCGCTGGGGCTGCAGAAATCTTGGGTCAGTTCCTGAAGAGAAATGAGTGTGTTCGAAGTCTACTTATCGAGTGGAATTCGCTTGGCTTGTGGGATAATGGAATGAGAGCTATTTGTGAGGGACTGGCTCACAATCAAGCGTTATTATTTCTCGATTTGAGGAATAATCAGATTACCCATGAAGGAGCAAGTCAAATCGCTGTTGCATTAAAACGTAACCAATGTTTAAGAGGTCTAGATTTACGCTGGAATAATATCGGCCTCCTTGGTGGAAGGGAATTACTGGAAGCTTTGAAGTTTAACAAAAGGCTTGTGGGGTTGGAACTCACAGGTGAGGTTTTCTATCCTCTTTTGAGGGGATGTTGGGTGTACCATTCATGTATCACAGATGGGAAGGATTCTCTAAAAGTGCCTTAGTAATTATCATTTTTTACGACCTTGATATTTTATGTTGTTGTCCCATTTGAAATTCTGTGATAGGATAGGAGGGATTATTGTCCTTGAAAGTTGATTATGCTTGTACGAACTCTGGATTTCCATCAAGAGAAAGAAAAAGAAAGAAAGAAAGCAAAAAAAAAGTAGAAGTCGGAACAAGACCTGGTGGTTATAAGATTTGATAGTTTAAAAAAAAGCCCTTAGTTATAGGTCCAAATATACATTTTAGGGACAAAATCTCAGTGTAGTTATTGCATTGTGAACCTAACTTCACACATGAATTCTTGATAGTGAGGAGAAAGGTAAGGTTGTGTATGGCTACAAAATGAAGACATTTGAGAGCAAAAGTAAAATCAGTGAAAAGTTACTCCATGCAGTGTTTATCACAAAATGGTAAATAAGTTACAATCTTTTATCAAATTAAACAAGATTTTTTGACAGCTTGCTTGATTGATTTCATTAAAAATCTACACAGGGAACAACATTCCTCAAGATATTGTTCAGGCTTTGTCTGTTGCTATCCAACAGAACAGTGACAGACAAGTAGCTTTTGAAGAACATCAGGCCCAAACTGAGGCTTTAACAAGAGAATTGGAAATGACACAAGAGAAAAAAAGACAGGAGGTATGTTCTTCTGATAACTAATTATTAAACAGGATATTGTTACAATTCTCAATATCATTCTACCCTTAGTGGTGCATCTCTTTTTGTTGCTTATGTAAGTATAATCATCAAGCACTTTATTTAGATAAAGAGATAGGGAAAGTCTAAGTTGTTCTATCTGGCTTGAGCTTATCCCTGTTTCCATAGCATGAAGTTACTGGGAGTATTGTCTATTCCCCCTGGTTAGGATGCTTGTCCATGGCTGCCCCCGTTCAAATATTCAAATGGTCATGATAGTTGATGATAGTTTCAATTATCATGTGCATTTGAACATGAACTATCATTGACTATCTTCTAATTCAACATAATAAGTGATGATAGTTGTTGCTGTTTGAATGAGTGGATGATAGTGACTGATAGTTTTTTTGGTGAGCAGTTTTACCAAAAACAGGCTCAAACTAAAATGGTAAAGGGTAAAATGACTGAAGTAGCTGTTAAAGTGTCACAGGATGTCTTGTTGTTCATTCTCATCATTTTCCTGGCTACAAGAATGATGAGAAAAGGTTGAAATGTATTACATTCAAGTCCATATTTCATCTGATTAATGTTAGGTGACGAGTTTGAAGGAAGAAATTGACCAACAGAGATCCAGTCAGGAACAGCTTAACAGAAGTATGCAAACCAAGATTGATCACTTGAGAACAGCTTTGGATGAAAGGAAAGCAGCATTTGATTCTCTATCATCAAAATTGTCCACCACCAACTCTGAATTACTTTTGTCCAGAAAAATGTTCTCTGAACAGAAGCTTGCAGTTCAGACATTAACTGATGAACTGCAAGAGGAAAAGGAAAGCAAGGCTGCAACAGAGCTCCTCCACAGAAAGAAAATGAATGAGGTTCTGGAGAAAAATCAGGAGTTAGAAAAAACAATCAACATTCTTGAAAGAAGAAATAAGAGCCATGAGAATAAGATAAGTACTTTAGAGAAGGATATTGAAGCCATGGAAACCCAGTTTGCTGATAGGGGAAAGGCTAGTGATAAAAAATTCCAGGAAGAGCTTCTGAATACTGAAAGAAGGCTACAAAAAGAAGTAAGCAATTTGCAGCAGAAAGCTCTGGAATATCGTGAAGCCACAAAAGAAAAGATGATGAAGTTGGAGGAAGAGAAAACTGCATTTGAAGAGGAGGTTAGCACTTTGAAATCTCAGTTGGTCTCGTTGAGGATCTCCTCAGATGAAGAACTCCGTAACACAAAGACAAGGTTAAAACAAGATGAAATTACTAGATCCCGACAGTATGATGAGCATCTATCTCAAATCCAGCAATCACAGAGTGAGCTTCAAATCCAAAACACAAAACAGTTGACACAGATCACAGATTTGCAGTCTCAGCTTAATTCTACACACAGAGATAGTGAAATGTTGAGGAGGCAGATGGAAACTTTGAAGCAACAACTGGAACAGAAAGATGCAGATTACAGAAATGAGGTCAATCGGTCAAGAATTGAACTTGACTCAGAAAGGAAAACTCAGTCTGAGCTACGAGATAAAATTTCTGATTTGGAAAGTAGAATAGCTGAAATGACAAGAAGACACAGGGATGCTATAAGCATAAAGGACAGTGAATTGGAACTACTAAAGGAACAGCTCAGATGCAAAGAAAATGAAATCAAAAAAATTCATGATGAAGAAATGAAGAGAGCTGAACTTCTTGAGAAAGCCATATATAGCTATGTATCTAGCACTAAAAATTCTTCACTCTCTCCTCACCGATCTTAGTGGAATCACTGTTAGATTGGTAATGTTCTTGTCATGATTAAACACTTGTCCCATTCTGCTATTTCTCAAAAAATGTCTCCATTGATAAGTAAAGAATTGGATTACTCATGTCAATTTGCAATCATTTGATTATAGCCTCAGTTCAGTGTAAACTGAATTGCAAAACTTAAGGGCTATTTTCAATGCACCTGCACTTAAATAATTTGACATGACGCAAACAGGTTGTTTTGAAAGATGAAGTTTTTAGTACAAATAAATTATGTTCAATGGAAAATATAATTGCAATCTGGAAAATTGTACTTCCCAAATTCCCACTGTGATGAGGAAAGTCAACCGTTGCAAATTAATGTCAGTCTCAAGTAATCAAAAAAGTGACAAGTCTTGTTGAACTCGGGTTACATCTGAAAAGTTGACTTTTCTCATTTAATTTAGAATCCTGAAAAAAGATGGACTATGTGGTTGCTGACTAACGATTATTTTGTCAGTAATTATTCTGTAATTTCAGAGCAAGCTGAGGGTCTAGACTGTTACCCAGTTTCTAGTTTCTAATCATTGTATTAAATTTTTTATTAAGTAATCTGAAATTTAACACAGTGTTCAATTTTATTTTCCCAACAAGGCATCAGACATAGATATTTGAAAATTTATATTGTTAGTTATGTGGCTTTTCAAAACTTAGATAAATGAAAAAGGAAGTTTTAAACTATTATAAAGCGAAACAGGATTGTATAGCACATTCAGTAACACAAAGTGTGTTCAAAATATTAATTTTCTTTATGAGAATTGTATTGTATTTGTACCTTGTAAAAGAAGCCTTGATAAAATTTACTCTTAAAGTAATGTTGACATCCAATACTTTGCTTTAGTCTTGACAAATCTATACTGTGAGGCAGTTGTTCCTTTTCCAGAGATTTAATCTGAAGACCAGTATCATTTGTACAAGCAGAGAGGACATACTATGTTTTTCTGTTGGTGAAGAGTTGTTCTAACACGTGTCTTTCGACTAGTCTTGAATTGCAAGTCTTTAAATGAGCCATTAAATGCAGAACCAGTGATAAGTTAATTCCTGGTCATTTTCTTTGGGACTGGATAATCACATCACAGGGCAAGGATCTTTTGTCAGATTCAAGGTGTGCTTGGTTACACTCCAGGGTGTATTCACTAAGAAAATCTTGAGATAAAAATGACTCTTTGAAGTCAGTTAAAAAGTAGGCAAAGCACGGTACAATATCTCCTACTTGAATTCCTGTTGCTCCTTGGGTTGTAATAATGTCACATTTTGAACGCTTATACCATGTTGGGTGATTTTCTAGATCGTCCAGTTCACTCAGAACATTCTCATCCACTTCATATACCTCACCATGGACTTGCTGATTTGTAAAAGATAAAACAAACCATCTTTGGTCAAGAAATAATTAAGGTAAATGATTATCCAACTCCCTAGAAAGAAACAAGGTCTTTTACTTGAAGTATTTATTATTTTGCCATAGCCCACTACAGCCTGAAATATGAAAACTGTGTATAGGAAACACTCACTATTCTAAATCCTCATTTGGAAAAGAGGATTGGGTACATCAAATGAAAAATAAAACTGAAAACATTATTATATTGGATCTTTTAACCCTTTCATCTAATTTCTCCTTACAATATCATCTGTGAATCACCACATTAAGGTTGTGAGAATAAAAGAAATGATCCTGAACTAAGGAAGCTCTTGATTGTTAAACAAATTCTCCTTTTCAGCACCTTAAAAAATGTACTGAGAACAATATAGAGAATATGCACACTGACCTTAGGGTGTAAAGGGTTAAAGAGTGAAACAGCTACCAAACACTTTTTGAACCACTTTGATAATTGCCACTGACACACTCTGAGTGATGAACAGTGTTTTGTGTTTGGACAACCACCTTTTTAACAAAGTTATTGTCTTAAGCCATTTCGGCCAGAAATAGGGTGATTAGTTTCAATTTTTGAGAAGTTCAGTTCCCCCCCTCTACAGTGCTGCAGTAACTTTTATTATAGTCAGATAAAAGCTTGATTTCTACCACTCTCCCTGTCTGGTCTTTGCTCCTCCCCTGGGTTTGAGGGGAGGAGTGCGGGCTCATATTCCTGAATAGTGTCAGGTAATTGAGCCTAGACTGATATTGATACTAAATGTCTCCAACTTACCTTTCCCTGATTTTTTACTGGAAGCATAAAAGGAATGGATGCATCAGTCCCTACTACAAGTGGAAAGGCATCCTTGGTATGTCCAGTAGTTATAAAATGTGCCACTCCATTTCTCCTGTTCTGCATGAAGTAATGATTTGCAAATCCCTTTTTCAAGGTCCCATAGACAAACACCTTAATCAATTCTGTCATCACTCTCTTTCCTGTGTAGTTGTGGTCCTAGGGATACAAGACCAAAAGACTTAATGATCCATAAGGGGAAAAGCATTATCAAATTACTTATCTCAGATTTAAGCATCCTTGGTTCATCCATTGTGCCAAACTACCTCAACTCTTCCCTTAACTCCCAAAAGATACTAATTAAAAATTATTGTTTCACATATTGTTCCCCACACCAAACTTCTATAAGTTTTAAAATTCTATAGCAATCCAGTGCACTTTCAATTCATCCAAAATCTAATGTTTCTAAAAACTTTCCAGTTTGACTTGTCAGTAAACTGCCACCCCCTACCCCCCCCCCCCACCACCCCACACACAGAAGTACCTATTCTCTACCGTGACATTAATTCGAAGCAAAAGTTACCCTAGGCTTGCATAATTTTGAAAGACCATGGAATCGCTCTTATTCATCATGCATTATATACCTATCAGTGCTACAGTTGAATTGCTGTAAGCAAATTGTTATGACAATTGGTTCGGAAAAACCCACATGGAGGAAACAAACAAATTGTATTGTATCGTAACGTAAGCTTATGGTCCTTATGGAAACATTTGCCCTTAGGAGACTATGGAGGGACTCGAATGACGAAGACCAGGTGGTGCATCGGTATAAACCTGAGGAAACAGACCACCATGCAAGAGGTTAGAGGTATATGCCGTCAACATCACTCGATCTGACGCGCTGATAACTGCGAAAATCAGTGTATGAATCCGAAGAGCATTCTCGAATTTCGTCACAACCGTCAAACAAAGCCTGATTACCTTTCTAAAAGATTTGCATGGATTCTGCAAAGTGTGTCTCCCTCGATCTTTAGAGTCTTTCGCCTGTCTCTAAGGTCACGGGTACAGATGACTATCATGAGGACTGGAACTGGTTGAACTTCTTCCCGAACTGCAAGGAGTCTGGAATCCAATCCACTGGTAAGCACTCGCGGAAACTCGCGCAGGACGTTTATGGCGCAAGTACATAGTTTCGTAAAGCTTACCGTGTGCGAAAATGTGAAATATTAAAGTTCACCGTCGTTTAAAGGGAGCACTAATGTCAGTGTTAGTGGTGGGTGTATGAAACGATTTCTTCACTGAAACAAATAATTTTTGAAGGGCAGAATTGGTGGAGGTGCAGTATACAATTAGGGCTTACAGATCAACGCGGAAGAGTGAGCCCGAGAGGGGTGCTGGCATACTCCTTGAAAATCTTGATTTTAACGCGTTCAAGACGACGGGATGAAAAAAGAGAGCATTGAAATGATTCCTTACAAAATTTAAGAACTTTTTACGTCAAAAAGCATGCGTTATTTCATCCTTAAATTTTTCATCACTTACTGAAAACAAGAAATCGTCAACTATGCAGGAAAAGTGTGTCTACTTTGCTGATGGCCCTTGAACAAAATTGAGGGGGGGGGGCAGGGGGAGGTCTAAAGCCAAAGTTGTATTCTACCTCAGTGTGTTTTCCTTACATTCCCCACGTAATTGCTGCATTCCTAGTAGATGTGGTGCTTAATCATGATTTACCCACAGGGCATTTTATAGTATCTTTCCAAATCAAGGATGGGCCTAATCTAGTAAGTTGGGTCGGCACCTAACTCCACCATGCTCAGTCCCAAGCCCAGTGGAGAACCAGGTAGGGCTTAGCAGGGTTAACTGAGGGGCTAACAATGTAACCTTATTCAAATCTCCTCTGCTACAACAAGACTGACAATCTGAAATTTAGTTTGGCCCTGGAAAACAATAAGCCATACATCAGGAGGATGTGCTAAATAGTGAGACTTTGTTATTCTTGGAGTCTCTTAGAGAAACTTAGCTTGAGATGTGTGTGCCAAGAGGTCCTTTGTTGGTAACCTTTGTCTCACCAGGAGCTTTAGAAGAAAGTATGGTTTGTATTAAAACCAAACTTGAAGTGGGCAGCTGCAGCACTTTTCAAAGGATCTAAATTGTGCCATGTATGTTTACACTGAGGGCTGAGGTAAAGATTCTTATGAGTTATACAAAAGACATTATACTGTTCAACAAAAAAAATATCTGCTGCATGATATCAATAAAATAGAACAGCCTGGAAGGACATGGTTCAATTACAGACTGTTATATACACCACAATGTGGTTTTAAAACTTTTTAGAAAAATCCAAAATAAATGTAAAACTTCAGCCCTTTCTGATTATCTCTGGAGAGCAATTTTCCAGATCTCTTTTTCCTCTACAATATTACTTCTCTTCCAACACCACTTTTTCTCCAATGATGAATTAACTAATTTTACAATGGTGTTGATTAAATATGCAAAAAAAAAGTTTTTCACCCACAAAGTATTCCTTCAAAAGACATGACTCATCAGCTCAGCTTGGTTGTCTGATAAAGGATCAATCAAGGCTGGTGCTTATCTTCCTTAAAATTTGAAATAAATCTGCAAGATGTGCAGTTGAGTAACAATAGTGACTATTCTTACATACATGTAATTCATTCGTCTTGCAAACTGCATTTGCGGTTACCTACACCAATTTAAAACTCTTGCAAAAAAATGAAAAAATGAACATTTTTTCATTTCTCGCGAATTAGCCCGTTTATTTTATTGTTGCACTTCAGTCATTCATATATGGATGAGAAATCGAAATTTGAATTCAACCATAGGCTATCTGGCCAAGCTGTTGTTCTAATAAAATCTTACATCTGGAGTAAGGTTAGCTTTAGCAACATTAACCGGCAGGATTTTTCTGCAAATGTTCAACAAGCCACTCGTGAGTAACAAACCAGAATGAATTGGGTCTGTAGATTTGTCGAGCGAAAAAACCCATCTGTGAACGCGGATATATTACATGGAGATGCAAATGCTGTATAGAATTAAATGGTGGCCAGTGGTAGCCATACAAGACGTCCTCAGAATCAGTAACACTGTTGGTAATAGCATTCTTCCCAACCTCAAACAAATGTTCAACAACTTGCAGGTCAACTGCAGTGAGTGACTTCGGATTTCCATAATGTTCTTTGGGAATCACTAAATAATGGTGATTCGCAGCTGGTCGAATGTCTGGAAAAACAACAGTCTTCTCATCTTCGTAAATTATGCGAGATTCTTGTTCCTTGACTGCAATTTTACAAAAAACACAATCTTTCTTACTCCCTAGGTTTGGCGATTCAGCAGTCATATTGATGAAACAAACCGTGAGGGAATAGGGCGAGCTACTCCAAGCACATGCGCCACTTCATAAAAGTTCGAAGAAAGACTAAAGGAGTGATAGCTACAAAAGTTTTAAGACGTTGTTCCCTTTGCCCGGCGCTTTGCCTGGGCCTTTTTCGTTCGGAGAGCTATGTCAGAACATGACAAACAGTTAGAAAGTTTCTTCGCGAAAAAGGAGAAGGGAAAGAAGTCCAAAGGAAAGAGCAAATTTACAACAAGTGATGCTATTACGAAGCAAGTTGGAAGCACTCAGAAGGAACCAGACGGTCGATCGAAAGATCAACTAAGTAAGAAGGCTTCTGGAGTGACACCGGCGCCTTCTAACACGGTATGAATGCACGTACGTTCAAGGCATTCTAAAACTTCGTCGAAACGTTCACCAATCATTCTCGGTCGGCTTATCGATCGAGTCACGTGTATTTTTTTTTCTTGTTAAGTCCTAAAAATGGCCTAAAAATGGTATTCGTCATTCTTGTAACAGTTATATTACACTACACTTTTTTTTGTATTTTCCTAGAAGTAAGCCAAATAACCCACGTTCATATTCCTCGTCCAAGTCTTTTTTAGTTCGACGTTAATCTCTTTTAGTGTGATGGTGCGCTTTTTTATAAACCAGTGGAGGAAGAAGAAAGAGAGCTGGCAACAGCTAGCTGCAACATGCAGATATAGCCTTGGTCTTGAAGGAATCTTCAATCCTTCCGTCTATAACTTTTTCTTAATTATCCTGTATCTTTTTTTTGGAAAGCCAAATTGATTTTTTTTGAAATTGCTGATGAATAACCTTACCAAAATACCCGTTTTCTATGCTAGTGACTGAGCTGACCGTTTTCGTTCTCTAAGTTTTTGTCAGTTTATACATATATATATATATATATATTTGGATACTTCTCCTCTCACCTCTCATTGGTTTGTTTCATCAATGAATGTTATTTTTCCAATTGGTTTTCCTTTCTGAACAATTATGATATTATATCTTATATGCCTGAACAATAATATAAGAGGTGGTGATGCTATCATGAAAAATCGCAAGTCTGCAATTTTTTTTGTGTATTCCAAAATCTCACCAGGGAGCCTTTTTTTTTTTTTTTGCACTTCTCTCAAAGTTCTTAGGTGTGACATTTTTCTTAAGATCAAGGGTCTAGAGCTGGAGTTACTCATAGAGTTGCTATATGGACCTTGTACATGAAAAACCTTTTGCAATGTTGAAGCTTATATATAGCAGTGCAAGTGCAAAAGTGGGTAGTGAAACTTAAGCTTATTATTTACTTAAGCACATTATTTTCACCAATAGTAACTTGCTAAAGCTTATTGAGTTAAGAAGGGTAGGTAAGAGGTAGTTTGTTATCTGTTGTGCAATCTCTGTTTGAAATCTTTAAACAGGGGTCTCCACAAGTTTTAAGGCTCTGATTTTTTTCTTTTGTGGCCCATTTGCATGCTGAAATAAAGTTGTAGTTTGTCTTTCTACTTTATATTACATCAAACTTATTGAGGAAAAACTGATTTCAAAATCTCATCCTATCATGGGTGGGTTAGGAGGGTGACAAAAGTCTATCAATAAATGATGGATAATTTCCAAGTATCATTTTTCATACAGAAAGAGGAGGAGTGGATTGACTTTCAGGAACCAGAAGAGAAAGATTACTCAGGGCTAAGGATACAGTCATTACAGATTGGGTGAGTTGTCAGGGCTGTGATAACCTGTATTTGACCTCTCATATTAGATGATTGTGTAAGGATCATGTCAAGACACTAAAAAATCTCTTAGTCTGGTGGGAGGATTCCAATTATTTTAGTTTTTACCAAGTGAGAAATTTGTCCTAAAAAATCAAATCAAGTCATTTTATTATCGTTAAATTTTTTTAGTTTTTAAGTTTGGAGATTAAGTGTATTTCTATGTGAATGTTATTTTTTCAAGTGATGAAGCTGTTGTTATCATAACAGCAACAAGCATGGTAATGATATTGATGATGATAATAATAGTAATAATAATACTTATAAGAATGATGATCATAAGCTCTATTTAAATTGTTTTGCTTCAAAGAGAGAATGCTGAAGGTGAAGGATCAGAGAGTAATGAACAAGAGGATGAAGATGATGAAGGTATGGAATTACATTGTCCCAGTGTAAAACATTCTATGGATAGTTAAGGAGATCAATGTTAGTTTTCTTCTTTACAATGGAGCAGAAACACTCCAGAAACTGGGATAAGCTACAGATGCTGTGTGATAGAGTACTCCTAGCTAAACTCTTTTCAAAGTTTCTATTTGATGACCTAAATTATGAAATAGTGGCCAGAAATAAAATTTCAGTCACCATTGCTTTTGGCAGTTCATCCAATATCTCAAGGCTTAATATCCAGACAACTAGAGGCAATATTAAAAAAGAGAAAATATTGGAGATTTATTTAAAGTGTTGTATGCAACTGTTTATCCCACTCTAAATGAAGGACAAAGACATTAATTGATGAAGATGCAGCAACAAGCTGTAGGACTGAGGACTGTTTGCTAGTCTTGTATGCAGACCCCCCCTCTTATTTTCTGGAGAGGGAAAAGTATGTAAGCAGTTAGTTTCAAATTTGACTAGAAGGCTTGGTTGATGCATGAATTAATTTTTTTTGTAAAATTGACCCAAATAGTTGTAAGCTGTATCTTGGTTATTGTCATTTTGTAAACACTTCTCATGCTTATCTCCAGGAGACTCATCGGTAAGGAAAGACAAAACTGCAGGACCATGGCAGCAGCTTTCCACAGCACCCCAAGGCACTGCTGGTAATTCCATCTTTCAATAAGATAGGGAGGGGGGGACCATGGTTTGTGAAAGGTTCCAGTTTGATTAAACACACCAATTTGTACTTGATGTATTTATTTTTGTTTGTTTGTTGGTTTATCCACAGCTTCTCAGGCCTCAGAGGAGTCTAAGCCAGTAGGGGCTTACAGACCACCAGCTTATAGAGCCCCTGGTAGAAGGGCACCAGTTTCTGCAGGCCGAAAGATGCCTGAAATTGACAGTGAAATTGCTTTCCCCTCATTGTCAGCAGCCATGGCATCAAATGATAAAAAGTTAGTTGGTATCATTTCAGATATATTTTTATAAATTGTAATCATTATGCATCATGAGACAGTTTTAAGACTTTTTGAGTTACTGTTCAAATGAGATGTACTCTACCGTTCTCTATTCATTGCAAGCTGCATTGTCTTTCAAATACATTTTTTATCTTGTTTTCAGTAGCAAGGAGACTAATGATGGGAAAAGTTTTGAGACTGTGAAGCATGGATCACGAACACTTGAGAATTTAGCTGACAGGGGACCACAGCTTGATCTGGGAAATAAGTTTGATGCACTGAGAAGAAGCTAGGGTCGATTGCTACTTAATTACACAATTACAAAGCAAATACGAACTGGATGTTAAAGAAAGAGTGGAATCCACTCATTTACTTGACCTCAATTTCAATTTAAAAGCTGCAAGTTCCGCAAAGTCAATTCTGGGTTAACTGTGGTTTGCTTGCTCAGTCAAGGGATCAAATTCTATTTTAAATACTTTGGAGTGTGTTTGATTTACCCTTTTACTCAAAAAATCTAAATATCAATTACTTTCACTATCTGTTATACACTCTAATTATACGCGTCCTCTCCAACTTGCTGCAAAATTAAACAACGTCCCTTAGAAAATAATTTTCTTTGCTGTTCATCTTGTAAAATGTAATGATGTTGAGAAGAGAAATTCGTTATTGATCAATTTTGGGCTTGAAGGGATTAACAAGTATGGTAAAGTGGTTAGAGCAAATTGCAGTCCTTATAAGCTTGTCATGGAAATGTGGCAATCAAGACTGTTGATGGCAGAAAATATTAGTATTTGTTCCCTTTACTGTATTTTGAGACTTTCACAAGAGAAAAGTTAGTTCACTTTAGGTTAGTAACTTAACCACGCCCAGTTGTTCAAAGCTGGGTTACGATAACCTAGGGTTAAAGTGAAATTTGATTTCAGATCCGATAGCTTTAAAAGAAAATTTGGGTTACGGTAATCCAATTTTTCTACAATTTGATGACTGAATACACTAAAAAGAATTGGGAAAACTATCCCAAAATAGCTTTGAACAGAGAAATATAGAAATCTGGAGTAAAATTTAACCTTAGGTTAGCGCTAATTGGCCGTCGAACAACTGGGCCCTGAAGTCATCTTTTAAAATCTGGTTTTGTTGGGTTTGACTTACATGAACTAGAAAATGAATTATTTGTCTTTCAGCGAGCTAAACACTGAAACCTCAGAAGGTTGCTTCTTCCAAACGATATTTAAATAATATTTTTGTGCTGAAGAACATTTAAGAAATATGTCATTTTGTAGTGCCTATGTCGACAATTATCTTGAGGTAATACTGACTGTGCTCAACCTACATTAGTACAGCCTAGTTTATTTTATGTGTGATACATTGTTAGGAGATAAAAGCAAATCGCTTGTCAAACAAGTCAGCACCGAGGGCATACGACTGTATAATGTGATGATGTTCTTGGTAACCAAACGGGAGAACCTCTCAACACTAAATGAAATGCATCTTAGACTACTTGATGCATTTTAGCGATATATCTGAAGTGTGATTGATATGATTTCGACTATGCAATTTTATTTAGGTTTCCTTTATTTTTTTCTTTTCATATTGTTTTTGTTAATATTCAACTCCTAGGAACATTGCTACATTCAAAATCTTTCCCAGCCAAATTCAGAATTAGGCTTAAACAATCTGGGTCAGATCATTCACTACGTCAGAAAGTTTTTCGAACTCAATTGACGAGGAAGGGAGTTACCCTTGTACAATTGATGTGGTTTCATCAATCAACTAAACAACAGTTTGCGTATCAGCCAACTTTGTTCTTTTAGTTGCCTGGCGTGAATAAATAGCTATAGTTTCTCTTTAACTCTTGTGTTCATCAAGTACCGTATTTAATGGATTGAACGCCGCGCTCGAATAGACGCCGCATTTTAGAGCAGAAATATTACTAAACGCCGCCCTTGAATAAACGCCGCATCATGATGCGGCGTTTATTCGAATACTAGACTCGTAAAGCACACAGCGATCATTGCTTCGATCGCAGTTGGAAATTTTGAGTGAATCAGACACAAATCCTTTTGAATGTACCAGTTCTGATGTCGAGAAAGCATATCCGACAATAGATCTTTATTTACTCCATGTATTGCAGTAGTATAAACATGCGAATTGTGAAATTGAGAACAATCTGAAAAGACTCGCTAGACAAGAACTAAAGAGTGCCCCGAGAGGAAACTCGTGACTCTGTCGCCTTAAGTTGACATAGAACGCATGCAGATTGTCTGCTATGTAGGCAAAGTACATGATACGTTATACTGAAGAAAACTAATCCACGTAGGTTTAACTAGCATATGGTAACGATTGAAATTCCCTCGACCGCATAATTTGTCGGCTGTTAGGCTCACTAGTAAAACTAGCGGCTTTGCATTCAAGGTAACCTGCACATCCCAAGAGGATATTTCACCCCCGTTTTTTTGTACAACAGTCATCGGAAATGAAATCTGTCTCTAATTGCATGGATACAAATAAACCCTAAATTATTGGAAAGCTCCCTTGTCACAGCTCCGAGTCGTTCCACCGCGCGCGTGAGGGCCTGCTTACAAACCAGTCAGAGATAAACGTTAATGAAAGGAAAAAAGGGCAGAGTAGCTTCAACGTAAGAGCTCGAGCTCGCTACGTGAGCCTTGAATGTTTTCTGAAGCTGTGGACCCTTCCTGTGACTCTTCCTAGTGACTCCTTCCTCCTTCCAAAGAGAATACCCCTTGGAAAAGAGAACCCAAGCGGGCTGATAATTTTCATGTTCTGAAAGCTTGATCCATTTTCTTACGAACCAGGGGCAATTTATGTTCTATTCTTAAATTCTGTTATGAGAGCTTGATCAAAAGCCCTGACACTCCACTTCATGCCAAAATATTGCCAACAGAAAAGGATCTTCGCCGACGCCTTTTATTAGCCATTGAAGCCTCGACTGCAATGTTTACAAGTATGAGCTAGTTTGCCAGACTACTTTTCCGTTATTGCGGGCTCATTTGTGAAAAGTCTGTACTCACAAATTAAGTTTCTAATAATTTGGCTGCGCAGATCGTTAACATCGGGGTCGCCGGTTCGCCATTTTATGGCGGTTAGATTCATAGCAGGTAAAGAAACTGGAAGAACCAGCGTTAAAGGTTGATGTCAATACGTTTGAAGTGTTCTGCTTTAATAAACAAGAGATTCTCCGATGCTCTTCATGATGAGAGCGAGCCACTTAGAATTTAACAACTATATTCACCTCTCTGAGTGATAACTTTGACCCTTGCTGTCGGTTAGCCTTGGAACGGGACTCAATGGAAGCACTCGCTCAAAGTCATGTACCGTTTTCTACAAACTTTGAATTTTACAATTTCGCACTTTAAAGAGACAAATTGGGAAACGAAATCGATGTACCATTTAAAGGAAAATCATTTGAATGCAGTTACGTGTGGTGTGACAGGTATTGCGCGAAAACTCACAGGTGGATCAACTAGAACCTGTTGGTTCACGTGACCTGGTCAAAAAGCTAGTATTGTTTGTTTCAAGTACTTTATAGTTCCTCCATATTCAGCGATTCTTACTCTCCGGAAATCTAGGTTTCTGCATGAACTTGAATGAATGACATGATCCGGCGATGAACCAGTCATGGCATGGTAGAGATGTGTGTCATTGAACCGGTGCATGGTGAGCGATGGCCCGCTTGATTTCAAGGAGAAAACTGGTCTACTACACCATAGTGGTAACTTCCTTCTGCTGGGTCCTGGGAACTGTGTCATTTTTTCTCTTTCAGTCGTTAGAAGTTAGCATCGACGTGAAAAGACGTACGTCTGATAGTCACCCTTCCTCGCAAAGGCCGAAATGGAACGTTCAACATGACCGACTTGCTAAGGAAACAGACCAGAGAGCGGGTGAACAATACATTCCGAACGAGACAAAGAAAGCCCGCATTAACCTAATTTATCAACAAATCTCCAACAAAGGCATCAGTGCTTCAAAAGGATCTCAAAAGAAACTTGAACAAATCACAGCCAATTATGAGAGGTATCCGTCGGGGGTTAAACTAAAAGGACCGGGCGCTAGGGGAGAGGGGGTTACCGTACCGGAGTCCCGCAAGGACGACGAAGAAGAAGGATTTGAACAGCATTCATTTAATCGTGTGGCTAGTGATATGATTTCTGTGCACCGAACGCTACAAGACCACAGAAATAGCAGGTAAGTTAAATGATTGACTACTACACGATAAGAGGGCCGTCATTTGTGAACAGGTTGATTTGAGCACTCACATTTGCTAAATTATCATAGTTTGTAATTGGGTTGTTTTTGGAAGATGATAAATCAGTTTATTCTTATGGACTGTGTTATACATTAATTCTATTTCACAGTATCACAGTGATGGTGTTATCGTGGTAGAGATATTACACATTTTTTTCACCGGTATTTTTACGGATCATTTGCCGAGTTTCTACGGCTAACTACTTCTCAGTCCATTCAGGCAAAACATCACTGGGTTGAATTTCCCCTCCTTTGCACTCTCTTTCTTATCACAACTCGTGTTCGAAGCATAATATATATTTCTGGCAAGCACGATTCATTTTAGAGGCCACTCATGTGAAGGCCCCTTTTTCGTTAAGATTCCAGAGAGTCCTTCGGAAAAGTCGTTCCAGTTCCTGATTTTCTTACCACTGGTCGAGTGGAACGAAGGCGCAGGATAATGTCATAAAACGTTTTCGAATCATAGAGTAAATCGCCTTTTGCATCGGTATCGTGAGGATGTCTCAAAATTAGCATTTTCTCTCCATAAAGGGCCATACTTTTTTTAATTAGGGCTGACCATGAATAATTTGTGCAACATATGGTACCAGATCTGATAAAAGCTGGGTGCTTTCATCACGTGGAAACTGAGCAAAATATGTTTGAGGAATGATCATTCCAAAGAGACGCATTGTGTTTTACTTCGTGGTTATAACATCCTCTGTGTGGATTTATTTGGCTACGTACTTTATCCTCACAAACGAATTCGAGCCGGAGGAAAATAGGGTTGCAGATGAAGCCACTTACAATCTCCTTATGTATGATAAAACTCCAGATAGAAACCCAAACAAGCCTGGAGAATGGGGTGCTGGAGTCTCGCTTAATTTTTTGGAAAAGAAAAGAGAAGAACAAGGCTTTCACGATCATGCATTTAACCGAGTCGTAAGCGACAAAATTTCCCTGGAAAGAAATCTGCTAGACGTACGAAATTCAAAGTAAGCGATCTAAAGGAGATTATAACGCTGATACTCAGTTCTAATTAATACGCACTGTGTTTAGAAGATTGGAAAATGTCATATATGTTACAGATGTCATTTTTTTTGTTAGCGATAAGTATTTTGGATGCCATTATCACTACTGATGACAACAATGTGAACATCGAATTATGTTGTTACATCAGAGAAGACTTAGCACGCGAGTTTATCAGTTTCCGTGATAATTTATTAATACTGACGAGAGTATTTTGCTTACCATCTAGATCTGGCTATTGACATCAACAGATTCGTTAAATTCGTGCTGGAATGACCATCTAGCCTTAATAAGCCTTAAATCACCGAGTCCAAAATTGACCTATGTGTAAAATACATTGTGAAGGATTTTTGATGAAATAGAACTACTTTGAGGAAGAGGGGCAGGGCCATTGGTATGTTTGGGATACCCTTCCTTTCTGCAATGAAAACAACCTATTCCATCGCTGTACATTCCCTCCCCAAATACAGAGTAGCTTTTTGTTGGTACAGAGCATTTTGATGGGTTTCCATCATTGTAAAGCAGACATGAAGGAGGGACAAAGATAAAATTAAAGGGAATGAGGTGGTTCAGTTTTAAATACTGTGATTAATATTTCACAGTTGTTATTAAACATTTTAGATTATTGTTAATAGTTTGGGAAAAAGGGAGGCATACACAAGCTTAAAGGGAAACATCTTCTGTTGGAGCAAGTTACCCTTAATGACAAATTATGTTTTTGGTGAATGAAAAATTTAAGATGTTTAAAGTTGGAAAAAAAACCCAAGGTTTGAGACAGTGTGGAAACAAAAGGAACAACAGTTTTGATTTTTAAATTTTGTTGTAGGAACCAATCTACAAGTTCAATCCATGAAGCATTATTATCAAACAATAGGTTAAGCTCTTTGCACTCTGGTTCCTCAACAGATGATGTGAATGAAAGCAGCAACCACTGATTGAAAATCAGATCCAAAATGGAGGAACTCAGTAGATTTAGATTTCAAAATACTGTCCTAACTAGATCACTTTTGACAACTTATTATGTAGAGTGAAATTATATGTTGTTTTTAATCATGATTTTTTTTAGGTGTAAAATAAAGAAATATCCTCAGGATCTACCTACAAGTTCTGTAATTATATGCTTTCATAATGAAGCTTGGTCCACTCTTTTACGGACGGTACATAGTGTCATCAACAGGACTCCTCCACAGCTATTAAAGGAAATCATTCTTGTAGATGATGCCAGTGACAGAGGTACATGTAGTTATTGGTATAACAGTAAATAATTTGTGATCATGTATCTGATCGTCCTGGTGAAGGTAGCTTCAAGAAGGACTGTTGTCAGTAGTTGTGACTGAAGTTTCATCAACAATTCATCAACAATACATTTGACTGACAAAAACTCTTCACTTGACTCTACTCATAACTTCTGCTCAGGTTGTTGCAAGGTCAGTTACTACTACTTACAACAGTCCTTCATGGGACTACTGTCACCCAGACAATCTGACCCCCCCCCCCCCCCCAAGGTTCAAACCTAAACCTAAATATCCTCTTTTCTAGAAAGAATGTTGGATGATGAGACATGTTTATGGCAAAATTGTCTTATTGCCTGCATAAGTCTTGTATTTACAGATGGGTTTGTTTTAGTTTTACAAGGATTAAATTTAAATTAATAATGATTAAATGGAATTCTATGTTAAGATGAGTTTGAGTTATCATGGATGTTAATAAACCAATTTTTTAGACATTGTATTTCCTTTGAAGTATCTTTGAAAAAATTTTTCCCATGATTTTATTCCATAGATGAGCTTAAGACAAAGCTTGAAGACTATGTTGCCAAGTTGAAAGTTGTTAAGATTGTCCGTCTTCCTAGAAGAGAGGGTTTAATTCGTGCAAGACTTACTGGGGCAGAACGAGCCAAGGGACAAGTTCTGACATTTTTGGATGCCCATTGTGAATGTTCTAAGGGTTGGCTGGTGCCTCTTCTCGCAAAAATCGCTGAAAATCGTTCAAATGTAGTAATGCCTGTTATAGATGAAATAAGTGACCAGAACTTTTATTATCATGCAGTGCCAGAGCCTTTCCATAGGGGCATCTTTCGTTGGCGATTAGAGTTTGGCTGGAAGCCTGTTCCTCAGTATGAGATGGAAAGACGTAAAGATGAAACTGAGGGAATAAGGTAGACACTTTAAACCTATCAATGTTATTTCTAATTGGCATATAGTGATCTCTTTTTCCAAAAAAACTGGAGTTTTGTTTAATACTGAGGTTTTTTGTCAAATTTAGGATAAATTCTGAGTATATTAGATTGTTGTAAGTTATCTCTTTCAGGTGCCTAGACAATATAAATATCCTATTAAAGCAATTTGTGTGGGTTGTTTGTGATCTGTACCAGGTTCATAGCAATTGATTCAAGCCACAGGGAACCTTTTTGGTATCATAGTTAATCTTAATGAGGTGTAGGCAATCTCTGTTGGGTTATGGGTATCTTTATCACAATGCAAGCAATCTAAACAGACAAATAAAAAATCTGAATTGGACTGTTGGTCGCATCGATCATGTAGGCATTGTGAACTAAGCTGTATGCAATCTAACTAAAGCTGAAGGCAACATGAATCAGCTTGTGGGTAGTCTTGGTGGGCAGTTGATCTTGAAAAAGCTGTTGGCAATCTTGGTCAAGCTAATACACATTCTTTTTTAGTATTGGTCACTGTGTAATGAGTTGTAGGTGGCCTGAATTAGATGGTATAGGATAGCACCATTCTCATGAACTAAAATGTTCTGTGATGAATTATTGTGGCAGCCTCGCATATATTAGTGAGAGTGAAACTCAATTGTGTTAACATGGTAATTAAACAATCAAAACTCTCCTTTTTCCAGGACCCCAGTGATGGCAGGAGGCCTGTTCTCTATTGACAAAAGTTATTTTGATGAAATAGGAACATATGACACTGGAATGGACATTTGGGGTGGAGAAAACCTGGAAATTTCCTTTAGGGTAAGTCTGTTGTAGTAGGTTCTGTTTTTTTAAGTAAAGGGAAGGGGATCTTTATCTCATCAGCCTGTTTAAGCTTATGTTAGCTTCATACATTAGCTTCACAGAGCTTTTCACTGTTTCCAAGTAAATATTATTTATTAGTACTTACCACACAGGTGAACAGTGCTTTTTGCGCATGTTGATTTGCTAGTGTGAAAGTGAATAGCTACTACTGTTCACCTCCTAGCAGCCAATAAGGCAAAAATCACTTGTCATGAGTTTTAATTCCTGACCATTTTACTGTACATTGAAAGAAATTAACTATTTTTTTTATATCTGTTGAAAACAATTATTCATCGTAGTGTTGTTTAAAGTGGTGGATATTTACCTCACTACTTAGCGGCTTGGTAGATATCCACCATTATTCACTTCCACTTGGGTAAATAATTGTTAATTATAATCCATCAAATCTTTTTTCTTGCAATTCTTGCAATTGGTCTAAATGCATCACATGATCAAATATGCCCCAGCTGAAACTGGGGAACATCAACACAATAGCTTCCATTTGGTGAAAGTATGCTCGAACATTTAGTTTATGACATTATCTGTTCCTTGAAGCTCACAGTTTTCCCTGAGCTTTGCTCTTGCAAAACAGTCCACATCTTAGAACGGGCAATGTCCATGGACAAATATCCATACATATCATGCTGTGCCAAATGGAGGCTGTTAGATCCAAGTGTAACATTTTTTTTGATTATTCGTTCTTGCCTAATTTGTTTTTCCTTTGCGTACGCAAATTAGTTTATACTTCCTTTCGTCCATTTGTTTAGTCTTCTTTTTTGGCGTTAATTTAGGTGTTTATCTCTTTCTGTCAGTTTTCGTGCCCTCGTTAGCGTTTCCGTGCTGTTTCATCTTCATTAGCGCCTTTCTATAGTTTTATTTTCTGCATGTTCTAGCGTATTTTCATATCGTAATTTGTCAGTACAGTTTGTGAGTTCAGTTTGGTCCGCGCTTAGCGCAGTTCTGTTCAGTTTGTTTCTAGCCTCTTCGCGTTTTTCGCAGTCCTCTTTTCAGAAGTTTTCTCTGGCCAAAACAATTTTCAACCCACACTCTTAGTACCAAGCACGCCGACTCCAATAAATCTTTTTCTTTTTATTTGGTTTGTGGTGTTATAATTCAAGGCCAGAAGTCTTGCAGGTTTATTGCAGTTTCAGAGGCTATTGTATATATGAACAGTTTGTGAGAATATATATTTGTTAAGGTTCGTTTCAGATTCAGATAAGCAAATGACCATTCACATTTTTAATAAGAAGAATTCCTGAGCTGCTATTTCTAACCAAATTGCCCCTCTGTGTCATGTGATGCAGGTCTGGATGTGTGGAGGCACCATTGAGATGCTCCCCTGTTCACGTGTTGGCCACGTGTTCAGACCACGTTTTCCATATTCATTTCCCGCCCGTCCAGGTGGTGACCTTGATGTTGTAAGTCGTAATCTTATGAGAGTGGCAGACGTGTGGATGGATGAATACAGCAAACATTTCTACAACATTCGGTTTGATCTTAAAAGAAAAAAGCACGATGATATCAGTGAAAGACTTGCTCTGCGAAAGAAGTTACAGTGCAAGAGTTTTAAGTGGTATTTGGAGAATATTATTCCTGAGTTAGAGGTGCCCGATGCAAACTTTGTGGCCGCTGGACAGGTTGGTTAGAAAGAGAACAACTCATGTGTCCATGTATCTATGACAGTCAGTAAACACACAAAAAAGCGAAGTTTGTAGAGTAGTACCCTTTCCGATCTGCGTTGAGGGGTGTGGTAGAATTATTCTAAAATTCTATTGATTATTCCTTCTTTCTTACCCACCTATTCCTTTACCAATCCTCCGACTACTCCTATCACTGATAAATGCAAAGTAATCTTACACATGCACGTGAAACTGGATCTTTTAAGCATTTGTCGGTGAATAGTATGGAATGTCTAAGTAATAATAAAATCAGACTCTGAACAGGTGCAGGAGTTGTCATGGAGACTTTGTCTGTGACTGGTTTATTTAAGTCGTTATCTACAAAGCTGTTTTTGGTCTTGTCAAGATGGTGGGGCAAAGGAAAATTCTGAGTCCCCATGAGGAAACTAACCTCAGACTTTCGAGTTCCGCGCTCCGGTGTTCTACCAATGAGCCACAGAGACTCTGTGGTGAGCAAGGCACTTTACGTATTTTATTTATGACACACGGTCTGCATACTGCTGGGATCAGCAATGTCGATAGCGTCATGTTTTAATAATGGGGACTCAGAATTTTTTCTTTGTCTCACGCTCGTGACAAGACGAAATACACTGATGATCGTTCTTTATTTCTTAACCGAGCTTAAGACTTACCACCTTTCTTCTTCTATTTACAAAAGTCGTTGACTATTTGCAGGTTCGTAATCCTTCGAGTGATAAGTGTCTAGACACGTTGGGGAAGAAAGACGATGCACCTCTGGGGCTGTACGAGTGTCATGGCCAGGGTGGAAACCAGGTGAGAAAGTACAGAATTCCAACACCAGGCATTCAGCATGAGAGACTATTCCTATTTCCCCAAGGTGTCAAATATTGTTTATCAGGGGATTGTCTCGTGCTTACTGTGACAGATCTTTTCTGTTTTGTTTCTAGTACTTTGTTTTAACAAGCAAGGGAGAGCTAAAATCAGAAGATAATTGTTTGGACTACAATGGATATGATCTGTACCTGAAGGAATGTGACGGACTGAAGCAGAACCAGAAATGGGAATATAAGGTACGAATACATACGTATTCCTAGACATAGTGTGCCTCGTACTTGTGTTAGCATCATTTGGGATTATTTTTTCGTTGCCTTCATTTTTTACCATTGGAACCGTTCTGCGGTCATTTTATGAATCACAACAGAGCATTTCGCATGATGGCTCTGAGCAGAGGGTCTTAATGTGGTGATGGCTTTTACGACTGGCGGTTAAAATGTTAGCCATTTTATGGTTGACGGTTTATCTATTTCTGTTGTGATTTAAGGAAAATGTTAACGGTGTCCTTTTTTACAACTAACGAGCGGTGAACTTCATTGAAACCCTCTGAAGAATATATCGCCCGACTCTCCGCCGACTAGTTTTAATTAGTGTGGTCGAGTATCGAATTTAGTCATTTTTTTCTTATCCTTGTTACTCTTTTTGTGCTCATAGAAAACAGTGCTCTACCATCCACGCCATGATGTATGTATTGACCGAGGTTCCTCAAATGCAGAGTATGCCAAAGTTCGCGCGTGTGATGGGAGACTGGCCCAAGTATGGGAATTCTCTAAGACAGAAGAGATGGACTGATGCTCAGCCGGTCTGCGCATATTCTCAGCACAGTGACGAAACGAGGCAATAGTCCGGTATGGAGTTAAGCTCTGGGAAGGATGAGGTCGCTTGGTGATCGTCCAATTTCAGAACATGGGTTCTGGCTGAAGCTGTACCACCGGGAATCATCTCCACTGGGGTGTGATAAGAAACATCTCCCTCCTATAGCGAGTCGTTGCTGAATCACTCCAGTATAGCACTAATCGCCACAGTACTATCTAACAAAACTCGGAGACACTCGCCTCGTTTGGCTCAAGTTGAACGAACTCTTTTTCGATTTTCTTCCGCACTGAATTGTTTCTATGTTCGTGTGCACGTCGGACGCTTCTATAGTGCTGACATCACTGTCCAGCTGTTGCGGTTATCACTGTACCTAAAAAATGTACAATGTACGTTTTATAGAGCTGAAATTTTTTAGGACATATGAATTTATTGTTTTGAAATTAGGCGATAAACAATTTAAGTTATCTGTCAGGATTTGTTGATTATGAAAACTTGTTTCTCAAATAAGATGTCATTTGTGATTAGTTCTGTGAAAAGAAAACAACTATAGAAGGAATAAATTATTTTTCGTTATCCTCCCACAGTGGAAAATGATGTATTCTGACAACATTACACACCTGTAACTGTAACAAGGAGAGACCTGGGTTCGAAAGCTTTAAACGGAAAACCTCTCTCTTATCTCCCAATTTATGAAAGAAAACAAACGTTGGATTAAGTGTAAAAAGTGATGTCTCTAAAGCCTCGTATCTGTACCAATCATCGTCACATCTTGAGCCATGTCGGGTCGATGTGTTCCTTTCGCAATGAAATCTAGTTGGTGATCTAGGAAATTCATTTTCCTAGTCATCATTCTAGCGTTCGATTTGTTCAATCGCAGCGGACAACTCCTCGCCCAACTTGTAATCAGGCGTTGCCGAATCTGTTTTTTCTTAATTTTAATTAAATACGCTGAAAAAGTAAAGCACGCCTCGTCAGGAAACAGTACGCTAATCGGTTACCATACCATGACTTGACGACTGCTATGGGTCAAACGTCTTTTGGAAAAAGCACTTCCCTAAGTAACAAATGCCCCACATACTTCAAGGAAATTGTTACGGAAACTGAAATAAATCTTTTCTACTCTGTTATTATTCCAAAGTTTAATCGCAAGGAAATTATCTTACAATTTGAGTTTTGCAATAAATAGACAGAGAAAATTTTGCCAGATTGAGTTGATATGAGTCGTAATGTCTGGCTGTATTTTATTTCATACAGAGATTGATATAGTTTAGATTTTAACTAGAAGTTGTGCCCGTCGTAATTATTTGCATCAGTGATGTTGCCCGTATGCAAATTAGGACTAAAATTGTTCGCTGCGAATTATTTACCTTTGTCGGGTCATGCAGACAGCGGAACAAAAGCCCCGTACCCAGCTGACTAAATTTGAGATGGGATGAACTATGAAAAGCTTGTTAATGGCTCTTTAATACAATACGTGTCATCCTATACGCGTGCTCGCGGAAACTCAACACAGAGCTAAGTCAACATACTGGGAGCCACTGACAAAACAGTGATGCTGGTTGTGATGGGATAATGTTTGTCGTTACAGCTATTTCTGTTCACACTTCTTAAAACTTGTGTGTGGAATGGGGAGATTCTATCAGGAGTAATCAGAAGTAATGTGCTTTAAATGGCAAATAGCGCGAGGTAATTTATTACGCCTATCGATGGCCAGTCAAGTTGTGTTTGATTTTGGGATTTGGTAGACATAACAGTGAAAATTACGGAGGAAATCATCCCAGACTAGCAGAGATACAAAGGAAGGATACAGTAATTGGAATAAATTGAGGTATTTTTAATTTGTTATGGCGTGGAGATGCACTGTTCAGAAACCGCGGAAGGTCATCGTTGTAGCTCTACTGACGTCCATATTTTGGTTTGCGCTCAATACCGTAATACTTGTTTCATATCAGCTAAATATTCCTTCACGAGATCACAAAAGTTACATTATCTCTGATCAGAGAAAAAAAGATGATTGGCTTGAATTTGAGCAAAAGTCAAAGGAATTAGCCAGCGTAGAGAAATTATTGCCACGTGGAATTTCAGAGATCGCACTCCACGGCGGAGGGAAACTCGACACCATAAACACTGAGATATCAAAGATACTGAAGTATAAGTCAGATCACGACAGGCAATTGATTCAAAATGGACTCGTTAAAAATGGTAAAAAGGAATCAGTGGAAAGACTACGGTTCAAAGAAGATACTATAACAGAAAGCAAAAGGAAAAAACCTAAAGTTTTAAATCAAAAACTCATTTCGTCAGTGAGATCCATTGCCGAAGACAACCCAAGGAAAGATTCTGCCGACACGAATATTGGCGTCGCAAGATTCCCGACACATGACCCGAATGGTCCGGGGGAAAATGGCAAAGCTGTGAGGATATTAGATAAAGAAAAATACAACGAGAAGGCTGGTTACGATAAGTACGCTTTCAACGAATATGCCAGTTCTAAAATTTCTCTTGACCGATCTATTCAGGACACAAGGAGTCCAGGGTGAGCAGTGGCCTTTATTTAAATAATATCAGGTTAATGTTATTCAAATATCAGTGCTGTCCTTTGATGCACGCAAAAGGAAATTTTGGTTAATATTGCAACACTTAATACTCGATCACGATGTGTAATTTCAGCTCTCTCGAACAGCCATTAGTTCGGTGTAAAAGTGGATTGATTGGTTTTATTTATAGATCAAATCGATAAATTACATTCAAACACTGGCTTCCTCATTAATTTGTTTTGTAAACAGAACTGCCTCGTATTCAAACTTCTTCGTGCACTGACAGAAACTTTTGGAATCTCATTGAGTGTTACAAATTCGCTAATGGCCAAATCATGATTCATAGTTTGAATTTTTCATTCATTCTTTGTTCAGCTCGTTAGTTTATTTTAAGATGTAGTGGTCCCATCACTTTTAACACTTTTAGTCCTCAACTTTTAGATGGCGACTTAAATTTTGATGCAGTGTTTTCCTGGTCGAAAGAGTCTTGTTAGTTTGTATTTGTGTTTTTTTTGTCACTTTTCTAACCGCTAAGTCTGAGTATTTCCTGGCAGGAAGAAAAGGTATCTGCGTTCAAGTCCTCATGAAGTGCTCGTATGAAACAAACTTTACTCTAACAGTGCCTGAATTTTTATTGAGAGTCGTATATACTGGTGACGCATAAAGTAGAGTTTTTTGTTTTATAGACTGTGGTTTATTTGGGCAGAGGGAGTCACGCAAATCGGATGGGAGCTCCTCAATCGTTGCAAGTCGCGTTCGTTTTAGCACCTACGGATCCTTGAATAAATTAAGATCAAATGCTCCAGCGGTTTTTGGCCTCTAAGAGTTGTTACGGAAGAACCAGCTTTGTCTGGCTTGCCTCTACTTTACATATATTATACTAACAGTAGACTTAAAAAATCTTTTTCCATAACTTGATTGTGTGAAGTGAGAACTTGACAAGGAAACGTTTCAGACTTAATGAGGTATACTTTCCCTTGTTTAATTCCAGATGCGTTAGTAAATTGTACCATGTCTCGGACCTACCTACTACAAGTGTGGTGATCTGTTTCCATAACGAGGCATGGTCCACTCTATTACGCACTGTTCACAGTGTGTTAAACCGCTCGCCCCCAGACCTCCTGCACGAGATTATACTCGTCGATGACTTCAGCACCTTTGGTAAATGGAGAAGATTTCAAGTTGTGTTCAGTTCGCCCTGTCCGACCATAAACATGATCCTCGAATCTGCACTCAGCTTTTACACAGCTATTAATCCTTTGCAAAACATTTTACAAAAATTATTACACCGAGTGCATCGTGACGTTGATTTTGTATCATATTTGAACTAAATAGGCCCAACAATCTAAATAATTTTAGATATATTTCTTACCCTGAGCTCTGAGACCTCCAATATTTTTTCTAGGCTTTCCTGTAGCTACAACAAATAATGTTATTCTCTTCAATCACAAAACGTTCTAATCCAGCTTATCTTTTGTTTTACTCTTCCCCTCTCACATCTGAACTAGATATCTGCCCTGCTGCTGTGCAGCACTCACTTTCTGTCAGAAATAACTATTTATATTTTTGCACTTTGCTCACTTCTTCCAGATCATTTGAAAAAGCCGCTCGAAGATTACGTATCAAGGCTCACTAAGGTCCATATCATAAGGACAAAAAAGAGAGAGGGGCTTATACGGGCTCGTCTTCTTGGAGCCAACGCAGCTAAAGCCCAAGTGTTAACATTTCTTGACGCTCATTGTGAAGCAAACGTGAACTGGTTAGAGCCCCTACTAGAAAGGATCCGACAGGACCATACCATTGTTCCTGTGCCAGTTATCGATATTATAAGCTCCACAGACTTCTCATACTCAGGGACACCAGCCGAAGTTATTGGCGGTTTCAGCTGGGACATGCAGTTCAACTGGCATTCATTACCTCTGAGTGTTCGAGACAAACGCAAAGACTCTAGCGAGCCAATCAGGTTAGTATGCATAAATGGGGTAAGTTTCTAAAGAAACTGTGGTGCTGCTTCGGTGGGAGAGTATAACAAGGTAATAAAGTATTACCAACTGAGTTGATAACGTAAATTGGCCACCGTTTAAAAGCTGACGTTTCGAGCGTTAGCCCTTCGTCAATCGCCCTGACGAAGGGCCGACGCTCGAAACGTCAGCTTTGAAACTTTTTACGGTGGCCAATTTACGTTGTCAACTTGGTTGATAATACCAAGTTACCAGGTTAGTGTACAGTTGAACTTAAAAGAGGTTGTACCTATTATTTTGCATTAAGGGTTTTAGAAAGTCTCCGATCATTCCGAAAGAATCGGAGAAAAAACAACAAAGACCAAGTATATCGGTGCAACCAACAGTTCAGATAACTGGATAATTAGAAAGCTTTTCTAAATTTAAGATGACTGCATCCAAAAGAACAGGGGGCTTTTTTAATTCACCAAGTTGAGACGTTCAGTTTTTAGGAATCTCTTAGTTTCTTCGCAAAGTTCTGTTCCTTTAAGATTAACTGGAAGCAATTTTTTGAACAGGAGAAGGTGGTTTTCATTCAAGTTCCCAATTTTTGTGAAGGTTGGCTCCTTACGGACTTGATTCACTTTTTCTAACGAGTTCTTTCCCTCTGAAAATGAACATTTATCACCAAAAGTGAAGTATTTTTAGGAGTACACCTCGCTTAGAAAATCTCCCGGTTATGTGTGCATATTTTTCTTTCATGGTAGGACTCCTACAATGGCAGGAGGGCTGTTTTCTATTGATCGCAAGTACTTCTTCGAATCTGGCTCTTACGACGAAGGAATGGAAGTTTGGGGAGGAGAAAATCTGGAGATGTCCTTTCGAGTGAGGTGTTAATGATTAGAAGTCATGGCTCTCTGAAGTTTTGTTTCCTAATTAGCCGATAAACTTCACCTCACATACAGGCTTCCTTGGTTTCCAGGTTTCCTTGCGATGAAGGCTTTTCTTTCTTTTTATGTTGACACGAGGATCAAACCGAACTCAAAATTAAAAAGTCTTGAAATGTAGCTAAACTCATATTGACATCAGCTAAACCTTTTCCGAAGTAGCTACAGCGAAAAGACAAAGAAAAAAAAAAAAATAAAATAAATGATTGTTTTCTATGTTGATACAAAACCAATCTCCGCCATCGCGAATTAAAACTTTAACTCCTATTAAAAATATTTAAACAGTTACATATAGAAGTTAATCTTTTCTTCATTGTTATTGTTGATGTCCTTTATTAATTTATTCCAGATTTGGCAATGTGGAGGAAAAATAGAAATAATTCCATGTTCTCGTGTTGGTCACGTGTTCCGCTCTCGTTTTCCATACAAGTTTCCGGGTGGCTATCATGAGGTCACGGTGAATCTTGCACGTGTTGTTCACGTATGGATGGATGAATACAAAAAGTTCGTGTTTATGAAGAGACCGGACTTAGAAGGAGTCGATCATGGAAACTTGACAAAGCGCTTGGAACTCCGTGAGCGGCTTATGTGTAAAAGCTTCAAATGGTACTTGGATAATGTTTATCCTGAACAAACTACCCCAAGTGAGGAAAGTCACGCATATGGGGAGGTAAGAGGGGGAGGGGGGAGGACACTGGAACAACGTGAACTATATGTTCGTGGGTGTTCTGCTTAAGTTCTCTTTGAAACGATTGATCCCCATACATAATGTCACCTGGATCAGAGAATTTAAACTCCAACCTCAGCTGACTTGGCAATCTCATCAAGAGAATTCACAATACTCATGACAGCATCATTCATCAGGAATTGAGATAAGGTCCAGAGGTTCTTAAAATGCATGGCGATTGCTTATATATTTTCTCAGGCTGTTTTGATCGAACAAATTTTAATATGTTTTGATCATCGACAAAAAAAAAAAAAAAAAAAATCAAACTTTCACTATCCATGGGATGTCCGACTGTGCTGGATATAACATAGTAAACCTTTTTTATTAATTAAAGTATGGATTTTTTTGAAGGCTCGCAATCCTGAGACTGGAATGTGCCTTGATACAATGGCCAGGTCTATTGGCTCTGAACTGGGTGTGTCTCCTTGCCATGGGATGGGTGGAAATCAGGTTTGTAATGTACATAAAAGAACTCAGACTGCCCTTCCGACAACATAGGAATTTCACCAAGAAAATTTTGTTGCTCCTCAAGCAAAGTATCAGATCGTCATATTGATAATCAAAATTGCCCTACTAGTGTTTGGATGATAAGATTATAATCAGGGAAAAATTGAACAGAACTGAGAAAAAGACCCAGGAGGTATTTTTGAAGTGAAGTTCTCACGTGACAACACTGCTTGAGCAGTCAGAACCGCGAAGTGTATATGACACGCGGCTGATTTATTTCTAGTACTCTTGATTTTTTTAGCCCTTATTTAGCCTGGATAGCACAACAAGGAAGTCGATTTAAACGCACTTATTTGCGGGAGACGAGTTAACAGACCTGTTCTTATAACGATTGTCGTGTCACATTCTTCACAGCATTTTGTTCTAACGGACGATGGGGAGTTGAAAGCTGGAGTAAAAGATTCATTTTGTGTTGGAGGAGAGTCTGACAGTGTGTATCTTTTTTCTTGTGGAGAAGCCAGCCAACAATGGGAACTGTCAAAGGTAAAGCTTATGTTCTCCTTAGAGTGGTACGCTTTCATCCATTATTGTCAGTTACTGGTTTTCGCAGAGGAATTTAGTACCATGTAGAAATCTGAAGGGACTAGCTTTTGTTCTGAGGGAAAGAAAGTTTAAGTTGATCTTCAATTTCACGCTCGTCTATACAGCATGTATTTAATGGGTTGAATGGGTTACCTATTTGTTCCCTCCGGGCGTCCTTCGACCAGTGTCCAAACTAGATCTGCTAGGACATCACGCCCAGATTTTCTCAAACGCGAATAAACATGAAGCCTCTTAATATTTTTTCAGGGCACCCTTCGTAACACGCATCAAGAAAGATGTTTAGAGCTTCAAGGAGATGGAAATACAGTGGCGATAAAGAACTGTAACATGTTACCCAATCAGAAATGGGCATTTTCCAAGACCTCCTAGGCCTACTTGAAATATAGCAAATTGAAATATATCTTCTTCGTGAGAAATTTATATGAAACATTTTAAGGTTTTTGCTGCCCTCAAAGGCAGGTTTATTTATATCAGTAGTTGCAGAAAATTATTTCAATATGCTCTCCTCAATAGCCTAATGCAATATCGTTTCGTTCTATCTGCTGTCAGTCTTTATCTTTTTCACTTCATATGGCTGAGGTTCGTCGAACCCGCAATATACGAATTTGTTGCCTGACTTATAAACTCCCTTATATCTAGCGGGAAATTCCAAAAGAGTTAAACATTACACACTCACGACACAGATCAGATCTAGTCCCCGATTTCTTTCTTACGGCACCGTGACACACTCACTCACTTTTGCCTCAAACAATACAAACTGATTTTCATCTTTCCGATTTCATAGTGTCTACAGTGCATACGTTTTTTTTTTTAGAAACTTCTACTTTAAAAACAGTAATAAAGATATTGAGGCATTTGCCTGAGTTTCTATTACCTTCATTTAAGGGTTACGTTTTTACGTGGAGGGCAAAATATTTTTGAGGGAGAATACATTTTTTAAAAGGAATAAATTTTCGGAGGGCAGCTAGTTTTTGGAGAGTGACCCGGCTATCTAGGAAGGAAACTCTGTTTTGAAGATAGGCCGACCTATCTCTAGAGAGGTATGTACTTTTCGCAAGGAATGTGTTTTTGAGGGGGTTGTATTATTGTACAGGTGGTGACCTTCCCTTACAGTTTTCCTGTTCTCAGAAGATGTCCCATGTTCTTTAAAAATGTTTGGTTAAGTTCCCTTCTTCCCATTAATCTCCTGTCAAATAGGACGCATGGTTTCGTCATGTAGTTGATTTATTTGGCGTTCTCTACCATTCTATGAACACATTATGCTACGGCTAACCTCGAACATGCGGAAACTACGGTTGTCTTTGCCTCAAAGAGTTGTATTTATATGCCGTGATGGTTACCACCAAAGGGAAAAGAATGGCACCTCTGATTGGCTGCCTCCATTTGAGAACTATTTTTAAAGTTAAAAAAAAATTGAAAGAAAATTTGTGGTTGCCTTATTGAGTTCTTAGTAGCGATAACTAACGGTCATTTAGTAATAAAAGCTTATGAAAACCATGAACCATATCCTGTAACAATAATGAAACTGTTACATTAAACTGCTGGGAGATCAACATGCTTTTGTGATACTTCCTTTAATTCCACTGATGGCACTTCTTCGCTTTCATAATACGGCAGAAATGGAACGTATTTAGTGCACTTGTAAAAGCTCAACTTTTTCAATCCAAATGGAAGATCATAAACATGATTTCCACTGTGACCAGTTTCTCCCGCCTTACTGTTCCATACCAGCATACCTCGTTCCTCACGTGACCCTGGAATTGTGTTGTCAAGTAGAAGACCTGTAATTCCACCAACCAGCATGTTGGTTCGTAGTAACACAGTAATAATCTGGTCGAGCTCGGGTTCACCTAGGGAATAATGTAAATATCGTATGATATGGAGTTCCGACATCGCTTAGACTCAAACAAGACAAACTGGTAACGTCTGTCTGTAATGAAATGATTGAAATTGAAGCAAACCTGTTTGTATTACGTCCTTGTTCTCCTCTCGAGACAGCCAATAGGGAAGCGCCATTCCGAACACCAATGAAAAACCAAGGATAAAGAGATTTCTGGAAGAATTCAAGTCCACAAACTGAAGATTGGAAATACCGACCGCTGTTATCATTCCAAACATGACCATAAATACTCCACCCACTATGGGGTTTGGAATAGTGGTAAACAAGGCACCAAATTTGCCGAGTATCCCGAGTAGGATCATTATTAGAGCTCCGTACTGTACAATACGACGACTGCCAACCTGAAAACGAATAACGTCAACATATTAAGCTCTACTAGGAAAACTTGTAACACGAGGTGAATGATGACACACGAATACCTTTGTGATACCAATCGCTCCTATGTTCTCACTGTAAGAGGTGGTTCCATTTCCGCTACCCCAGGCTCCAGCCAGTAGGCAGCCTATCCCTTCCATTCCAATGCCTCTGTTTATGGCGTGTTTCGGCGGAGGTGGAGCCCCTGCTAATCTTGCACATGCGTAATAGTCTCCAATGGACTCTATCATGGAGGCTAGTACCCCGGCCAGCATTCCAAACACACCAGCAGCACTCAAAGTGGGTGTGCCCCACTGACCTAAATTTGACAGGAATATGTTGCTCAACATACATTAAAAGAAAAGTTCAAAAGAAATACATAGAGATCATAACTTTGAAGTGTGGAAAAAAGATTTTTATTGCAGGAAGATCATCGCAGTAATATACAGAACTGAAGATATAAGACTATGCAAATACTTTAATATTGTATATTCTGTACATTGCTTAATATTAGGTCTTTAATTCTTTATACCGTCATATCCCCAAGAAACTACCGTAAATAGCGAAATCATTAATCGTAAGACAGCGCAAGGGCAACCTGAGATAAAGGTTCGTGAGCGGGGTCATAGACTACCAAAATTCATTGCGGTATCATAAGTTAAAGGGGTCAGGATAGAGAACTTTACTTTGACGTACACTCTATAGTCTATGACTATGACGTACAGCGGCGCGCGAAATACCCTCTTCTAACTAAGTCTTAAATATACGTGCTGATCTTTTATTTCTCTTACCGGGATACGGGAATCTAAACCACTCTGCCTCTTTCAAAACGAAAATTCTAGCGTCTGTTCTTGCCTGGTACTGTGGGTTGTTCTGGTCATCAGTAAACCCACCAGCAGCAGTGACAATGGCGCAAATGATCCACGATAAGATGATCCCCAGCAGGATCTAAGATTAAAACACAAACGGAACAACAGAATGACTTTGACTTTAAAATGCGACTTCCCTTTTTAGAGATTAAAACAAAAGGAAAGAAGCGTGCTTCTGTTTCGCTGAAAATGTTCCGCTGAAGTCTCTGAACCAGAACAAGCATTTTACTATTAAAATAAAAAACTCCTGAGGAACTGCTAAACAATCAAGTGAGTGCTTAGTTCAGTTTCTAACAAATACATAACGAAATCTCTACGGCTAAAAACTGAATAAAGGTGCCTAATCTCGAATAGTTGAAGGACAATGAAATACTGAAAGTTAGGATTGAGCTGAGGCATACTTCATAATGACGCAGTCAGCGTTGTTTGTGTCTCGTCATTCATCTGCTGAGTTCGTATATGGTATGATTTCGTCATGAAATTTGTCTGTTAGTCAAAATATTATGCAAATTTTGATAAGGTGGGGCTTGCTCAGGTCTCGCACGATGCGCACGACGGATGTAAAAACTTTAATCTACCCAAACAAATAAATAATGTTGCAACTGACCGGAAACATTCTGAATAACGCAAATCTGGCCATGTACATCCCTTTGTCCCTTGAATAGCCAGGAAAAGGTATCTTGACATTCTTTAGGTATTGAGAGAATACTGTAATAAGCGAAATGGTTCTGGAATAAATAAATGTATAAAATGATAAATAAAAAGTTTGTGATGCTCATCTAAAATTGACGATCGCCATGTTGATGGTTTAGTACTGAAACTTTTAAGGTTGTGGATCAGTGTAGTTGAATGATAGCGAGAGAAATGACTGAGAATCAAAAACATACATTGAAGGCTTAAAATCAGCGCTGAAGACGGATTAAAATCATAATGATTATTAAGCTATTCATCTCAAACTTTGTACTTACGTAATAGATATACCCCAATGGATACCTGTAATAATAACAAACTTTAATCAACCCTTATCACTTATTGAGTTGCCGCACACTCTACCTATTTGAGACATATGACTGAACTATTTATAACCATCTTACAAGATAGGACATGACAGTCCCAAAGGAGTGACTGATAACAGCAAACTCAAATAGAGGCCTTTTTCCTTTCCTTCTCCCCTTTACTTTATTTAGAAGAGGGTTTAAGCCTGTTTTTTTTGTACGAAACTTTTCCTGTGGACCCTATTTTGGCGGGTAGAGGACAAACTGATAAATCCCCAAAATTTAAAATGTGTAGGATTATTTGTGATAATACAAATGGTACGAGATCAAGAGAAAATATCTATGTTCACATGTACATGGTATAAAATGATGCATGATAATTCGAGTGCTATTTGTAACGGTCATACCCAAGGCCTCTCTGAAACCAACACGGTGCAAGAGAACATGCTATAAGATATTAACACGCACCCGAGAAATCTGCTGCAGCTTGAAACAAAGCTAATCCAACCAAAGTTATGGTTGGAGCGATAGTCAGCGGTCCAATAAAACGAAGAAGAAACCCTACTAAACCAGTAAAGCCGATGAAAATTTGAAACAGAGATGCTACCATGATGGCTCCTTGGATCTACAAAGACACAATAAAAAGAGATAAAAGAAAGGTTTAGGAACAGGAAAACAATGTGAACTTTTTCTAAAGCCAGCCTTCATGTAATTTAAGTTATTTTAAGTTTTCAGTGAATCTAGGTTCAAGGTACCTCTCTCATTCTTGGTTTCCATATGTCAGTGTAGTCAAGGACAGATGGACTTGGTGGAGTTGTGGTGACGTTCAAGAGTGAGGCTGTAGTACTTAAATTGACCGCTCCTAAACAAAGAAATGAAAAAGCGATTTCTCTTTTGATGGTGATTTCTTGTTACTCATCTGCTGATAGTATATTTTAAAGCAAACTACACGCAAAAAAAAAAAAAACTTTCGTGGAAGAGACATATCACTCTGATTAAAATTAGTAAATAAGCATGTAGCTCTGGATTAGGTCAATAGACTCTCAAGAATCAGATGGAAATTGATATTCCCTATAAGATATTCCCTATAAAAACCAAAACCTGCACCCATTACGAGTTGGCTTTCAAGCTTTCTCTGAACAACAGGTGGCCCACAAGCAAATCGTTTTACTGGGAGGTTACTGTTACAGTACCCATGAGACCCTGCTCGCAAGCATTACAACAGGACCAGTTTTCATCAGTGTTACCTGTTGGTGGTATTGCCGTTGAGGGAGGAGAGGGACATTTCCATTGAGGAAGACTTAGAATAGCGAAAGTAGGTGTAAGAAACGAGAAGGTGCCGCCTTGGACGATGGGAAGTCTGAAAAGAAAGAATGTAATCATGGCTAAAGCTCATACGATCTATGAAATTTCTATTGTCAAGAGTTTTTAGCCAATATAAGTTTATAATAGCAAAGATGGGAAGAAGAAGCGAGTAGGAAGTAGAATTTGGCTCGGTCTGTCGACGATTTAAGTATTTTTCAGATGTAGTTAGGGGAACTTTGTTCGACCTCTCCCGTATTTTGCGTGCGTTTTTCTGTCCGTCTCACCTCCAACCTAAAAATGAGCGGGCAAACATTATTTAATTGCTATCATAATTACTGCCTTTTACCTATTTCCAAAAGTTGTTTGCAATAAGGTACAAATTCCAGATACGAAGAATATGGTGCCAATGATCTCACTTGTAGCTAACGGATTCTGGTCGTAGCACATGGGCTTGGCTAAAACAAGAGGAATCGCCAGTGTTGAACCGAACATGGTCAAGTAATGCTGCAAGACAATATGATAAAATGCCCTTATCCTGTTCATTAAATTGAACCATAAAAACTAAAATTTTGATGGAACTGAGATGCTAAGGGACTGGTGTTGATAAATGTTGCCCTACCTGGAATCCCAACACGATACTGAGGTACCATGGTGGAGTATCGTCTATAGAGTAGGTCAACCCTTTGCCTGTCTCTCTCTCCTCTTTAGTTTCTCCTGGCTGTGAGACAAAAAAATTTCAAACAACACACAAAGCTTTACAACAGTACCTCAGTAACCGCTGTTATTTCTGAAGCATCAGCTGTTTCTACCCATGTTACAAAAATTACCGCCACACAAAGTGCACTTTATTATTTCAAACAGGGAATGGGGAAAAGATCTCAAGACTCTCATGACTGTTTTCCCTCTGCTGTTCTCTCAAGTCCGTTCTCTGATCTGTCTCTCCTTTTATCCCGAACAGCGGCTAGGTATCTAGACAATTCTTCTACTGATAGGTCCTGGTACCGTGCTTGAACGAATTGATTTGTTTATTGTAGACCATAAGTTTTGTTAAATATGAATCTGCTTTCTTGATCGTTCTTTTCTTACTTACTCATTTTTGAAATGCTGTTCAGTACAAAGCATATTTAATTAGCGCTCAAACCTTGTGATTGTTTTTAGCTGACGAACACCAGTGTATTGAGACATCCATCTTTGAGCCAATTACAAATCGATATTCAAAAGGGTCTCTAAGGGGCTGTGTTGTTTGCGTAGTAACTACTTAGTTTCCTTCCTGAAAATGCTTGGAATAATTTGAATGGTTATTGGTAATTTTCAATGTGTTGGGTCCAAATAAACCATCCAGGTGATGAATGATGATTTTAGATATATGGAATTCATATATTTGCACTGCGGTGAAGTGTTGCGAGGAGCTTCGAGGAGCTCTTAATTTCATCTCTCCCGTACGGGCCTGAATTTTTTTCAGGTCCTATTTTCAACTACTCGTTCAGTAGTGTTCTTAGCTGCGAGGAGCTTTTAATTTCAGGAATAAATTAGTTGAATGAAAAGCGCTCGTTGATTCCGTGGGGATAAGGGTGCCGATTTGAAAGATAAATTTTTGTTCTAGTGTTTTGCGGCTTTCCGAACTGCCTAGATGTAAGGAAAGGCCGCAAACTGCCATATGCTGTTTTGAATGATTAGGGAGATTGAAGTATCTAGCGACTAGTTTAGATGCGTCCTTGTCATTTCTTTCCACGTCGCGAAGGTGTTCGGAATGGGTCACCTCGTCGTCTTCCTCTTTCGCCAATGTATAACTTGTTGTCAAAGTGAGGGAATCCTGTGAGATTCGAGTAAGTCGATGCCTCCAGCGACGCCGTGTGATTTAAAATTCGGATTCTGTTATCGTGAGACTCCTTCGAACTAAATATTAGCAGTTGTTTTGCAGAAAAAAAAGCCTTCCTTGACTACACTTTAGAGTCAATTCTCGTTACGGTATAAAGTTGTTACCATATATTTCACCTATTTCACTTTTGTTTTAATCACTATGTTTATAGTTTCCGCCGATTGAGGCATGTTAGTATTATTTCTTGAAGCTTCGATGTCTATAGAAATCGTAGAGACTTTGACAATTGTTTTTGTTTTCATCATGGCCGATTCTAAGAATCTTTTAGGGTTTGCTAACTTTCGTCGAGAAACGTTTTTGTAGTCGCCTCGTGTGGGGGTGGCGAATGTTAAAATACAAAATTGCGAGACTCGAGAGACACCAAGAACGCAAGACTTTAGTATCATAAACTCTTCTCATATTTTGGCATATTCTTCTTACTATACAGCCGACGGAATGTTGCGATTTAAAAGAGCAACGAGGTGAAAACCCAACGAGTCAAATAACTATCTTACCTCAGCTTTGATTTCCATGTTCGTCCGATGGGCGTCTTTCTAAGTCGAGGTAGATAACACTGTGAATTGTGAATGCAAGTGACCCTCGCAGTAATTAACTGTGAATTGTCTTTGTTATCAATATAATGCTAGTTGAGCCCTCGAGCTCTGAGCTGATCATAACCATTAGACCGAAACATCATGCAAAGGTAAGTCATGCTCTTTTGTGTAACCCTCCGTCCACTCATCATGTACTGCTTTTTTTAATGCAGAAGACTGAAAATCGTTGTGAAGGCTAAAAAGTCTGGAACCGGAACTCGTAACTCAACCGACTTCCTGTCCACCTAGCCCATCCTAACGCAGTTAACTGTTCTGTGACACGTTTTGAATGAAGGCATATCATGATTGGAGATGCAAATTATGCGCTGTTGTGAGGCCCAAATAAAGAAGACCGTAAGAGGATAAATGAATAGAAATAGTTCTCCTCCTCCCTTTAAATGCTTGAAATGGCCTTGTCACCAACCTACCTCAGGTAATATTTCTACAAGGACGAACGTGATTAAAGTGAAGTATCGCTTTTCCGTCGAAGAGATGATTAGTTGACCTTGTGAACCAATGTAGGATGAGTGGTTTTGGGTGGAGAGTGGAGGGCAAACGGAAATTGCGGCATATTGTCTTACTATCTCAAAACGCCAAGTTTTGCCCTCGGACTTGGCCGCGAGGGGGCTAGAGCGAGAGTGTTTTCAAAAGCAAAATGGCGGCTGTCGTGGATGCCAAAGAACCGGTGTGTTATGATGTTGTGGCCGTGTTACCAGCTGGTGGATCCGGAGTGAGAATGAACTTGAGACTCCCTAAGCAGGTAAAAATTAAATAATATTTAATAAAAGTACTTGATTTGATACATTGGCAAGTCTGTAGATCGTCTTTGGCATACTTCTTGAATATCGGAATGCACTGTTTTTTGTAAGGGCAAATATCTTATGCTCGGAAATTTGAGCATTATGCTTTTGAGCGTCACCCCTAAAACATAGCATTATGCCCAAAATTTTGGTAGATTTTTCATTATGCTCCATTTAATAACTCATTTTATTTATTTAGGAGCGTTTAAGAGCCCTTCAACCCCCACTACCCCTCCCTTCCACCGACGGGTGAAACTTGCTAGGGGTAGATAAAGTCTTACTGCACTTTAAAACGACATTTTTTACATGAGCATGTGGGATAGTAACCAGGCCTTCTTTGAAATGACTACCCGAAAAAATGACAGAATGAGATGCTGAAGAAATGCAGTTTAATGCATTATGCTCAAAGCTCTAACTGTGCATTATTCCCAGAATTATGCCGGCATAATGAAAATTGAACCCATACCCCCCTAGACATATTTTATAATTTCCCTAGTCAAAGCTAGTGTACTTTTAGAGGTGGTTTTAAATGTTACAACCAATAAAGGGGAACAAAACACTCTAATGGAGAAACGCCTATCTTCCCTGACACTGATTACTTTGAAACTTGAGTCAGTTGGAGGTGGATGTTTATTGGTGGGGATGGAGGTGGGGTGGGGTTTCCCGTGATAATAGATTGTTTTATTTAGAATTATCCTTGCAGCCCAAGAAGCTGACAATGATGAGCTTTACATAAGTAGAACATATGAAGCAGTGGTCTTTGAGATGAAATATCTAATGAATGAGGTATATTCTGAGAACTCTCAGTATATTGAAGATTGCTAAATTAATTATGCTTAAGAAGTTTGACAGCCTCTATTTGACAGCTGTCTTTTCTTTAAGTTTTGTGAAATTAAAGAAAGGCCATTGATCAGTTACACCTTGGCAGCATTTGAAAGGTAAACCTTTATGATATCAAAGTTTGTTTCCTATATTAGTGCACTAGCAATTTGATAGATGGGAGGTCAAAATTTCTGGATTTTGGCCAAGATAATTTTTGCCTTTTAAAAATCATGAGGCGAGCAAAAAAAAATGAAGGTAGATTCTTAGCCATCTTAACTGCAAAGAAGAGCTTAGTCAATCAAGTATTTGATTTGTGGCAGAGGACCAGAAAGTGGCCAAAACTTTGTGAAATGAAAAGTCAATGGGTCAAACTTAAAGTGAAGTCTGTGAAATAAAAAGACTGTTTGTTCAGTGGGTGTGTCTTTTTTCATAATCTTAGTCTTAACAGTGATATTTTGCACTGTAGTGTGTCATGGATCAGGGAAGTTGTTGTTCCCATCAATGTAAACTTCATAGAGGAAGCACAGCAGGTAATGCCTATCATTAAAATATTAAGTGACAGCAAGCCACCAGACTTAATTGTAGAGATCATTTTTCTCTTTGGTGTTGGATTGATCTAGCTGTTTGGTAAAGTCTTCACTTGAGGCAAGTGGTCTATTCAGTTGGTGCTTGTCCCAGTTTCTGTGGCATGAAGTGAAAAGATGTATTACTACTCAATCCCCCTGGATGGGATGCCAGTCCATTTCAGATTACCACCAGCATTTCATTGGGCTTCCCTGACAATTTGCCAAAACCCAAGAACCCAACACAACGACCAACCAGATCTCAAACCTACAAATCTCAACCTGGAGTCCAGCAGACTAAGTCCTATACCTCTGTGTCTCTCATGATTCAACTAGTATTAACAGGATAATTTGTGAGCTGTAAACCAATTTTCTTAAATCAATATTATTACATGTATATTCATAGTATACACATTTATTGATGTTATCCTTATTTTTTATACTGTTCTACAGATTTTGAAAGACTTTAATCACAGTAAAGTCAGATTAGTTTATGGAGGGTCCACAAGGTCAGTTTAAAATATAATCACACTCTGAGTGATTCTATACTCCTGAAGTTCAGAGTGAATAATTTCAGGCTGAGGTGCAGAGATGGTTTTTTGAGTTAGGTTTCCCTGAAATAATTTCCCTGGCTTTGCATTTAGTTCAGTAGGACAGAACTATGGGAACCTCAAACAGGTCAGAAAATGAAAGAGGTGGGACTCTTGACCAATAAGGGGGAGGATTTGGTAGGATGGACATGGTAGAGCAGGATGGAAAGCAGGACTGATTAGGATTCATTTCATCTTGCAAGAGGCTTAGTAACACTGTGGGTTATTATTTCAAGAAATGAGTATTCAAGCTGATGTAAGGGTATATTGTTTCATCTTCCTCATCTGTAAATAGACACAGATCATTATGGAATGGTATTCAAGCAATCACTGCAGATGGAAGAGGTTCACCAACAGTAGTAAGTGAAAATGGTAAATGCAATAATCTTAGTGATCATTTTCAAATTATGTAATGGTTATTTACTGCTATTCAAATCATTTATACATTTTTTTTTATAGACACAACTGTGTATTATTGCTATACTGTATGGAGTTTAAAAGATAAACCCCAATGTTTTTAGAACTACTACAAGTCATAAATTAGACTAATTTCTCTGGAGTTTCCACAATGTAATCAATTAAAGATAATAATAATAATAATAATGATAATAATTTAGCAGTGGAAATTTCTTGATTTGCTTCTAATGATTTCTGTATGAAGTGGGTATATTTGGATGGATTATATTTGAAATTATGATTAGAAGACAAACAAACACCAATGAAATGTTACAAACGTTTGGCTATGAAATTAATGCTGTTTCTTAAACTGTTTCTTTCATGTAGATTGCTTTAAAGACTTAAAAATTTAGAGACTTTGTTTCAATCATGCTATCCAAGAATAATTGGAGCTCAGCCAATATGATGGGTCTGATAACACAATAAAACTTCTGAGAGGATTTCAGATGTTAATGATTGTTTTAAACTGAGAATGAGGATTGCATAAGACTTTGAACAGTTAATGTGATCTTTAAATGATGTTCCTTGAATTCCAATGGAAACAGCTGCCATAATTTTTTTCTGTTTAAGGTCATTCTTCATGATGCTGTAAGGCCATTTGTTGATGAACAAACTCTAAGGAATGTGACCATGGCTGCTAAAAAGCATGGGGTAAGTGAACTTGTGATTTGTGGATGATGATTCCATATTGTCAACTTATTTACTAAATGATTATTTAGGTCTGTTTTTGTTAATTCTTTCTCAGGCAGCTGGGATGATCAGACCACTTTCATCTACAGTTGTTGCTCAGTTGTGTGACGGGTTCCTAGATCATTCACTTGACAGGTAATGTGGGATTAGCATTCACAGCTATTGAAGCAGTCCAGATGCTCCACATTGAATATGAAGTGCATTGAAGAATGTAAGGGTGGACTCTGAGTCATCAGGGCTGTCATCACTTGATACCAAATTTAGATGAATATATTGAGCTGTCAGTTGCCCCAGTTTTGATTAAACAAGCTGGTATCTTACCCTTCAGGAAAATTAGGGCATCATCATAATTATAATTAGCATCTGTAGGCTGATCAGATAATTCCAAATAAATGTCATTATTTTTTAACCTCACCCAACCTATGCATGGTTAACTGATCTCTAGTCATGTGTTCCAAATCTTGGTCTCCAACTGATACCATGTACAGGACTTCTTTCAAACTTTGGTATATTTCAAGATAGAGAATTTCTGAATGGATCTTTGTTATAATCAGGCAGTCTTGATTGGAGATGTCAGAGGACATTGATACCAATTTGTCAAATTTCTTATGTAATATGACCTTTGCACATAGGTCAAAGTTCAGGGCAAGTGAAATGCCACAAGCTTTCAAATATGAAGTCATTCAGAAAGCCTACATGAAGGTTTGGATCAAAATAATGCTTTTATGCTTGCAATTTGAGCATGTTTTCTTTTCATTTCCTTTTTTAACTGAAGGGCATCACTTTAGGCTGTTTCTTGTTTATTTGATACCTTGCTCACAGTTGTTTTTCAGTTAAGATTAAAAATTAGTTCTCTGCTCCATTAAAAGTTTTAGATGATGTGAATTGTTCATTTTCAATATAGCTTCAACACAGATACTTATTTTCATTTTTTCATGGTATGTCTTTTTTTTTCATCTTTCAGTGCACAGAATATGACTTTGATTATGGCACAGAGTGTTTACACCTGGCTCAAAAGTATGCTGATACAAATGCTCTGTTGATTGATGGACCTGAGTTTCTTTGGAAGGTTATTAGTTTTACTTCTGGTGCAAAGACAGCCATTAACACCAATCATGACAAGAATCATACACTTTAACCCCAAAGAGTTGTTGGCATCTTATCTCTTCTTAATGTGTCACTGTTGAATCAAATATTAAGGCCATGAGAATTAAAGAAATGATCACTCACCATAGATGCTCCTAATTGTTGAACAAATTCTCCTTGTCAGTAACATAGCAAATGGACAGAGAACAGTATGGAGAATATGCATATCAATCCTAAGGTGTAAAGGCTTAATTTATTCTTAGTTTCCCATTCAAGTTATGGCTAAATGTTAAGTGAAGGGCATCTACATTTTAACATGTTCACTATCACAATCAAAGCATGTTGGTGAAGAGTAAAATTTTGGATCAGCCTGTGATTGGTCACTGATGAAGTAACAAGGAAAATTGGCAGATTGAGTTGATATCCAAACCATCTCTTTGGAAAGCTACAAAGTTCACGAAGCTTTAAACCTCAATTGGTACCTCCTCTAGTTTAGTTTTTGTCAAGCGCCATGAATTGTTTGCGGATGTTCCATTACTCCTGAAGTTTAACTTCTTATTTCCATGGGTCACCAAGACAGAATTTCTCCTTACAATATCAGTACAGTATCAAGCAGATGATTGGTGGGAATAAAGAAAAATTTCTATTGAAGGATTAATAGTTGATCCAGTACCAAATTCTCCAAACTAACATGGCAGACTATGGCAGGCAGTTCAGATAATTAATAATGAGATCTGGGAGTGAGGAGATTAATTGTTCAAATGATGATGTCATCTCCAATGCTATATCATGTTATGTAGTCAGCTGAGTTATACATGCATTTTGATTGGCTCTTACTAATGATCTGTCAGAGGGCCGGTGCATAGATGACGTCACTGAGCAAAAGTTTGCTTCTCTATTATGTAAGATAAGTATACTCCATGATGCCATGTGCATGTGCCTCTTCGGTACTAGATTTAAAAAGATGTCAACGAGCGGTGAGAACATCGGTGACACGTACGGCTGTGCTTGGTTTGCCACTGTTTCTCTTCATGCGCTCTTTTTTTAACGCATCTTACGACACTTTTGATAAATTATTTAACAGACACACGAAAGTTTGGAATCAATTTGTTAAATGAGTCATTTTCTTCTGAACTCTGATAGAAGTCTTACTTATCCAAGCTCCGAGTCACCTTTGATAGCATGCATGTATATTTATAGGTTACCCACAGAAAGGATTTGTATTCTGCCGAAGGAGTCTTGAAAGGTACGCAAATTTTGTTTGTTGTATGATCCAATTTTTAATTGAGTTACGAAAAAACAAAATTTAAAAAGGATATGCTCTTACTGACATTCAACAGAAAGGTCGGATTGCCAGAGTTGATCTGTGTATATGTAGAAATCTAAGTAGAAATCTAGGGGTACATGTGTTGTACAGGAATACATGATTTATCTCTTTACAATAACTGATTCGGGGATTGTTTTCCACAGAAAAGCAACAGCAAGTGCTGTTGGTGATTAATGGAACAGACTTCCCAGAGTTCGCAGGAAAGCTGCATGAACAGTTGCAAGAGAGAGATGAAATGGTACGTTTGGGTTGTTTTAATCACAGTGAATGTGTTTTTTCTAGCCATGTGTCTGAACGAACCTGGGATGACCGTAGCAGGTCCAAGTTAGGAGTTTCTTGGACCGGTGCGCTGAGAAGTGTCTCTTCTCTACCTGTATGGCATGCCGGAACATTGCGTGGAGTTTAATTGAAGAATATTTTTCCGATAGTCCTCAATCGTCCAGTATATGCTCGTGTAGATGCCGCAAGATGTGACCGATACGTGTCGCCTTTAGCCGAGTGTAAAACTGCACACGCGATCTAAGTGTCAATTTGTATTTTGCGTAGCCAGACTCTCTCGATATATTTGTTTAATAATCATCTGCAGCATAAATTACTCGACGATTAAGTTTTTCTCCAACCATGTTATTGCTCTGCTGCTGGAATCAGTTGAATGTCGTAACAATAAGACAACTCTGTAGAATTCTCATCCTGCACGACAGTTTCGAGCGATGGTTTTGCAGCGGAAAACTGTATCTCTAATAACTGGGTATGTGTTGTCTTGTAAGTGTTTTTCATGTTACAGCTAGGAATGTCAAGCTTAACAACATACTTCACCATTGGACTTCTAAAATGATTGTGTTTCTAGGTCACGTATCTTCCTGACATATCTTCAGATGGACATCTATCACAAGATACTGCGCAGTGTTTGGTTAGTTTAGTCTTAGCAGCACTTCGCTACCTGTTGAGAATTTTTTTTTTCATAATACCTATTTTTTAATTTCACCATCCAACTAGAGAGATAAACGTCAAACAAGTTTGCTTCAGTCTTAAAAAAATAAAAAATACACTATTTGGTCCATTGCAGGACGTCAACTTCTATTCGCTGTTTCGGGAAGTTAGCGCCACTTCGTAATGTTTTGTTGATGTAAAAGAAGCGGGCCAAGCGCTGATAAGGCTGACATGCTTGCATGCTGATCATGGCGTCATAACGCTCCACCTCTCTATGTAGCCCAGGTGGAGGAAACTGACTTGTTACAGACGTACCTCATTTCATGTTCTGTTATTACAGGCATCCCAAATTAACTTGAAACAGATAGCTCCCGGTTGTTGTGTATCTGTTGTTTATGTGACGCAGAGCACACACTCAGATGAACAAGCAGTTTGCAAGGTACAATGCCTTACCATTTAGCATGCTGAATTTAGAATGCCTTTTATTCTCTGAGAGTCAGAGTTTATATGTTTCGATCACAATCGATAGCACTCTGTTAAACATTACAGTTTTTTACTTGTTTATAAAGTAAGACCAGTTAAATGTCATATACATGTTCGAAATCAGTGCCTTCGGTTTTAAATTTGGAATTAAAAATCTTATTTTTTCTTTTGTTTTTACCCAAATCCTATCCTTTTATTTCAGATTAAACCATTCTTACAACGGTAGTTATATGTAACAGCTCTGATTATTTTCATTTTTCTTGGAAGTGCTTTTCAGATTTAACTTAATTTTCATTCATACATTGTTATATTTCTTCTTTCTAGGGCCACAACACAACAGTTATCCAGTCATTTCTCAGATCATTCTGCGAGACGCTCGACTCCTGTTTGTTAAAAAGTGTAAAACTGGTGAATGTTGGATTTCGTCGCGGTATTGAGGATTTTAATACATTTAAGGTAAGCTTTGCTACGAATTATAATAACGAGCTCAGATCTTTGTACACTGCCGAAAGTGGACAGAAGGACACAGATTTGAACCACTGTTAGAGCTTATTCCGGTTATCATGAGGCCAGAGTTAGTATTACCTCTTGCTCTAGATGGAATTCCAGTCTATTGCAGGAAGTCCATTCCAGCACAATGTTTTCATAGACATAGTGAAAATTAAGTGTCCTGCCTAAAAATACAGCATAATGGATCGGCCATGGCCCCAGGCGAGCACACTAACTGCCAGTCCGCCATGTCTCGTTCAGGTGGAGAATACTGGCTGGTAAAAAGGTGAAAACTAAGCAGGTTGAAAATCCAAATTTGGCATGAACTGTCCTCAACTGATCTCTGGCATCTTTAGTTGACTTCTGTTGGTTGGTTACTTTTGCATATTTTCTGTTTCAGTTTTCCTAATTCTTTATTTCATTCAATGGATTTAAGAGGATATAAGTTCACCAAGTGGATTTGATCGGTGGATTTTGATTATAACTGGTAACGACTACCTTTTATCAGTATTTATTGCCCCACCAGTCCAAATTATTCAGCTACTTTCACTCTAAAGGCCATTTTCTGTTTTTTACCGCCAAACACAGTGTCCTTGGTTGGTAGCCGAAAGTTATGAAGTGGTGAGAGAATTGGATGTTAATCAACTCGATCAGAACGCATGTCTATTTCGTCCACAGGCAGCTATAAAAGATCTCCAGTCCTGTTTACAGCAACAAGGCGTGAATTGTTTCGGTGTGCTTGTTCCCGCTAACAGTGCAAACGAACCCGAAGTATGTTTCCTTTTTATTTTTATTTTCGTCTCATCACACGTTTATGAAGCAAACATTTGTTTATGTTCTAAATTAAAACTGATCTCAGTTAAGAGTTTTGAAGTTCACGTGGATTCGTGGCAGTCCATACAGAGCCTTTGTTTGGTTTATACCACTCCATGTTTGTCTACGAATAAACGCCGTAATTTGAGTACACCTTCGTATTCACGGGAGCAATGTTTGAGAAACATACCATGATTATCGGCCATTATTGTCATTATGGACAAGGATTTGTCACGTGTCATGTTGGTCTCAATCCATGATGATATCGTCTTGAAGTTGACTATCGTAAGTCTCCTGGTCATGCATCCCAAATATATCAAGGCACTGAAACGTTAAACCTATTAACTTAGTTTCAATTCTCGAAGTAGTTAATGATTTTGAGTTTGTCTCCGTCCCATGCCTCTGGCGTTATATGCTATTTTTGTTTGAAGTTTAAATGTTTGTTTGAAGTAGTTAATGATTTTGAGTTTGTCTCAGTTCCATGCCTTTGGCGTTATATGCTATTTTTGTTTGAAGTTTAAATAAATCGAAGACATGAAATGAAATTCTGTCCGTTATTCTCTGCAGGATAAAGACGCTGATATCAAGAGAATTGTGAAAGCTGCTGAGCTGACAGTGGGCGCATTATTGGACGTACCGTCATTATTTGGTGGACAAGTATTCGACGCAAACGCGTGACTCGTGTGGAGTAGAGAGGCATGCTTGTTATGGTTCAAAGGGCTGGTGAATACAGATACAATTCAGAGCCAACAAGACTTCTAATTCCCTGATTCAAAGCAGATAGGATCATAGTGGTGAACACTTTGGGGTTAAGAAGCCTTGAATGTCCTGAAAAACTTGTTGGAGGAACTGTGGGTAGAAGGATTTAAGACAAAATGAACAGTGGTGTACACAATGCCTTACTGAAAGTAACGCCCAGAGGGCTAATGGTCTGATTCTCGTTATGAGAGACTATATCTGCTTATGGGATTGTCTCAAAGAACTTTATAATTGCGACTGTCACCATATGATTGACACTTCGACTATATAACTGACTCGATGTTATTACTGGCAAAAAAAGAAGATGAAAGATGCTCGTTTAGTAATTTCAAGATACATTGACTAACTCAAAATTTCCCTCGCTGTCTGCGATTAAAACTTCCCCACCTAGCTGCAGGTTTGGCATGAGGTCGAGTTCCATAATGCTGTGCCACGGTGAGACAATTTATCTAAGATCAACCAATAAAAGGGGCATATGGAGCTATGTTAAATGTAACAGGGTAATTTAGTATTATCAACCGAGTCGATAACGTACAAATAAAGATTGTTGTCGATGTTGATGTTGCTGTTGTTGTAATACAACGTGGGTTTGAGGTAACTGTAGCCGTACTGTGACTGAGTGTTCATTGTGGTTGAGTGTCTCGACACTGTGTTGAGTTTGTTTTGAGTCAAACTGCGGCTATTCTGTCTATAGTCCTTAAAATGCTCGGGCCAGAAGCACTTTGTTTTTTCAAGCATAAAAAGCAAACATCTGTCTGCAACTGTTCGATTTCAAAATTTAAATTGGGACGTTTTTAAGGGGAAAGACGAGGATACAACGCTGAGCGAGAGACAAGGAGCCTTGAATCAAATGAGTTTCTTTCAATATGTTGCTGCTTTGCTGCTGCAGCAGATCTAGAATAATATTTGTGATTTAATCTACTCAAAAACATATCTGAAAACAATGGTAGGACTAAAATTTCCACACTTAGCAGCTGAACAAATAATATTTCATCCCAAAAAAAGCCAATGAATTTTAAAATATTGCAGCGAGTTTTAACAGCCAGGGCTCAGTTGTATAAAGGGCGGATAATGCCATCCAACGGATAAATCGCTACCCGGCGGATAAGTGATGGCAAAACGTATAGCGTTATCCGCCGAATAGAGTTTCATCCAGTGGATAGCGCTATCCAACCTTCGAACAACCGGGGCCAAGGTTTTTTATTTTAATCTTTTACGGGGATTGAAGACCAGGGTTGTCATGTTATTATGGTTTGAATAGTTAAACGATAAACATGGCCAAACATGGTGTAACTTAAATGAAATTTTATACAAAGAGATTTTCAGGATAATTATAATTTTTCGCGATCTTTTGTTTATAACGACCCTTTTTAATGGTTTGTGTCATGTAATAACTAATTCTAAAGAAGCTCTATACAAGAGTGTTTTGTTTTATTTAAAACCAATGTGATATCATAAGCTAAGGCTACAGATGGTTCCTTAATTAATTATTGAAGTATAACACCCAACATAAAGACGAATGTTTAAAAGTATGTTGCAAATTCTACACGAGTAATTTTTTGTCATTTAATAAGTGCGAATTCGCACTAAAAAAAAGGAAAATTTAGAATATTCAATAGTAAACTTTGCGGTTGTTTTACGGAGGGTTTCATTTTCTATCATACTCATAGTAAGATTCCGTTTATATGCTGTTTCCATGGATACGGACACCTGTCAGTACCTGTCTTATGGGGTGGCAATCAATCAAAAACAGCCAGAATAAACAGACGGTAACGTGAAGCACCGCTGAACTGCTCCGCCGAAACGACCACCTTGATGCAAAAATGACATAAGCATAATGGGTAAACGAAAATGTCGAGGAACAACAACAAACGGTTATTCTTGAATAGTCAAACGTTTTAGCGTACGATGATCAAATCACGAATGGATCTTATCCTGTATCATTGCGGTCTGTTGTACTTGGCTGTACGATTTCAAGGTATGATAAAGGTTATGTGTAGTGCAGTGCTGAAGTGTTCCCAATGTTATTTTTTTAACACTAATAGTTATGAGTACGGAAGACAAGTAGGGAGCTAACGAGAACTACAGCAGTGATGAGAACAATATTGACGAATTTTTTATTGTGTTTACCATAATAAAATTCTTTCCTCAAGACTGAGAAGCTAAGGGCCAAAATGATACGTATTTATTATTCCATTATTCCTTACTCAAATTTGCATGATCTTATTATAGCAGTTTTCAAAAATATAAACATTTCTGTACGATTTCACTGCTGCTGTGATTATGAATGAACAAGGACGTGGTTGTTTCATTTTTCCGAACAACCATCAAGATTGCATTTCTGTTATCAATCAGGTTTTCAGTATTTTTCATTAGAAGTCTCCATTCAGTACATGATTAGTTCGAAACTGACAATGAAACATGAAAAAACATAAAATTGTCGTCATGGCTTGAGATTAGCTCAAACACCTCAGCGGAGAAGTTTCCCGTTTCATTTTTTTGAAGAGTCATCGATAAGTCCGTTCCATAAATAGGCTTTTTGTGAATGTGAAATAAATACTCAAGGAAGTGCTAATTTAAACTAACCGGAAAACTTCGGTCAGCGACGCGAAACCTTGAAATTGTCTAGCTTCAAAGGTTTAGCATATAGAGATATGAAAATGAGGTCACTCGCAAACTTGACAATGACACAGATTGTATGCTTACAAGGTTCGATTCGTTCGGTTCCAGCCAACCCAATGATCAAAATATTGAGCTAAATGATATGGATTCATATTCGCGCCGATTTTATTCTTTGCTAAAATACCTTGAAGGTGGTTTTTTTAATAAATCATTTTGGTCGATATAATGTATTAGATCAATTTTGAATGTTTTAGTAGCCCAACAATTCCTATCCGTGATCAATGTCGTAGTTTCAAGCTCATCTATCCGACTTCAAATCAAAGATTTTATGAATTTGTTTGATTTCAATTTGTTTGTTCTGTGCTCTGTCCTTGATTATAACACTGCGAGGTTTCAATGCTGAAATATACGACGGACGGCTTGTCGAGTTACGTCAAATTAAGATGAGGTGGAATATCTCTACTCATTTCTATTAAAACCAATTCACATCAAAACTTCACATCTGATTCCTTTAAGCGTCATTTCCTCTTTGGAATATCGCCAAGTTTGCATTAGGACAGTTAGATGCAGTACGGAAGCAAGGTAACATTTTCATTCAACACCTCTGATTTTTTTTTTCGACCACATAACCACCATCGCGCGCAAGGCAACTCGGTGTTGAATTATTGTCAACTACTTGCTTTTTCTAATCGACAAACTTTCTGCAACAAGCATCGTGATTTTACTACCGCAGCGAAGGAAATATAAGGCCGGAAATGGAAAATAAAACAAACAAAGGACTGAGTCAGACAGTGCAGGTATCGCATACATATTTTTTAACACTATAGCTTTACTTTCATCACAGACGAACAGTGCTGCTTAGCAACCAACTAAAAGAAGCTCAAGTAAGAAAGCTGTCGTGGTTTATCATGTAATACGTTACTGTTAATATGTAGGATCAATGGTGTACATACGAATGGCACATTCGCTATGAAACCGCTATTCGAAACTTCTGGAAGAAACGTTCAATTCTCATTTTGTAAACACAGGTCAAAAACGCGATGTCGTCTACCCCGGTTACAGAGATATTGATTAATCCTTGACACCACAACAATATTATCAACTCTGTATTGCCTGATTCGAAAGACTGTTCCGAATAAGATACAAAAGGAATGTATCAGTGGCTTATATTTTAGCAATTAGATGAGCCCCGCATGCAATGATGATTAGCATATTTGCTTTTGTTTATAGGAAAATCAAGGAAACAATTCCAAATCAATTTCTATCATATTTCAAACTTTTTTTTTAGATGAAGTGACTTCTAGGTTTCTTTTTGGAACATTGCGGAACAGTGAGTACCCCAGGATTGAGGAAGTAAACGTTTCTCCGACCTTTCTTGCTATAAATTCAGGAATCTCTCTGCCAACAGGTCACCCTAAAAGTGCCAACGAAAAGGAAAAATTGCATGGAAATGGTTCATTACCGATAATTTCTTGCTTTGAACAATTACAAACGCTTTTTCAAGAGGATCCCAACAAGTCAGCTCTCCCTGTCGCATCTACCATAATTACATCCTATCCAAGGAGATTTCATTTTCGTGGCACAGTCGTAAAAGCCATATCAAAGTGCCCTCGATATTCCCTTCCGTGGCCCACGAAAGATGAAATAGCAAGCACTCTTGTACTTTTGACAGACGTTTTATTGAAACTCTTGACGAGCTTAGTATATTCACTACTTGCTATTGTCCATTTACTTTTTCTATTATTCGCTATTCGAAGGAAGTGGTTCATGTTGTCAACAAAAAAGACCAAACCTATGCCTTGCGTTGACAGCTCAACGGGTGTTATGAACTCGAGTCCAAAGATCTTCGCAAAACCGTTGGAAACACTCTTAATTTTGATAACGTTATTTGGTTCAGGGCTTTTCTCATCAGCAGTTGTATCGGCAAATGAAACATCATCGTCATCATTGCCGTTATATTCGCCATCATCTTCAGCATTCTCAAACTCTTCGTCTTTGAATTCTTCCTTGACAGTATTTTCAGCAACGTCAACATTTCTACAACTTTCGCCACAAAAACTATCAGCGACGACAAAGGCGTCATCATCCTCATCACAGTCAAGAGCACGGAAATCAGTAACAGCACTCTTATCATCCTCATCATTATCATCATGGCCATCCCTATGGTCTCAGTTATCATCGACGTCATCGTTAACATCATCAGTGATTTCAAAGTCCTTACAATCATCAGGGCAATCGCCAATGCCGACCGTATCATCATTATCGTCAATGGCGACGTTGTCGTTACCATCGTCAACGCCATCCCCTCCACTATTAGAATCACCATCGCCTTCACTATCGTCACCGCCTTTACCGTCATCGTTTATCATACCATTCTCCAATCCATCGCCGACGCCGCCATCTCCAGACCTAACCCCATCTCCATCAACATCACCGACATCATCTCCACCACCATCGTCAACGCCGCTATCTCCCGTCCTAACCCCATCTCCATCAATATCACCGACATCATCTCCACCACCAACGTCAACGCCGCCATCTCCAACCCGATCTCCATCAATATCACCGACATCATCTCCACCACTATCGTCAACGCCGCCATCTCCAGCCCTAATCCCATCTCCATCGATATCGCCGACATTATCTCCACCACCATCGTCATCTCCATCACCATCGCCATCATCATCCCTACCATTATCATCTCTCACACCGTCCCCTTCGATATCCCCATCTTACTCTCCATCGCCTTCTCCATCACTGTCACTAATGCTTTCGCATTTATTATCATCACTGCGAAGATCATCACAGCCACCATCACCATCATTTCCACCTCCACCTTTGACTCCATCTTTGCCTCCATCTCCATCGTCATCTGTATCTCATCTGTATCTCTGGTCGATATCCCCATCTCACTCTCCATCGTCTTCTCCATCACTGTCACTAATGCTTTCACATTTACTATCATCACTGCGAAGATCATCACAGCCACCATCACCATCATTGCCACCTCCACCTTTGACTCCATCTTTGCCTCCATCTCCATCGTCATCTGTATCTCTGGTTCCGTCTTTGCCTCAATCTCAATCTCCGTCTTCATCTACATTATCATCACAACCGCCATGGCCTTTGTCATCGCCATTACCATCGTCACTACCAGCATCATCATTTCCACCACCATTGTCATTATCATCGCCATCTCCATCATCATCTCCATCTCCGTCTCAATCTCCATCGTCATATCCATCTCCGTCTTTGTCTCACTCCCTGTTTCTGTCTTCGTTACCTTCCCCATCGCTGTCATCGTCAAAAAATGTATCACCATTACCATTTCCTTTATCATCATTACCACCAGCAACTTCATCTCTTCCATTTTCTTCTCCAGCGTCTTTAAAATCACTAGATTTACCTCTATCACTAACATCAACTTTAAAATCGAAACACTCCTCATTAACATATGTCATCCGCCCCACAGGATCGGTGATTTCCTCAATCTCTCAATTGATCATTGCTAACGTGATGTCACACACGGCTAACAGGACTATTGTTCCTACTAAGTCAAATACAATGAGCTCTAGGTCGTCGTCAGAGGCATTCACCTCAGCTTTGATATCCTCACCCTGGAGAAGTAACGCCTTGCAAGAGCAGCGATCGACAGTTTCCTCAATTTCTCAAATGGCCGATGTAAACCTTACGTCACAGACAGTAGACGTAACTCTTTCACCTACCAAGTCGCGTCTTAAGGAATCTTCTTCGTCCACCGTGTTAGCAACAGATATCCTGACCAAACCAAGGGCTTCAAATGACACGAGGATTATTGATGTGACGGTTTCGTTAATAAATGAAGAATACGATAAAGACCTGATGAATGAAAGTTCAGCACGTTTTGTGAATCTGTCTCGAAGGGTGAACTATACGGTAAGAATTGTACTTCATTCTGAACTGAGGAGATTTCAGTTTAGTGACACAGATATGCATGACGTGTATTCGCTGAAATTAAAAATGCAATTGTTTAAAACAAATATGTTTCATTGACTGTGAATAAATGAAAATCGTATATGTGAACTGCGGGTTAAGAAATGAATATGAAAGCGAACTTCGAAGTAATAAACACTACTTAAGCAATAGCGAAAGTAAGGTCTGAAAAAAATACAGGCCTGCATGCTATTTGAACCCATAACCTCTGCGATACCGGTGCAGCGCTCAGCAACTGAGCTAACAAGCCAACTGGGAGCTGGTAAATATTTCAGCCATTCATTTTCGTTGAGTGATTTAATTCTTACTGATTAATTGATGCCAGACGGACTGACTAAACGACAGATCAGGAATTACTACGTAAAGGAATGAACTTTAGAACCATTAAAATCGATTTATTGAGAGATTAGTCATATCATGATTTCGTTCTTCCTACAGCTGTGGGACATGTTCTCTCGCGATGTGACGGGCCTGAAGGAAATACAAATACTTGAATTCAGGTTTGCAAGAAACATTAATGTCTCTTTCAGTGACTAATTGATGTCTAAAGTGAACTTACTTCTTGGTCCAGCCAATGAACGGGTTGTATGCCGGTGTACCTTGATGACAGCAACGATTATCTGATTGAACTCAAATGAAACAATCCTAACTAACGCATTAAAATAATTAAGACTGGGAATATTGATACGAAATATTAGTGATTTCTGATTTAGTTTTGACCTTTCCAATTTTGATTCATTTAAGAAATGGAAGCGTTCTGGTGGATTTTCGATTGCTTATTGACAGTACGTCCAACACGACTACACATACAGTCAATGAGACCCTCTGGAGAAAAAATGGTTCCAACATTGAAGGGTTTATTTTCGGGAGAATTCTCGTTAAAGGTATGATGTTAATTTTTCTTTTACCATCTCCATAACACATTTAAAACTACATGGGAACTGCACTTCTCATAATTCACTGGCAAAATGATATTTTTTCAACTGTAATCTCAATTATCTGGTCTTTACTTTCTGGTTAGATTTTTCTGACGCCAAATGCATTCTCCTTTATTATTGAAGAAATTCGGAATTTCTTCGCTTTGTTTGCATTACAGAGAAGTGTTCCGCCGGATTCTGTGCGAATGCAGGTATTTGTGACGATGGTGCCAACGGTCCAGTGTGTAGGTCAGTACTGCATTCACTCGACTAAACACTGTCTTGTTTAGCAAATTTTCCACGTTTTTGATTCGGCACTTATTTTAGCCGACGTTAATCCAAATTCATTCATCAGGCGCTCCTCACAACTTGCCGTCAAGGCCGTCAAAGTGCATGCGCGAGGGCACGTTTATCATGTGTCGGCTTCAAGAACCAATTGAAGAGAGTATAAATCATAATGCAAAATGGACAAAATTTTACATGTTTTTTACATGCTTTTTCACACATGTTTTTTACATGCCTTTCACGCGGAAATGATAATTACATGTGAATTGGTGTGAGAATACTGAGAAACATAAATACAGCGTTAAAGTATTGGATAACGAGGAATCATGCGACTCTTTACTTATCTTTATGTGGATCCATCCTAAGGTGCAATGGATTTGTGGGAGACAGATGTACTCAAAGATTAGGTAAGTTACAATCTATCGCTAAATGACAAAAAAAAAACTCTGTTCATTTAAAGTTACGTGCAGACCTTTGTGATCTAAGCAAGAAATGTACTTTAAACTTACAGATTTTTGAATTATCAAAATATTTTCCTTCCAAAAGAAACAATCTATGGTTAAATACTCTAAAATACTTTTAAACAGATCCCGTACATGGAAACTATTCAGAGTGGTCTGAGTTTACAGACTGCAGCAAAACGTGTGAAGGTGGACAGAAACACCGCAAGCGCACTTGTACTAATCCTTCTCCTCGACTTGGGGGCAACGATTGCGCCGGACTGGGACGGGATGTAGAATACATCGACTGCAATAGCGATGTCCGCTGTCCAGGTATTAAAAAGTCCAAATACAAGACTGATTGGACGGGCATCAGGAGCTTTTTGTTGTTTCTGTCGCATTAGGCGACCAATTGTATTGTTACTCCATCTAAATGAAATGATAGTAAATTACAGGGAACCTTCAACATGTTGTCAAGATACCAGTCAGTTTAGCCACTCATTTAGGTGGAGGCGCTCAGTGTGAGACTTGTCTTGCGCAACGCAGCAACTGTGGCCTGGCTGAAAAATACACTGGATATTTCGGTCCTAAGTCCAGCCTATTAACCGGAGGGCAATAGCCTTTGCCCCACTGTCCAAGAACAAGTTTACACAACTAATTAAGAACTCGGCTTTGCGGGTTTCATATTGATGAGGACTGGGCTATCACAATTGAATAGCTCATACGATTGGTATGATGTATAGTTATTCTGAAATAGTGCTACTCTCAATCATTAATTTTTGATTAGCGTTTATCTTGTCGGAATGTGAGAGTTTACCGTCTGACTTCTGGCCACTACTGCTCATGTTTTTCAGTTTCAACTGAGGTGTGGATAGCTGTCGGAGTCGCCTGTGGTGTGTTTCTCTTGATTCTTATTTTTGTTGTGTTGCTTCTGCTACGAAGACGAAGGAAACAAGCTGAACAAAGAAATGGGTAAGTATAGGTTACTTAAATCGAATGAGTAAGGAATAACACAATGGTTTGAAGCAACGACTACTCGAGTCAAAGTATGGAAATAAGTTGGGTATAAATCAGGCTCGGCTCTAAAGTCAAATCAGCCATTGAATGAACACTCCCTCCCCTCGCCGGAAAACGTCAATGCTAGTTGCGTAAAATTTACGCCAAGATTAATGACAACCTTTTAATTTCAGAAAATCTACCTCCAAGGATTATGAGACAAATGGACTCAGTACTGTTGTCCCACTCGAAATTATCTACGAGGACAGTACAGCAACTAGTGCCAATCCCAAGGGGAAAACGAATCCAGAATTTATTGGAGACGACGATGATGACAACGATATTTATAAAGCTCAGTTGCTGTTATTTCTGAAACACTCACATTTGATACGGAGTAATCTTTACCCTGATGATCAAGACAACAAATCAGATGCTTCAGAACATTCTAAAACGAATTCCAGAAAACCTTCTGCAATATCTACGTCCAGCGACAAAGTCCAAGAGAACGAAGACGAGTTGGCTGTTGATATGGAAACAAATCCTGCGTCCAAGGGTGAGGTAAGTTTCAATTCTCTTCATTTGGGTCCTCTAGTTACGTGAAGCTTACCATTACGTGCGCGGGCTTAAAAAAAATTTGGTCATTCCTACTTTTTGTGGCGTAAAGTACGTTTGCAAACCGTGCGGCCATGATATCGTATTGTGATGTTTTGAATAATTTTACATTTACGTCATCATCATTTTCCTTTTTATGATGATTCAACAAAGAGGAGATATCATAAGCAGCTCAGGAGCTCTTGACTAACAGGAATCATCGCTAAGGTGAAATTGAAAATCACCCACCTGCTGAAATTCAATTTTTGTGAAAGTTTAAACGCTTTTTTTGTTAGGACCAACTTTCTGCACCGCAAGGTGAGGGGTTCCCTCCAACAACAGTCCTATGACGTGGAAATTAGAATCTGTCTCTGAAGAAGATTTAAGGTAGATTACCTTACAGACGCAGCCGTTTTGCGGACTCTCATCCAGCGAGCAGGACCTGAAAAAGCCCTCATCCGTTCCGTATGAACATAGTAAGCTTGCTGTAATAATCAAAATAATTGTGTTCAGCTCTCTGAACTGAAAGGAACTTTCAAGGCGCCTTTGACGCGCCTTAAATGTCAAGATATAAGATGAAACGTACGTGTTGACCAACTGTGTATAATTTGTTCTTGCATGTTTCAGGTCATCACATTATCGTCTTCATAGTCATTTTGAATATTTTCATTTTCTTTTATCAGTTTTTTATTACTGTGTTTTCGCTAACTATTTAAGGAAATTATTGGTTCTTGACAAGTTTACTCCGAGGGTAAATTAAAATACAAGTTTAATTTTTTTAGAATAAAAAGCGATTCATGGTTGAAGTTGTCAACCATTGAAATGTAACACAGAAAAATAACTTTTTTTTTTTTTTTTTTTACAAAAACTCAAGAATAGTCAGATTCTACTTTGTATGAAAGCTTATGAAGTAGGTTGGGATTGTATTCTGCCTTAATAGTGAAACCTACAAACTGGCCTTATCAGTTTTAACTAAACATCATTATGCAACAGTCAATGTTGGAATTACAGTCGAACCGTATTAAGCGGTCAGTTTTCAAAGTCCAGAGATTTTTACCCTTAATTACTGTAATTTTCACCTTTCTTTAGCGGTCGTGGTCACCTTTTATTGAGTTCTAACGGCCCGTTTGTAATGTCCTCGACCTGTTCGGACGGTTAATTTTAGTAGATCTACTCAAATAAAACTACGAATAATATTTCAAGGAAATTTTTTTTCAATGTTAGTAGCATTTTTAAGTGAGTTTTTGTATGTGAATCGGTTATTTATGGCATAAAATGACGTTTTTATCATGTTTGTTGTAGTGACTCTGTTCTGTGAAACCTTCATTTAGCGGTCAACATGTATTAAGCGGTCAACCTGTCATTTCCCGTGAATGACCGCTTGATACAGGTTTGACTGTATCACTGTTTTTGTTTATGCAATACCAACTGTAAAGGGAACCCTTCAGATTGCACATACAACCAGCACTTACATTTCAAATTTCCTAATGACCCATAATACAATTGTTATACTGGTTGCTATTGGGTCGGTGATCATTTCCTCTACTCTCGTGACCGTAACGTTTGATTAAGGTGTGATATTGTAAGGAGAAATTAGATGTTAGTCACACTTAGAGGTTGAAGGCTTTTAGAAATGTTTGGGCTTGACTCATGCCATGATTACTTGACAATGAGCATTTTTCGCTGTTTCAACAACTAAAGGCATTCAGCCGAACATTTCCGTTTACCGCTAGGCAAGGTATTCAAGTATTTGTAAACACGCGAATGAGTTTTTGTCGATCAGATGTCCCTTTACGCTAGTAGAAAAATGGCGAGTTGTGACGCGAATTTGTTTTTATAAATTGTAACAATAGTAATAGCAGAAACAGTTATAATGACAGGAATGATAATAGCGTAATAAACTTATGATGGCGTGAGTCATGCCGTAACATACTTTTGATAGTGCTGTCGTGAGTTTGAAATTTTTTTTTCATTCTAGTATTATCACAAAGTTATATAGTTTTTGTTTCGTAAGTATAACTTCGTAATCATCTCAAGCAAAGAATTCCTTTTTCCTAACCTCTCGACAACTTCCAGGATTCGCGCTGCTACTCTCCCATCCATAACCAAGAGACAAAAGCTGAATGCTATTCTTAACCAGAAACACTAACTTCAACCATAACCCTAAACCTGACCCGGACATAAGGTCTAAACCCTAATCATAACCTCGAACCTAGCACCGTCATTAGGCCTAAACCCTAACCCTAACATCCTAACCATAATGTTGACGCTAACCTTTGCCCTTACCCCAACCCTACTAAGGAAGAGCCTTATTGTTTCAATGCTAGGTGGCCAAACTCGAGATAGAGAAAAGTAAGTTAATAGGACACAATAGTGAGTTTGCACCGGTTTTATTGAACGTCACATTGTGCCACAGTAAAACTCGAGTAAGGATATAGGTATATATCGCCTTTTTTTCGTTTCTATTTATTTACAAGGGTTATTTTCTTACACCAAATGCACGTCCTGCTTTAACAAAACAGCCATCAGAGGAGCGCACCACGAACGAACAAGCGCTTAGCCTTTGTATCGTTATGTCAGCAACACATCGCCGCAGAAGGGTTCGGTTTCGATGAGAAATTAAAGAAGTCAATTGGTTACTTGCCATCTTGACGTGAATGTTAAACACAGAATCGCCCAACGAAGGGCCAGCACACAGATTGAATAGAATTGTTTTCAGTTTGAAACTGGAATTTCCAGTAACCTACACTCAACACCGTAAATCAAGGGTTAACTTAACCCCTATCAGACACGGAATTACACAATTACATAAGCATTTTTCATGAAAGAACATCACACTCAGGAAATGAATCATTACAGCAGTTAAGATAACATGACAATGCACTCTTTTCTCGCACTTCTGCTGGGTGCTGAACGCGTCAACGCGTAAGCTTTGCATTTTTCATTTTTTGAATCATTACAGCTGCTAAGATAACATAACATTGCACTCTTTTCTCGCACTTCTGCTGAGTGTTGAACGCGTCAACGCGTAGGCTTTGCATTTTTCAGAGCGATACTGTTCCACCATCTGCTGAGTCGCACTGTATATTTAAAACCTTAAAACAAATAGTTTTATACTACAGCTTCAGCAAACACAAAATGAATGCGTCAGTAATAAAAATGGCGCGGTAAGATGCTTCTGATAGAAAGTAGCACAAGTGTCGAGTAGCAACTTACAGACACGCGTCATACCTAAAATACATTCAGTTCTCTTTAAAATCTGTATAAATACACTTCTAAAAGCGGTTATTTTCACGCACGCGCGCCGTTCTAATTAACTGTACATGCTGATTAGAATGCTCTTAATGTCTTACTGTACTTGTTTCTACCTAAGTTACTCTATATCAAACCCCGATCGGGTTAGTGTTTGTTGTTATGACACTCGACATCGTAGTAGCAGCAAGATTTTCTAGTTCCAGGGTAGCCCGGTGAGCCATTTGCGTGAGAGCGCTGGTAGCGACATCTTCAGCAGAGGCAGCATCTGTGCCGTGGGAATTATTTGTAAGAACTCCGTTCGTTTGCTCACCAACTTGATGATCTGTTGGAAAAATAGGAACTCGTTTGATAAATTGGCAACTTTACTGACATTCTATCACCCTTAGCTTGGCATTTTTTCCAAGATAAACTCTAACGTTAAGTTTTGGTAACACTGGTTACAGAAAAGAGGACTACAAGACAGCTCTTTGATCGGAAGGTAATCCCGATAATGATAGCCAATAACTGCATGAAGAAGTTTTTTTTATCACTATAGAAAAGAAGAACAGAAAAAAGCAAATGAACAAAACTAGACATAAAGACAGTTTGAATTTTTCACGGAGGTCGAGATGCGAGAGAGCGTTGATGATTGTGCTTGCTTCTTTTCAAGTCTCAGCTCCCGTCTCCATACTCGACCAACTTCTTTTGTACGAAGACCGCGCGATTTCGTGAGTCAAATAGACAAAACAAAATCTTAATTATGTTATCGACTGTTTGATTAGTTTAGAGCAAGATTTTCAGTTTAAATACTTACTTAACATCTGTGCGTTTCTTTGCTGTGCTATTGTGACCGGACAGTCTTTGTGCGCCAGAAGTAGGGATTTTAACTGCGCAACTTCGGTTCGTAGAAGTGTTATTTCACTCTGTACAAACATTACAGAAATCGAAAAATTGTGTCAGTGTACGTGTTATAAAAGTATCTAAAGGCAATCACAAAGAAGTAAACATAGCGATTCATAGGACTGTTGTTTCCTGAGTCACAAGGTAAATCGTATGAATAAAGTTTCTACACCCTTGAAAACCAACATGAAGGTCTTCAATGATTGAATCAGCACGACCAACACTCCTGCAGAAGTTCCGCTTCTGAATCAGTGGAACATTGTTTTCAGTGATTTTTTTTACGACGATATTTCAGGTAATTGTTTGTATTGTCATTATCTTTATCAATATGATTGAGTGATGTGCTATCATGCTGCTTCAAATGAACAAACGATCGAGAGAAAACGCATCATAGTTAATTTAAAACGGTCGACAAAACAAACGAAAAACAGTAAAAAAAGTAAAACCAATCATACCTGTAGGTGAGCATTTGTATTACTAAGGTCATCTGCTTTTTTCTCTAACTGCTGCACCCAGATTTTTCTCTTTTCTCTGCATCTAGTGGCCGCAGCTCTGAAGGAAACACGCACAGGTTCATCAAGTGTGTACATGTACAGGCACTATCATTTTAAAAACAGATACAGCTACTCCATTTGAAGGTTGTTGTAGATAATGGGTTTCCTTTCACTCTAACATGTCAATTGTGATGCAAGATAGAAGTAAATTGGGATAGAATGGTTTGTTGTTCTCTTCAACCAACTTTAACCCATAACATCCAAACTATACATGTATATAGTATGCATATACTGAGTTTTGTCTGTGAATACTCACCGATTTCTTTCAAGGAAGCGCTTTCTTCTCTCGTCAGGGTCCAGCTCATCCTGTGTTCTTCGTGGGCGTTTTCTACATAAACAAAGTTTTATCATTTTAATCTCATTGACTCAGACAGGGAACATATAGTGTATGTATTAACGATACGACAGTGATACGATATAACTACTACATGCCATGTCTAATGGGTGTGGGGAAGATATGAGGTAGTAGATGACTGATGAACTGGACAACAAAACCAACAAGCCCATGGATTTAATTTTAGGAAAAGGAATAAGAACCAGCTCTCCATGCTTCCATAGGCTAAACAGGCTCAGATGCCAAGGTTTGAAAACCAATAAAGCCAAAAATTTCAAATTACCATGGCTACTGTTATCATCACAGTTAATACTTACGAGGCACCTGACATTTTCTTGGTGTCCTGTGGACTGTTGCTGGTTACGACTGTAGTTTGTTGGTGATTTATGTGATTAGCTGGACTCACAGGGAGACCATTATGTTGGGATGTTACCATGTCAACAGCTTCAGTCATGGCACGATGTATGATATTGTTAGACTGTGCTGCTTGGTGCATTTTAAGCTGTTCCTTGAGACGCTGCAAAGTCAAAACAAGTTGACTATTGTAGGAACAATTTCGTTACATTCTTTTGCGTATCAAAATTGACTTAGGTAACCAAAAGAGATATAGGACATGCTGCAATTTTGCCTATTTCAAACATTCAGTAAGTAAACCAAAGCATGATAGTAAATGATGTGATAATAGCAGTGGAGCAAAGGAGGTGTGGTGTTGGAGCACCATTACTGGCAAGAGAGGCTTGATTGTGATCAGACAACTGAGCTGAAGAGTGAGAAGTGGACGAGTTTGGGGGCTAAAAGTTGGGAAAAAAATGGATTTATGTCACTCTATCACAAAATTTAAAGTGCCAAACTTAACCTTAAGTTAAAGGAAGATCATGACTTCAGCTGAAAATGAGGAAGTTTAAATTTCATGTAATATACAGTGTATGAGACTTCAGCAAATGAAACATTTACTTTTTTTTTGGGTTATAACATGATCACCTCAATATTAGGCACCTTAATGAAAAAAAAAGAACATAATGGTTGGGTTGGGTGGCATATTGAACCAACCCAGACCTCCCTGACTATTTCACTCTACTGCTATTTTATTACATTTCTCATTTTGCTCCATTTTACTCCATTGTACATCAAGACAAATTGAGCTGATCACGTCAACCAAACAGACTGGGTAATAGTGCTCACTGAATCAACAAAGAATTGATCAATATCTAACTTGATCTATTACCTAATTTACAGATGAGTGTCACTGTTAAGACAAACAGGGTTTGAAAGGGATTTAGTGACTATGAGAATTGCTAATCCTCATGGACAAGATATATTTGTAACCAAGAGTTCAAAAGTTTCCCTGAAAGTTTGCCAACATCAAACCTTGGTAAAAGAAAGGTTTTAACCCTTTCATTCCTAAGATCTCCTTTGCAATTCTCTTTGCTGTCTGTCATACAATTCCAATAATGTTAATTCTGGGAATTTGGTATTGGATCAACTTCATGTCACCATCCCTTAATTTATATTTCTATTTCTATCGATATTTTAAGGAGCAATTTTGTCTTGGTCAGTCACAGGAGCTAAAGAGTGAAGAGAGCCAGAGTAAGAGTGCAACTAAAGGCTTAAACTCAGGCCATGCTGAACCTCCCACATTTGAGATTTACCAATCACAAACTTAAAGGTACATGTATGATGGTGGCTCTATGAAAATATTATTCTTGCAGAATACAATTTAACACACCTGTTTAGCACTGCCCATGAAAGAGGGTGGACTACTTGCACTTGGGCTGCTTACTATAGCTGGGGTGGGGATGGATGGAATTGGCATTGAAGAGCTGGAGGAGTTAAGGCGGCTGTGTAAATGACTAGGCACTGGAAGTGCAGGGGGGACTTGAGCATCAGGAGCTGCTATGGAGGCTGGTATCGCTGGTGGAATGTGCGGGGGGACTCGCACAAGTACTGACACTGGGGCTGCAGATATGACGACTTTTTTGGTGTCTGTTGTGGTGTTATTTTGCACAGGTGGTGTTAGCTGAAGTTTAGACTCAGCTTCTTCAATCACAATGACGGTTGGTGTTGGAGCACCATTACTGGCAAGAGAGGCTTGATTGTGATCAGACAACTGAGCTGAAGAGTGAGAAGTGGACGAGTTTGGGGGCTAAAAGTTGGGAAAAAAATGGATTTATGTCACTCTATCACAAAATTTAAAGTGCCAAACTTAACCTTAAGTTAAAGGAAGATCATGACTTCAGCTGAAAATGAGGAAGTTTAAATTTCATGTTACATACAGTGTATGAGACTTCAGCAAATGAAACATTTACTTTTTTTTTGGGTTATAACATGATCACCTCAATATTAGGCACCTTAATGAAAAAAAAAAGAACATACTGGAATACCATTTTCAAAAATAGATTCCTACAGAATGTCACTGAATGGAATGCCTTGTCTTTCATATACAGTTACATCTACATGTTTGTCATATTCAGTGTTCAGGGAATGCAATGTATATTACCACGGTAACCATGTAAAATGAGTGTTACCAACATCATCACAAACCTGATCAGTAGCTCTCTTGAAATCCTGAAATGAAACAAGCCAAAAAAATTGCATAGTTTTAGTCCTGATTTACAAAATCATTTCATTATCAGTTGTGTGACCATGCAGTTTAATAACACCTGTATATCATAACTATTGTGATGTAATGTTGAACCCCCCTCCCAACCCCCCTCAAAAAAAAGGATAATAAACAATTTGGACATGTTCCAGTTGACTGATAGAGAGAAAAAATTGATCATAAGCATAATGATAATAATGGCTAACTCATGGCTTTTTCATTTACAGTAGCATTTTGATAAACAATACTGTCCAATTACCTTGACAAAGTTTGGCTGTTGTTTGATGAAATCACATCCTAAGTATTCCTCAATTCAGCTGAACCTTTTATCTAAACATTTATTTTTGTGAACAGCATCAAGAGGGCCAAAGCTAACAGTGGATGGAAATTTATTTAATTAGATCAACCCCTTATAGAGAAAACCTGAGGCCCACTGATTACAAAAAAACTATGGTTTAGGTTAGACCTCCTGTAAATAACCAGCCTGACACATACATTTTTTTCAAAGTTCACAGATGTTCAGAGGAAAGCTACCTTGCTCAACTTTTTATGCAAGTTTACATTTACGTGATTCAAAGCAAAACCAGAACATACATGTACCTGGTCAAATGGATTCTCCAAATCCTCGAAGAGTCCTTCCTCTTCACAGTTCCTTAAAAATCTTGTTGGTGTTGGTGTCTGATCTGCAAACAGGATATCATATAAGGATGACCATATTAAATGACAACAAAATTTATTGTTCATCCTGATCTGTTGAAATAAAGTGATAGCTACAGTATAAATGCATACCTGTGTGGAAATAACATACTTAGTGTATACTAAAACAGTGGATAGCATTGAAGGCATGCCCTGATTAACTACCCAAACTTAAAACTTTTGCACCCGAAAATATTATAAAGGCTGCAGAGATAAATGAGTTGAAATCATCTTCATTTGCTACAAACAGTTGCAAAAATCTTCAGAACCTTGAGAAGAAAGTGAATTTACTGACTTCATCTCATGGCCAAGAAGAAAGTCAGTGAAAAAAAAGGTCCCTTTCCCAGATTTACTGTTGTTCATCCAAGTTTTGTACAGCAATCAACAAGAAGGGAAAGAGTACATACATTATGTTGGATTTCATGGTAACATGTTCCAACTACTTTTGCGACTGGTTGTAGTGATCAAACCTCAGTTTTAGCATATACTAAAACAACTAGTGTTGGTGGCTAGCAGAGAATATTTCACATCTCAGTAAATATCCACCACAAGCCACTTCCACTTCCATGAATAGTTGTTAATCATCACTACTTCTTAGAAATTGGTACCAGCAGTGGTATGGGGGAGAGCACAAAGTGTAATTAATCAAAATGTACCTAATCCCACAGTCATTTGTTATCAGGAATGGCACAATCAAATACATTCTAGGCACTCAACAAAATTAACTAGGCACAGCAGAAAGCTTATGTTTATTTGCAACAGTGAGCTTGGTAATCATTTACCAATAGTCCAAACAAATTTGGCAATGACATAGTTTAGAGCATAGCATATCACAGAATACAGAATACAGAATAAAAACTGAATTAGAACACAACTTGAGTGCCACAACTGCAGACTTTCACAGTATACTCACTTGGTGGTCACAAGTGCACATTAACTGAGAGCTTTCAATTAATTACGAAACTGTAATTAGCTAGTGTAGCAGCTAACAAAATTTTAATGTTTCAAGTACACATTTATGTTGTTTCCTCATCCCTAAAATGGCATGCAAGGATAACTACGAGTTTGTACAACAACCAAAACCAAAACCAAGGTATTTGAGAACTTATTATAACAGGAAAACTGTAAAACAGAATTTCTAACATGTAGCAGGACAAACATACATGTAAGTTTGAAAGCAAGTTAAGTACCATGGATTAAAGTCATTCAGGCCACTCACGACCTCTACAAATTGTTGAGGGCATAAGGAAGCGAAGGAGCTGATATAAGGCAACGAATAAGACTTGTCACGTAAAACCATCAGCTAAATTCATTTATAACTACCGCACGTAAATACAAACTAACAAAGGATCTGTTTGGTCGTAAGAGTGCTAAATATAAATTTGGTGTGATCTTGCAAACGAAGGAAAATTACCTGCAACAGTTAAGTCTGTTCCTTTAAGAGAGCCGAATTTAAGAGTTAACTGGTGCTTTTGTTTGTGTCTTTCCAGGTGATCGTTGTTAGCGAATCTCTGTGAAGAGAAGAAGGTGAAAAGTTGGCTAAATGTAGGCTTACGTAAGGCTTGGAAACATCTACGGGTGACGACATCACTATAAAATTAAACCAGTCGCTTCCAAACTCCCCCAGGAAGAGATATATGACAGCAACAAATGGTACTCAGCCTAACCTGTCCACATCCAGGAGTCGTACACTGGAATGGTTTATCATCGCTATCCTCCATTTTGAATCCTTCCTTCTTCATAAACTCTCAGAAACCAACATTTAGAAGAGCCAGAGAAACCTCAGAACTGTCAGAATTTAAATAACCCATTAAAGGGTTGCTCTCGAGACTTTTCTTATCCTTTGAATATGGGTAAAAATAAGAATTCTACTCTTCAGAAAATGTAAAATTTCCCCTAAAAATGAATCTTTCCCTCGCGTCTCTTCAATGCATATTTTTGTCACATGACGTAATTACATGGCAGATTCGTGACGTCAGGACGCTCGCCTCGTTTTGGTGCCTCGCGCGGTTCATTTTACTTTCACTTCCGCTGTAAAGTAGTTCCTGATTGGTGGTCCGGGTGATTATGGCGATCAGCAAGTCTGACTTGTTCCGTTTTGATTGGGTAAAACTGCTAAGGCGGAAGTCTTCTAGTTATTTGAGGGAAAAACCCAATAAAAAGTCTAAACTTATGAAAAATAATGATAACGATTACAAAGGTCATCAAAATTCAAACTGCTTATCAAAAGTACATAATTTTAGTTTAACTTTGCGGATTAAATGATAAACTCAAAATGTGAAAGAAAAAAGGTCAGCTAATTAGTGAGCGTATAAAAATACCTCTTGTTGCAGCGTTTGGATCACCCTTGGTGAAGGCACTAGACAAGAGTGTCGAAACGTTGGGTCTATGAATTGTAACTTCTCGGTTACATTCATTAAATCTTTAAACCAGAGTAACATCAAACCATGTCTGATTGTCCACCTGGTTGCCATGTGAACTAAGGTATTTTAATGGTGTTTCGTGTATAAGATGAAAAATAAAAAGCTTCCAGTCCTAGCGGTGAGTCCATATCTTCTTCTTTAGTGATAAACATACGGTGGAAACCCCTCTATTACGAGTCACCTTGGAAACTGTTTTTGCTGTGGTTGTACCGAGAGACAGAAAGGGTGTAGAATCTTTGTTACTCCGGCCTGGGCTCTGAACTGGAAGGAATCAGGCGAAAGGCTGGCGATTACGACGATGAAAGCATTACCAAAATTTTAGTAATTTAGTGGTTTAACATGGAAGGCCACATGCAATTTTGATTTGTTTTATTTTTACCTTTTCAGGCATACTAAGTATCGACATAGTTATCAGAATCAAGACTGCTGGCCACAAAGGTGCTAAGATGCGTAAATGTATCACCTTCTGAGGTAAAGGAGTAAATAATTTGGCGAAAATGAAAATAAAAGGCCGGTTTCATCTCCAAACGCCTGACGTGAAAACTTTTCGGTCGAGCTGAAACCGCCGTTTTATCTTATTCTCACATCTCAGCTGGTCAATTCCCCCCCCCCCCCCTCCGCCTTCTCCTAGGATGTGTTACGAGTGAAAGATTCCAAATAACCCTCAATATAAACAGCTTGCCAAAACAACAAAACGAGCCAAAAAAACTAAAAATGTGATGATTGTGCTCAAAAATTGCTCTGAGAAAAGGAAAGATATTTTTCTTGCATGTCAGCTCATGTGAGTGACGGCGGGTAAGAGGGGAGGGTACAAGGGCTATTTGAAATATAGCACAACGGTTATCATCAGTTTGAAAAGTGCCGGGAGAAGTTGATGAATTTTGTTTTCTGGTTATTATTCATGGCCAGTGAAGTTCCTTTGGTACATTAGAGGGGTTGCAGCTTATAATCAGTCGCCGATCGATAAACAATCACATTGAATTCATTCCTCTTCAATCTGCAATTCTACATTCTAATTGACAAGGTCGATTTGCTTTTTCGAAGAATCGTTTGTACGCATATAATGAAAGTGGTGCCCCTGAAAATTACAGGAGTATTCACTATACCGAGTCAATTGATAGGAGATTGAATTGTTCCATGTCAACTGATGAGAGATGAGAGGTTTTACTAAAGTTGATGAAAATTCCAATTTGCAATTCTAAAGGTATGGTTTATTCTGATGAGTTTTGTTCTAATAAAGTGAAGATGATTTCATCTAATCTGTGATCATCCAATCCAATTTGGCATGTCTGTCACCGAGATTTCGGCTAGTGATCCGCTCGAGCGGTGGAAGGCCTTTTTAAGCATGCAGTTGAAATAAGAAAATTTGACTTTGGATCAGTATTGCTGTGTTGAGTTATTCACGAAGTGGCAATTAGCCGTGAGAGGATCTCATTTTATCTAATTATCAAAGGAGACTACAGGTAGGTTGGCTGGTTGTTCAGCAGGTCACATAAAAGATACTAAATAACAAATTCGTTTAAAGCTGCGTATGCACTCAAGAGGCAGACAGGGGGATAGATATATTTTAACAGTTCATTTGTAAGGTGCGGTTGCGTCTGATCAGAGGAAAAACCATTGACTGTCATATCTTTCTCATAAAAATATACAACGACTATTCACCGAAGTGGAGGTGGCTAGCGGTGGATATTTACCGAGCCGCGAAGCGGTCAGGAAAAGATCAATCGTTAGCCAGCGACGCTGAGGTGAGTGGTTGTTTTAGTGTTTACTTTTACGGTGATGTTATATATCACAAAGGACGATTTTTAGCTAATTTATTTCTGAAACGATTATAACATTTTCTGGGGCAAATCCTGAGTGCATCTCTCGGAAGTGAATATGAATAGGATATTCAGAGTTTAAGCAGCCAATCACAGCGCGCCTTTAACGCTATCCCTGTTTTAGTATATATCAAATTTATATATATATATATATATATATATATTTTTTTTTTAACTGATGAGGAACTGACATGTCAATTTTGAGAATAGCCTTTGAAGTTAAGGTTTTTTTTTCTCTTGAAGAGGTCCTTTTGATCTTAATTTTCCTTCATTTCTATACTGCTATGAAATGTCAAAATACAGACAAAAATGCGTTATCGTTACGACTATAACCATCCTTTATTAAGTTAGGATTTCTTTGATTTATATGAAGTAACTTCTTATTCGACTCTTGGTTAAGAGCATGTCACATAATCTGTTTGTTCCCCTGAAAAATTAGTGTGTAACAGTCAACTCTTAAAGCGACATGGAAAGTTGTAGAAAGTAAAAAAACTGCAGGAGGGGAGGAATGGTCTCGTATGTAATGACTCTAAGAGTTATCATTAACCAAGTGCTAGTTAAGAATTCCAAATCTGCATTCCTTTTTCTTGTCAGTTTGAAATGCATGTGGTGTTGTCTACAAACATGAAACGGAATCGACCGCTACGATCATAACATTATATTCCTTCAACAGTTTGATCTTTTTTTTTACCATAAAGCAAAGTAAGTAAATTTCTGTCAACAAGCTGAACTTGGTGAAATATAAGCAGTCAGCGTTCCACTTGTTAACTTAAAGCATGACCAGAACAAAACACATGATTGTTACGCAGCTTGTCTCAGCACTAGTGGGATTTACTTTGCGTTCTGACACATCACATCACTCTCATTCTTCTCATTATTTTGCCATCCAGACCCAATCATTCCAATAGCCGAGAATACTCTATTGTCATTTCTTTGCGGACAGAAATCAGAACCAAACGGATTCATACACAGTTATTTAATCCCACACGTGATTAAAGACATTTGCTTAGTGTTTTCACGCCATTTTTCTAAGTTCTGAGCGAGAGAGGTCATTGTGTCCCCACGCGCCGAAGGAGTCGATGATCGTATGACCACTGATGGATGGACCATCCTATGCTCCAATTTACCATGTGACCGGCTTCGGAATTTATTCAGTGGCGTCCAGCGTTTAGCAGAATATACAAACTTAAAGGGCTTACCTCGAAATCACTTACATTTACCCCTAGAGCCAAATCATATTTAGAAACAGGTAGCTGTCTTTAAAAAAATGTAGGTTTGTGAACAGGAGTTCGCTGGTGCGTCAAAAAGTGAAAGGGCTTGTTTGACATATACCGCCTGAAGCTGATTTCAGGTTCACACGAGGGTAACCATGCAAGAAAATGAGATTTAAAGCTTCAGTCAGTCATAACGTTCGAATATAGCCTGGCGGACAATTAATTTCATCTCAAGAAGTAAAGATAAGGGACAAAAGGTGGGTTAACGCTTTCGAATTTTCCTTTGATTTTAGCAAAGAACTGATTACTTCTAGTTGATGTTGGCGGTGAATCACTACACCTGCAGTTCCAATTAAGTTTAACAATAAAACTCTGTGAAATGAGAGATAGGTTGACGTAACTGTGTTGTATTTAGCGCAAAAAGAAAAAGATCTATGAGCGGTCTTGTTGTATGTTTATTGTCATGATGTTAATCTCTGTCCATCACCTAAAACAAATCTTTGGAACCACTCTGGGATTTCACTTAACTCGTCACTTGCCTAGAAAAAATTTGTCGAATGATATTTAAGAATTCATTCTTTCTTTTCTAAATTAGAATGATACCAAATGATAATACTAAGGGTTCAAAGGAAAGACTGCAAGCCAGAATGTTAAATACCTCTGTTCCGATCAACAAAAATATTTTTGGCGCTCGTAGAAAAGGTGCTTTTTGTAGAGGGTAGCAACATTAACTTAACTCGATTCTTGCTTCGAGGTATTAACATGATGATGAAGTTCTCTTGTCTTCTGACTAGGAAGTGAAATTCGATATATTTCCCACCTTGTTAATAGATCACCAACAATAGTATCCATTTGTCTGACTTTCAAAGTAACACTTATTTCACGTGACAAAAATCTGCTTTGAGGCGATTGACCGCGCAAGTGCTTAGCGACATGGGACCTGTTGTTGTACCTGCCGTCCTATGTCTGTTTACACGCTTTGAAGGTCACGGACGGTAAGAGGTCTTAGTAGAGCTTGTTTTGTGTATCTCAGGTTACACAAGGGCTGATATGACCCGACTGCTGTTCGCCTGTTCGTTGCTTTGCTTGGCCATCGGTAAGTACTTCATAACACTGTTGAATTATATAAATATCATGTTCCCTCTTGAGAGGAGTTATCTATCCAGGGGCGATATTCTGGATATGATCTGATAACGGAACAGATCACTGGAACAATATTCACTAAAAAAATATAAAGCTCCAAGATATCTTGGTTAGTCTCCGTTTTTGATGTGTTTTATATAACTTTACAAGAATCGTTTCAAATGTTATCCTAGGGAGCATGATTCGATGGTCAGGGATAATTTTTTTTAAGCAAAACTATCGTATAACAGTGAGACCCTAAGAGATATAGTTGAAAAAAATAATCTCAACATGACGTAATTTTTTTTTAAAATTCATCTTATAAGTTCACTTGCTCGTAAAATTTATAAGTACAGATAACGGACCCGTGTTGAAACATCAGAGAATATTCCAACTTTGTCCGCGATATTGCTTTTACCGATGACTTTTTTTTATATTTTCACGGCATATCGGACCATACAGTTTGTAAAAAATAATTTACTGGGTCTTATTCTGTTGAACAGAATTCCTCTCGAGTGTTTTCACTTTATGTATAATTCCTGTTTGTGAACGTCGAGGTTTGAACCATTTATCAAACAGTTCCGAGAAATTTTGGTTAAAAATAGTCGCACAGTGGTGAACTGTTAAAATTTGACAAGTTCAGTGTTCATACGTCGCGTACCAGACAAAACACGGCCCTGTGCCTGACTCTTTGCGGGTCATGAAGTTAGGATACCAGTTATGCGCTCAATTTGCATATTGTCAGTAACACTGGCCACCTTTGTCAGCCTAAACAAGTTTCTAATTCTAATTTTGTTGTAATAATTAGTCCTAAAAGCGACTTCCTCCTATCTTAGACTGAGCTTCGAACTCGATGCGTGATCGATCGTTCACCTGATTTTCCTCTTTTTCCCTTTTCGTAAGCCAACAAGATTCGAAATCCACTTTGAGGAATACTTGATATCAGTGTTACCTTTTTGTTAAGGAACATATTTTTTTCCACTCACATTCAGTGAAATCAGTATCAGTTATAGAGTAAATGTTATCGATGAAGAGTCTTGTAGGAATACTTAGGTGAGACCAAGTAATTGTTCTGGTGGCAACACGTCACTATACGCATGATGTTACCGCATTTCATCATAAAGTGTTTATCATGAAATTTGATGACAAATCATCGATCGAAATTTGGTAGTTCATAAAGCTATATCGCGCATGAATGAAAGCTAAAATGTGTAATTTTTGTTTTGTCGTAATCACGTTTGTTTGTTTGTTGTTTCCCGATTTCCTCCTAGTTAACGGCCTATAAAGCTTCACGAAATTGGGACAAATTGTTAGGAAAACCACTTCACTTCTTTAGTTTAATGTTACAGTGACAACCGATGCACGTAAGACAAAGACGAACGCCAACACGCATCTCATCGGCAATATACATGGAAGTAAACGCGCAGCTATACCAACCTCACTGCTTCCTTAAGAAAAAAACGTACAGCCATTACTGATGGAGCTCGATGACTAAGTCAAACCTTGGTGAAAAGCCTAGATAAACAACTTAATATCACTCAAAGAAAACTAACAAAGGATTGCTCATGCACAAGTATGGACAAAACTCGGTCACCTTACCGGCAAATTTATGCGCGCAACGCATATCAGTTTCACAGTGATTAACAACCCGATAACTTAACCTTCTCTTAACAAATTTCCCCACTTTTGCTTGCAACCGAAGAATTTGTTTTAAGCCCACAATCAATATGGTCGGGTTTGGAAGAAAGTCTCCCAGTTCGTTTCTGTTTGATTCCCAGGCAAAAGTGATAATGTTCCAACAATTTGTGATGCACTGTAGGCCAATTAAGTTTTGTTGGGATACGACACTTTTAGTGACAGATTTGACATTCGACGTAACGTTTCATTGTTTCGTTTTACAAGTCGCATGCGCACAGCAGGCAGAACGGACGACCGGAAGTGACGTCACAGACGAGGAGCCTCACCCTTATACTATTTCATTCTTCCTGTTCCCACATCATGAGACTGTTGAACTGTCAGGCGGGAAAGGGAAGGTCACGAATGTCACTCAACATGATAAATCAAATGATCTGACTAAAGGTAACTATCCATGGGCCCTGACATGAAAACCAGACTGAGTTACAACTTGTTTCCGTCTTTGATAGTATTGGTCGTTAGTAGCAACGAAGTTTGTGCGGGAAATTGACAGCTAGAAAATGTGGTGAACAACTTTCTCATCTAATACTTCTGACTGAATCTCTTGGGAAGATTTGGCGAAAAGTTCACTTTTTTCGAGATTTAGTGAAGCATAAACAACAAACAAACAAACAAACATGAATGGAACAATGAATGGTTTTTTGTAAAAGCCGATATTGCTATCTTGGCTCGCCTTTTTAAGTAATAACAGGATCTCAGAATAGCTGATTTGAAAAATGTTGTCAGGGATTCGTGTATTTTTAAAAAAATCTCTGAGCTATTGCTTATTCTAATAGCCAAGAATGAGCAGTTTCATCACACACCTTACGATCTTTGGGATTCAATCTTAGATACTCTAGGATCTTTATATCTATTAGAACCAACAATGAATTACTTTATTTACAAATGGGACCTCACTTAATGCTATTAAGATATTTTACAATTGCTATGTCTCACAAATTTGTCAATTTATCGAATAATAAGGTAATCGTCATGCATGGTGAATTTGGCGCTCTTTTTTTTTTAGCAAAAGGAAAGAATCCGTCGGGTGATCTCGCTCTGGATGATGACCCGGATATATCTTACCAGCACGGTAGCGTGAAACACCCCGCCCATGAAATGTACCCCATGTGCCATCACTGTCCAATGAATTCAACATACGACGAATGTACACATAAACGCACACTCAAGAAATGTAATGATGGTCTTTCTAATATCTGCTTTACAAAGAGTACAAAGAGGAACGATGTAGTTCACTATCATATGGGCTGTGCTAACCACAAGCAATGTCAGAGGGCTCGTGCTAAACCATGCAAAGGTAAGTAGTATGAGTTAGAGTCAGTACAAAATACCCAGTGAACTATTTAGTTGGTTTTTCATCAATTAAAATTATTGCACATGGTTTATTCTTGGCTTTGAAAATCAAATAATTATTGATTGCATAAAAGGGGATATATTGTCGTGGTAAAGCTCTTTTTATGTTCCATTCAGCTGGTTGCATTGAATTTTTGCGGCTTCATTCTAACAACTGAATATTTTTCCGAAATGGTTTTACTGAAAATCTATTCGTGGACAGTCCACATGTCATAACTGAACATAGTAACAGACTGGGAAAATGAGACACACATCATTAAAAAAACCTTTTTCGCATTATTATAAGAGGAAAATATGAAAGCTTTGTCATCCCTTTATGTGGACGTATGTTAATGTAGGTTTGTAAGAAGCATTTGGTCCTGAGCGTTGTTTCTTTCATTCCAGTTCACGAGAAACGCTGTTTTACTTGCTGCCAATGGAGCGGATGTAATTCAATGTCTCACCATGGAGACTCAACTGCTCTTTCATTCTGGAATACAGGTCACGTGACTTCTGTCGACTGGGTTACTCTGGGCGTCAGCTTGGTGACCTTTGGTATAATTTATTTCATTTAAAGAGAAAAACCTTCAAAAGTAACATGTACATAGAGTTTGGCCGACTCAGTCTAACAACACAAATGGACTTTGTTTGTATTCTTGAGATTCGAAGGACTTCTTTTGACCATATTATCCCTTAGGCAGCGAGAATGTCTTTTAACTTTCCATGCTGACTGAAAGGAACCTAATAATATGTTTAAAAAGCTGCTGTAATATACCTTTTTGACGGTAGATAATGTTGGAGTGGACATATCTTAGGGAACAAAGCCCGTTGCAGTTTGTTGGAGTAATTTTTCCATATGACTTTGAAGTATTTATCGTTTTCTCGGAGCCTGCGAACACCGAAATTTACACAGATTTTGTCACAGAAAGATTCCTTTTGCAATTTCTGAGACTCCAGTAAATTAGGCGGATGATAAAGCGAACCTCAAAAGTGTCTTTTCTCGTCGATAATTATTTGATGTTGATTGAGTCTAGGCTCAGAATGTGTTAACAGCTCTGTGAGGACCTTTAGATTATTCGGGTTTGTGAAAAATTTCGTAGGCAAAGTATCAACGGGCTTCAGCTCTTTACTGGAAAACCTCACTCAGTTATACCCATACAATAAACAGACCTGGAGTTGTTTGGTGTATGAATATAATTATAGTGGCATTAAAGCACATGTCTTTCTGTTCAGTTCCTGAATAAGAGAGTCTCAGAGGCTGAAATAATAAATTGAGTAACAACTAACACATACGAACTTCACACCCTTTAAAGAACATACTTTTCAGTGATTTATTTCTTACTTTATAGAAAATAAGCTGAAGTAAGACGTACAATTTTCATCGAATTGCATGACTCTAGTACATTACACCAACCCTTGATGACATTTCTCTGCCGTTTCAGTCAAGGAGAACGTGTTCCTTTACGACAACACAATGGGGTCCACACAGGGTCCAGGGGTCCGAATTTCTTAAGACACCGTGCAAGAAGAACACACATTCAAAATCTTACTAGTGCAAACTGAACGCGGCGTAATGTAGCAAGGGACAAAAATTGAACGAATTTCTTACGTGCTCAACACCTGCGTGCTAAGCTAAGACCTTCGATCAGTTCATTCTACAGACAGTAATCAACAATTTCGTATGTCCATTTACTGCTGTGGAAAACTGATCCACGGTAACAAATGACAGCAAACGACTATGCTCGTGCTCACAGAATGTCTGGAGGCACTTCTAGAGACGGAAATTCTCAATGAAACAAATTAAACTCCTCTTAACACGAGTATATAATTTGTAGAACGCTTTTCGTAGTCTTTGACTAAATATGAAGAAAATGAATGGATTTAGGGCACTGCTGATGTTTGGAAGAATGTAAATGAATGTTATGTTTATAAACGGGCTTATTCGAGTAAAACATGTCGAGCACCAAAACAGAGCCATAAGTATGGCGAAGAACGGGAACCAACAGCAGATCAGGGCGCTTATAACTATGGCCAATGTTTTAGCGGCTCTGATCTCCCGAGTCAATGTAAATCGTCGACAGGCGATGCCACCCTGAACAAGTGAGACGGGCTCTGGTAGTGTCCTGCAGTTTGTAGATTTCCAGTGTTCCAGGGAAACTGAAAATACGTAAGAATACGATGCTGTTATGATGAGTAAAGGAAGGAAAAATCCCACACAAGCGGCAAAAGTGTAAAAAGTCGGATCGGGAGTTTTTCGGCACCCTGATGGATTATCTATAGCAAACGCTGGAATGGTAGGATTTGTCCAGTTGTTTAGTCCGAGCGAAGCTATCGCGCCTCCATGAAACCAGATATAGAGAATCATCAAGTGACCTCTTCTCTGAGTTATAATACGGTGATACCTCAACGGATATCTTGTCGCTACAAAACGGTCCAGCGATATTAATGCTAAGTTCGCAAAACAGGTGCAGCGGCAAGCTAAATCTACCCAGATCCAGAAAACACAAGTGGTTTCGTCGAGGCACCAGTGCGTGTTGTGCAAACTTTGGTGGATTCGCATTGGAAGTGAGAAAAAGGCAACCATCAGGTCTGATAAAGCAAGAGACATGACGAGATAGTTTGAGAAGCGATGAAGAGTTTGATTGTAGTAGATTGAACAGCATATGGCAGAATTACCAATTATGGTAGCTATAGTAATGTACAGCAAGAAAAACGTCTGCGCCACGTATTCTGGTCTAGTTCCTTCATAACACGTCTTCGGCTCCATATCATCGTGATTCGTGGCTGACTTCACTTTTGCCAAATCATCATTCATGACCATTTACCATGAACTCATAAACAATCCTCAAACAGATTGGATATGAGATATTCTCCGCAAACCTCGCCAGAAGTAATCTCCGTTGTTTAGCGTAGCCACAATCAAAATTTTTCAGATCATTGTAAATATGAAAATGCTGTACATTTTAAACCCCTCTCTATACTCAGTGGTTAGTGTGAATACACTGAGAGTCTCTGTCTGCCTGCTGTGAAATGATCTACAAATTGTCGGAACAACCAATTTCAAAAGAAATTCCGATAAAAGCTTTTTAAACTGATAAGGAATTCTTTTGTTGGTATTTCCGTATTTTCTTATCAACTGTCACACGAGAGGTGTCATTGCTTCGAATGGTAAATACTCAAGTCAAACAAACCATTTCAATTATATTAAAATTCACAGTCGGTATGAATATTATATCTATTGGCCTTTCCTATTTAAGCAGTTGAAATTAAGATTCCTTTTCAAAGTAAGAGCTTCCTTTTTGAGTTAAAAACGAGTATTTTAAGTCAAATTTTTGATCAACCCATCGGTTGAAAACTGAATTGAAAGTGATCAAAGGCTGACATATTTTCAGCTATTCAATGTCACAACGAGGTGTGGGTTAAAAAAACGGGATATTGAATCTGAATTTAAGAGCTTCTTCTAGGTTTAGAATGCTTACACGAGGAAAGAATATTTTGCAAATTTTATAAACACCATTTCCAACTACTGTTTTTTTAACTTTACAGAAAATGTCTGAGTTTGTTGAAACCCAGTAAAAGTTTCTTTAAGAATAATCCTTTGTTCCTGTCTCTCGTTTTGTTTCAGTTTAGATGTTTTGTATTTGACAAGGAATAATCTGAGACAAAACGCCTATCAATAATTATCATGTAGGTTGATAAAATCAGCTACCACGTCATGTTTCAGTTGTTGTTTTGTCAAATAATCATATTTTGTAAATTAAAACGTGCTTGGGCTCTCATGAGCAGAAATGTCCGCATTTTCTGTTATGCAAAGAAACCTGAATACGCAATTTTGAGTTCCGGGTATGTTTAACAACTGAACTGGCTGCTGACAAACGAACAAGAATCAGAAGAAATTTCAAAGCAGTAAAATCCTTCAGAAGTTGCCGCCAGACTGATCATAAGCTATGAACCATCAATATGATAAAAAGCAGACGAATATCGCTCCCAAAACTACTTACGGGGGAGTTAAAGGCTCCCAGTGTTACACTCTATGTTTATTGCAGGCTGACGCGCACGAATAAAAAAATGCAAAAATATACGCTCTTCTGTTTCAATTAAAGTTTCTTTTCCCGCATTCAGTCAGGAAACACGGCAGAGCCATACGAAATAAGCCACGATTAAAAAAAAAATGATAAAAAAATAGGAGAAGTGGGGATTGGTAAGAGTGGTGATAACTTAGCTCGGGCTGTTTAAATGCGTATCTGTTTCAGGATAACTTCGACCCACTGGGAAGAATGATTACAAAGATTGAACTGGAGGGAATTTCTCCTCAACCAATTTTTTTTAATTTGCTGAAAAGGGCGAGACTTTATTGTAGTTTTCTAGTATGCAATTACATGTATTTTTGGTTATGATATAATTATCTGCTCGCTACTAACGACCTTGCAACTTTTGGGTGTATTTAGGAGTAAACTTCACCGTTAACAGACCCACATTCTCGAACCCCCCTCCCCCCCTCCCCTCGCGGCCATTAAACCAGACATTTAATTACATAACATATCTCATACATCATATATAAATATATATGTTATATATTTTTATATCTTTTCATGAATTTTTAATATACGGGTTCATTTTTATTAGCGAGGTAAATGCTTTCCAAGAGCTTCATATGTTTAGTATTTATCAACACTGTGCTGCTATTTCAGTTTGTGGATACTTAACGTCCTTTAATCTTTCTTCAAGATTTGCTTCAACCACTGGAACTCTAAAAGTTATTTTATCCTTTCTCATCCAGTTTTACCTCATAAAGCGAGTTTAACTTTGTCAGAGCCGGCGTCACAAGGTATCACAAGGTATAAATGGGAAAACAGGTACCAAGTCTAGGGATTCTCGATAAGAGAAACATTCAATCCAGGCATTACAAGGATTTAAAAGCCACCGTTTATTAACGCACTAGCAACAGATTCATCTATCTTGCGGAAGGACAGGTCGGAAGAAGCTTAAAATTTTTCAGGAATTCTCGGCATTTAATCGAATACAGTAAGAAGCTTTAATTGCTAAACGATATGTCGGACCAAACCAAACGAAAACTCGTTTGATTTGGAACTGACCGTTCATTACTTTGAAATGTCTTATTGTCCTACTTATATCACTTACTTAATAAAATTGAAAGAAACACGATTAACGTAAATTAAAGAATAAAAAACTTTCGTTCCTGTGTCACCAGTTTATTTAACTGCTCATTGGCACTGCATAATGTTACCGTCAAAACATATATAGATCGTGAACAAAGCTCAAATTACACAACTTAACGCAGTTGTAACAAGTCGAGTAAAGCCCAATGGAGCCTCTCCAAGCGTTCGTGATAATTGTTTTAACTTTCCTGTTCTCTGAATTGCGAAATCCTCCCGCAAATGATTACGACATACAACAAGAGAACATGAACGCGAAATATATCAGCTTTAGTAAAATGGACCAACAACCATACGACAAACTGCCGAGAGGAAAACGAGGCCAAAAAGATATCATACAAGATTATGCTAGCAAGCCGCCATACTACCCAGCACGAGGAGGAAGAAGAGGCCAAAAAGATATCAGTCATACCTGGTTATGCCAGCAAACCGCATACAACCCAGCACCAGAGGGAAGAAGAGGCCAAAAAGATATCAGTCACACCTGGTTATGCCGGCAAACCGCTATACGACCCAGCACCAGAGGGAAGAAGAAGCCAAAAAGATATCATACTCGGTCTATAAAGTGAATAATAAAATACTTTACATTCTGCCTCGTCAATTAAGGTGATTTCCACAAGGGGCGTCTGGCTGGTTGCACATCCTAAATTTAAAATCTTAATAACTACATCCGGGCTACTGCAACTGAAATAGTGGCGAAAGTTCTCTAAAGACGCGCGAGAAATTGTTAGTAAGGCATTATAAGTTATCACTGCACAACTTTTTATTATCGTCTTGTCGCATGTCAGTGAGTACTTTTCAAATTTTAGTTCCACCTAAATTACAACTGAAAACAAACTAAGGGAAGGTACGTTTTTTATTGGGGGGGGGGGGGGTGGGTCGGGGTATTTTAGAAATTTTTTGCGAAAAAAGTCGTGGCCCTCCCACTTCCCTGCATGGATTAACGCATGACCCTTCACAAATACCAACACAAAACATCTGAACCTCCCCCCCACCTCCTCCATGACAAAAATAACCGGAAGTGTAAGTAGCTAACCGGAAGAGTAACTCACGTAACTGCGTCTGCGCACAAAGCAGTTAATTGCGTGGCGTATGATTGCACGATGAAAACTTGAAAATGGGCGAGGATGTACGAGGAATAGAAAGAGAAAAATGTGCTTGTGGTGAATGCGAGGATTTCATGAGGTCAGATGGAGCAACTTGTGACTATTGTGGCTGTTTACCGACTCGTCATTCTAAAAAGGATGCCCGCTACTATTCTGACTCTGTTGGTGGCACATCGGGTGCGGGAACAAGCGAAAGTGCAAGTCCAGAGAAGTGTAGAAATGAAGACCTGGGGGTGGTTCGCGAACCCAAAGGGCGAATAATACTCAAATAGTATTCTGAAAATTCTAGCTGTCCTTTTGGACCACTTTTCCCTACAAGGAACCCTTTCGCCGCTGTTTCGTGAGTGAAAGAAAGCGCCAGTGGGAAGTTCGCGAGGCTTTGAAAATAATGAATCAAAAGTTGGCTTTTGTGACTTCTGATAATCCAGCGGCTGCCGGGAGATTCATGGAGCTTTATATGGAGTATAGGCAAATGTCGTTTCAAGAGCGAAATGGCCAATGCAACTATGTAAATTTTGCGAGAAGGATGAGACTACCAGCGCTCCACTTCCAGCTCGACGACCACATCCCGACTATGGCAAGCTACCAAACTTCCACCATCTCTCTTGGAGTGCAACCCCCACCAATGGCCGTAAGCCCGACAACTTCCAGCCTCGAGCTCAGATTAAGCGATTGTTTGAGGAAAGTGAACTAGTCAGTGGGGACAGTGAGGCTATTAGAAAGTTTTCAGATAAATACATTGTCCCCGTAAAGCTTGTGGCACAGTATGTTCGGCACCTTGCCCAGATAAAAATGCGCAAGGAGTAGAAGAAAGAGGAGACTGAAACAGAGCAAATAGAACGGTTGAACCGGCAGTACAATGACATTGACTGGGTTGGACTGTACAACTCCGATGAGCTGTCGTCCTTGAGGGTGGACAAGCTATCCTTGTACTTTTCCCATCACAAGGTCACCTTCAAAGAGAAGAAAGCTGAAAAGGTCGCAATGATCAAAGGGCACATTGGCAGCTTGGTGTACGATTCAGTGGAGTGTCAACAACCTCGGTAGCCCTGCTAAGAAATGTGCAGCAACATGTGACCGCAGTTTCTGAGGTAGAAACTGACTCGCAAAGTGATGTAGTAGATCGAGTTGTTGGTTCAAGCCCGAGTAGCTTAAGTGACGAGTCGTCACCGGAGACTGATTTTATACCAGAACCCCGCGCGGGAACATTACCGCCGTCAAAATATGGACGAAAGCGAGAACGGGTCGAGAGAGACGATTATGTAAGTGGGGAGAAGATAGCTTTTTGATATAATAATTCGTCATCTGTAAATAATTTAGATTAATCTTGACTGGCAGCTTTGCTTGTATATACAAGTTTTAGGTTTCTATACACTTCTTGACTGGTAGCTTTGCTTGTATATACAGGTTTTAGGTTTCTATACACTTCTTGACTGGTAGCTTTGCTTGTATATACAGGTTTTAGGTTTCTATACACTTCTTGACTGGTAGCTTTGCTTGTATATACAGGTTTTAGGTTTCTATACACTTCT